CTCGATGAGTTTAGGTATACCACATCTAATACGACTCAGAAGTACTGCGAACGACGCCATATTTAATTTAGCTGTTGGTATTCTAGCTTACCGGAATAATATATAATCACATGAACATATGTATAAACTTATTTTGAGGACCTCTCTAACAGTCATGAATTTTTGATAAAGGACAGATTTTGATAAAGGTGCGCGACACATATTTTTCTATGTATGTTCAGAAGCACACTAACATGTCGTAAATTATTTGAGCTTATGGTGGTTCGGTTGCTTCGGTTCTCTATTACTTTAGACACGTGATAATTTGTCATACATTACCTTGTTTGTGTGAAGATCACGGTGTATTGACCAAGTTTCTTTGAACATATGAGAAATCTGATAGACTTCATAGTTCAGATTATATGATCAGTAAATAATTTATTCAATCCAAACCAATTTGTTGGGTATGCCCATCACTATATGCAGTTAATTTTGGGTCTATGTTAATGATGGGCTAATAGACCAAATCCATATTGGGCCTAACTAACTTGATCTATGAGATACGAGATATCTGTCAAACTACACAAAATTACATTATTGTTTAGCATAGTATATTCGGTATAATGAATTGTGTACGGTTTCTCAAGTCATCACATGTACTAATAATCACTTTATTATATATTTAAAATTAGCTGAATAGCCTGAAAGTTAAAACGGTTACATATTGACATTGTACATACATGATATTGTTACTTTATTGTTTTCATGACAAACTATTGAATTTCCATAACTAATAAGGCTTGGACACTCTCAAGTCTTTGACACGTGGCACTTTTTTTTTTTTTTCGCCTAACACCAAAACGACGTCGTTTTGCGCTTTTTTTTTTTTCGTCTTACACCAAAACGACGTCGTTTTGCGCTTTATTTTTTTTTTCGTCTTACACCAAAACGACGTCGTTTTCGTAAAAAAAAAAAAAAATCTAAATCAAAATTATGTGTAATGCTGTTCGTTTTGATGGCTTGATTATTTATCGGACCTCTTCGTTTCCATGGTAGCTTTAAATGGGCTTACTGGCTAATTAGCTCATTTCATTTCCTTTTAAAAAGGGTTGCAATTATTATTATCTATGAGTCTGTAGGATAATAATCAATCTATAATGATTGTTAGTATAAGGAAAATTAGAAGAACTCAACTCCAGTCGATAAATTATTGTATAAAAGAACAAAAAACATATGAAACTATTCACTATGAGTCTATATAAGATTTCACGTAAATAACAACTAAATTTTAAAACTATATGAAAAAAAACAAAATGCAAAACTTACAGAATCTAATATATTCGAGTAAAAAACAAATGATATATTCGAATCTAATGTTCTGAATAATTAAATTAAAAATATTTGGTTTAATAAACCCGCGCATTGCGCGGGTTCTCTCCTAGTGTATATTGATTTTTTTAACCTTACCCAAATCCTTGATTCCTTGTTAGGTAATAATAATATTGATGCATTAATTAATGCCCATAACTAAGTACAGAGCACATGGGGGTAGTAGCTAAACCTAAATTAATTTGTCCAACTTTCTTAATTGTTTACTTTTGTCTTAAATACGATCCACTTTTTCATCGCGAATGAAGGACTACTCAGAATTTTATTAACAATTCTTCAAATTTATATTATTTCCTAATAGGAACAGTTTTGTCAAGCAAAGTTTTCAAGTGTTACAGATTTTGGGAAATTCTTTTTGGCGAATTAGTTCAACCTCTACTTCTAGTTATCTAATGGTCCACTTTTCCGTAGATATCCAAATCTGCGTTATCATATTTTTGAGAATATCAATGAGCATTTGAAGATCTATCATTTTGATACCATACCACCATCTAACCCTATTTAAAAACAAACATGTTCAAAAACCTTACCATCATCCAGAGCTAGTGTTTAGTGGGAATCTTAAGGCAAGATCTATAACTTTCTTCAACGTTCTCATTTAGGACATTAAACTAATCCAAGTAACTAGAGAAAGAACGCCATGGTGATGAAACCTCTTCATCTTCATCAAATCGAAGTAGTTACGCGTCTCCAAGGAGATGCAGTTCATTCATTTCTCCAAGAGGCAAGCGATGGCCCAGATTAGAGATGCCAGCAATGATTTAAAACATTAATCGATATATAAACATTTGAATATCTTTATATATTTATTACCTACTAGCCAAATCTTCAACTACAATTTAATTTTGCATTCCAAAAATATTAAATATAACTCCCTTTTCAAACATAAAGAAAACGATGGAAAACGGAAACCAAGAATGGAAATATGGCGCACCATGGGTTTAGCAAAAAAAGAAAAAAGTATGGCCTAATCTGGAATTTGAAATTGGTATAGACATATTTGGAATTTAATAACAAAACATCTACTAAGCAAACTTGTGAACTATGCTTTTTCGGATGAAGCAGAAACTTGCGACGACCTAATTTATTAATGAAAAAAACATCAAAGTGCAGTTACGTACCATATAACAATTAAAAAATATAAGGCAATTAGGAGTGTGATTGGTAAAGGAATATATAAGCCTTTTCAAGCTTTTACATACAAAGGCATTTATACTATTTTTTATCAATATATTTTAAGGTCTCTAGGTAAACTCCTAAACTTTGTAGTCCTTAACATTCAACCTTAGACGAATCGTCATCGTGTTTGTTGTATAACTTAACTTACGTCAGTTAGCTCCACGAGTTGTTTAGTTTCTTATGTCGTCAGGGTTTATGCTCATTATATCATCGTAAAGTTATTTGGATCCAATTCTTCAAAGATCCAAACAATTTGATGCAACTAACTTATACTCTCTCTTTCCGTTTCAAATTATTTGTCGTTTTGAACACATCCAAATATTTGCAAATACATTTTATTAAAACGACAACTAATTTGAAACGGAAATATGATCAATCCATAAAAACTGGTCGTCGTCAAAACAATACAACCATAAAACAAACATAAATAACTGTTTTTACCCTTGTGCATCTCAGGAGTTGTTGTCGGGCAACTGAAACAAGCGACAACAAAAGAAAGTGATCATAGTTAAATGTCACGAGACTACTCTAATTTCATTTTTTTATATATATATATATAAAAAGACTACTACTACTCTAATTCGACTCTTGATCTACATTAATATTTTAGTTTGGATCATATATTCTCTATAAAATTCGATCATCTTTTCAAATTGAAGGATCCAGTTTTTTTCTCTTCATTATCATGGAGATGCTATAACATACTTTGGCCAAGTTATAAATATCCTTTTGACTGGTAAAGATAAAAGAACACAAATATGAAAAGGTGACTGGCACTTGGCAAGTTGCAACTTGCAAGTGTATTAAAAAGAGCAGTAAGTTCCAACAATTTTCGATATGTTGGATGAGTTTTTTTTTACACGTTAGAAATGTAGTAGAATTCTATTTTGAGTACTTAAATTTCAGAAGTGATATATGAGGTAATTTTATATTTCATATGTAAAACAAGAAAAAGAATAGGGAGTTGTCAACTTGTCATCACCACTCCGTGAAAACATCATCCTTTTTTGTCGGTCCACTTTCTATGGTGAAAAATATTTGTCCACGCTCGTTAAAATCCATCCACTCAAATCTATAACAATGTAAGTTATGGAAAATAAAAGCTATGTGGGTACATAATGTACGAATACTATTGAACATATAATAAGTAAGAACTAATTTGACTGCTCATAAAGTTTCACAAATTAGACATATCTAATATGTTCATTCTGCATGAATCCATTTGATATTGCATACGTATCTAATAAGATTACCAAAACCCTAAGTACATTACTGCCTACAAAAATATTTTTTCCATTACTTAAGTTTCTAAGACTACATGGATCAATTTGGTATTGCTGAATAAGTCGTGGACACTTCAATCTTTCAGCTTGTTATTCTGATCGATTTGATTCCAGGGCAAAACGTTGGGATTGTTCTCCAGTCAATGTGCTGAAAGTTTTCCAGAAGAAGAAAAAAGTTAGCACAAATCCGATTCGACCGGTTTTGGGCTAATCCGGATTTGTTGGATCTTTACCACCAAAAGAGAAAGTCATGGCACAAATAAATGAAATTACCATAAAAAAACGAACTGACGCATGAAATCGTTTGAAATGATGAATACAAATATTTTCTTCCGACTGTCGGCAGAAAATTATACTGTTTATAACTCTTTTTTTGGGTCAAATTCTACTGTTTATTTGTTTTCTGTCGCTCTTTGTTTTCTTTTTGTAGTCTTTAAATATTGCTGTTTCAATTTTCAACACAGCAAAAAGGTTAAAAAGTCCCATTAGAAAAATGAAGCGACCCACAAATTAAGGATTCACGATCACCGCATTTAAACAAAACCTGAATTAACTTTTTTCCTTTTTTCAAGTACAATAAGTCAATAGCACTCTCTTCTGAAATCTTTGCGCTAATCAAGGCTCTCTTATTCATTCCTCACTTTTCTAATTAACTATTACTCCATTTGCAGAAAACAACATGAGCTTCGTGTATTAGAATGAAACTATAAATAGTTTTTTGTTCACGGCTCAATTCGATCAAATAGAGAAAGCAAAACAAGAAAATGTAAAAAGCCTAAAGCTCTTTTGAGTTCTGACGATAGATCAAATACAAAACCGGAAAAAAAAAAAATTGAGTTTCACTACGAAATTAGGAACTCTGAATTAAAAAAGAACACAAAAACTAGAATAAAATTAATCTCGCAAAGACACAATTGGAAAACAATGGAGCAGAAGATGTTGCTCCGAATTTTATCATCCTCTATACAAACAACTTTTGTTTCCCTGGAAACTCTAATAATCTCTTGTTTTTTTGTTCTTATTTTCAACAAATAAATCTTCTACACAATCTTGATCACTCTCGCTTAATCTCTGTAAATAATCTATGAACGATGGCGATTCTTGACTTCAATCATTTGTAATGGAAAACGACATCGTGTCGGTATTTGGTTTTTTTTACCTGTCCAAGAATCAATAGAAGGGTGGTGGTGGAGGAGAAGCATAGGATACTCCGATCACCGGTGGTAATGGTCCCTCGTATTCAGGAGATGGCGGTGGTGGAGACGGTGAACTATGGTGGACTGGCGGTGGCGGTGGAGAGCTGTAATGGACTGGTGGTGGAGGCGGTGAACTGTAATGGACTGACGGTGGCGGTGGAGAACTGTAATGTGGAGGAGGTGGTGAGTACTCTATGCAAGGAGGAGGTGGTAGTTCGATACAAGGAGGTGGCGGTGGTGGGGAATAATGTGGAGGCGGTGGTGGGGAATAATGTGGTGGCGGTGGAGAGGAGTATGAATAAATTGGCGGCGGAGGCGGTGAGTGATGTGGTGGAGGTGGAGATGAGTATGAATACATTGGTGGCGGAGGAGGTGACTGATGTGGCGGAGGCGGTGAGTGATGTGGTGGAGGTGGTGAGTTGTAATAGTAAGGTGGAGGAGAAGAGTGGTGGGGCGGTGGTGGTGAGCTGTAGTAGTAAGGTGGAGGAGGAGAGTGGTGAGGCGGTGGTGGAGGTGAGTAATGTGGCGGTGGTGGAGGTGAGTGATGTGGAGGTGGTGGAGGACGGGGGCAAGGCATTGGCGGAGGGCGGGGGCAATAAATCGGAGCTGGTGGTGGTGGAGGAGATGAATATACTGGCGGTGGAGGTGGAGGAGAAGAGTAAACTGGTGGCGGTGGGGGTGGTGGAGGAGGAGAGTAGACTGGTGGTGGTGGCGGAGGTGGTGGAGAGAAAACTGGTGGTGGTGGTGGTGGAGAGTGGACGGGTGGTGGAGGAGAATGGACTGGGGGAGGAGGAGAGTGGACTGGTGGCGGTGGAGAATGAACTGGAGGTGGTGGAGAGTGGACTGGTGGTGGTGGTGAATGGACGGGAGGAGAGGAGTGGTGGTGGTGGTGGGGTGTGGTGGTGGAGGCGGAGGTGGTGGGGGAGGAGAGTAGACTGGGGGTGGTGGGGGTGGCGGTGGAGGAGTTGGAGTAGGTGGCGGCGGTGGAGGAGAGTAAACAGGGGGTGGCGGCGGAGGAGAACTGACTGGTGGTGGTAATGGTGGCGATGGAGGAGGCGGCGGAGGTAATTGAGGTACAATTGGAGGAGAGTGTGTAACAGAACGGCCACACTTAAAAGATCCACAATCCACCGGAGGTCGAGACAAAAACGCTGCACATTGCTTTGACGACCTCTGAGCAGGACGCCCCGGCAAACAATTTCTCCGGTCATTAGAAGCAGGCAACCTGAGACACACTGGAGGCTCGCCGGTGAAGAAATTGTAACTGTAAGTGAAATTCTCAAGCTTCGGAAGCTGGCAGATACTCGCCGGAATCTTCCCGGATAATCGATTATGAGCCACATTCAACTGCTCAACCGAAACCATCCCGCCAACACTCACCGGCAACGGACCAACAAGCTCGTTGAAGCTAACATCGAACACCGTCACGTTTTTCAACCGCCCAATATCCGCCGGTAAACAAGAATTCAACCCATTGTTCATGAAGATGATCTCCTCCAGATTCTTCATCTTCACCAAACTCGTCGGAATACAACCATGGAACCGATTGTTCGCAAGTACAATAACCGAAACCGGCGAATCTCCGAAATTTTCCGGTAACTCAAACCGGAACCGGTTATGGTTAATGAAAATCGCGTCCAAATGTTTACTGAAAAGCTCTTTCGGTACGGTACCTTCGAACTCGTTGAACCGGAGATCTAAGAACTTCAGCGACGGCAACTGCAGAACCACCGTCGGGAACTTCCCGGCGAATCTATTGTTGCTGAGATCGAGCTCGAACAGAAGTTTCAGCTGCTTAAACCGGTGCGGAACCGTCCCACAGAAACGATTCGAATTGACATGGAACAAAGCGAGATCTGTCAACAAACCAAGCTCCTCAGGCAAATACCCAGCGATATCGGCGTGATTGAGATCTATTCCGGCGACTGTACGGATCCGGCGATTATCCGGCGCGCGTGAGCAGAAAACTCCGGTGTAGTTACAGACATTGGATCCGATCCAGTTTAGAGTGATATTTCTGGGATCAGAGAGAATCGCCTGTTTCCAAGCTTGGAGAGCTATGTAAGCACTTCGGAGTCTCGGATTCTCGAAGACTAGAGATGGATCGACGGTGACTTTCTCCCCGCGGTCGCCGAACTCGTCTCGGTAGTAGAGAAGTTGCCGGCCCTGGATGAATCGGACTTCGTTGGCGGAGAGAGGAGCATTGGATGAGAGTGAAAGAGAATGAGAGATAGTAGCGGAGAAGAAGAAGAAGAGGAAGAGGAGGAGGAGAGTTTGGGTGGTGGTGTTCTTCATGTCACCACACCAGACATCTGCGTCGGAGTGGCAGAGGTGTGAGAATTCGAAGGAGGAGGAAGGGTAAAATGGGAATAATGAAAATGTGGAGAGGATTTTTGAGAAGAGGAAGAGAGAAGAAGTTGTGTGAAGGAGAGAGAGTGAGGTGTGGAATTTAAATGAAAGAGAGACAGCTCGAACACAGCTCAGGCCTACCCTTATTCGTTTTTTCTTCTTTATTAATTTAATTTGCAATTATTATTATCGAGTAATGTCTATGAATATTAGAGATATTTAAATTTCGATTTAGTGCTTGCTTTTGGATTGGAGCGTCTCCGTAGGTTGCAAAAGTATACGTTATAAATTTTATTTTTGTATTTTAAAATTGGGTCAATCTGAAGCTGCCCCCAGTTAATTTTATATTTTTCTTCACCAAATCCGATATAATATAGTCTCGTGATAGTGAAATAAATCGACTTTATAAGTTAAGCTTGTGGTACCAATTTGTCATCAATAATTTGTAGCTCACCATCGTTCCAGGCTTTTAAGATTTGATTGCAATGGAAATAAAACAAAAACAAAATAATTCAATTTGGTAAATGGCAAAAATGGAAGAACATGAGGATGCCGAGTTAGGTAAATAATAAATAACAAAGTAAATATTTTTATATAAGATTTTAACCTTTCATACGTGTGTTTTTGTTGTAAACTTCAAATATAAAATAACATATTATTTATCTTAATTTCTTTTGTTTTTAATTGACAGCCCATTGTTTGCAGATTGATGCAATTACTCCAAGAAAAAACTAACAAAGACTACTTAACGTTTGCAAAAAAAAAAAAAAAAAAAAAAAAAAGCTGGAAAATATCAAACTATTTTGGATATTATGAGCCACTCCAAATTCTTCGAAAATAATTCGATGGACCCAAATTTTCCGTTTAAAGCAAATGCTGCATATAAAGACAACGTAAACGTCATTATAACTGCAAGCAAGAACTCAGGCCCAAACATATCACACAAGACATTCGAGTTCTAAGCTGTTGACACAATACTAACACCACACCACATTCCCTTTTGATTCCAATACTATACAAAAAAAATTGTGGTTATTTGCATAGAGTTTAATATAAATGAAAGTATATATAGTCCCCAAAGAAAACATATTTCGTCATGTATATTTTGCGCTATAAAGATGTCTTCACCGAAAGGTATAGTGCATACTGCATAGTTATGGGTTTTTTCTTTGTTTTTGCTTCTCGTGTTTTATCAACGGTTCTCAGTTCTCACTTTCCACCCACTAGTTTTCTTGTTAATACTAAGGTATGATCATTTAGATTTCATATGTATAATATATGGAAAAGTGGTTATTGGTGAAATAAAGTTTTGAATCATACCAAAGAGATAAAGTTTTGAAACGGGTTTTTGACGGCTAAACGGTAAATTATCTAGTGTTAGCCAAACAAAAATTACATTTGATTGGAATGCATGAGGTTCTTATCATCGGTTTAGAATTGACCAACCATTTTTGTAATTGGTTTAACATGGACCATTAGTCTTTACTATTTGATGTAGCACCGACGAGAGCTCCAGATTTGAAGCAAGTCAAGGTTTTAGTGCATGTATGTTAGTAGTGTTCTTATCCATGTAAAATAAGGGGTTTAACAAAAACTTTTAAATAAGGAATTCTTAAAAGTTTAAAACATAGACATATGTAAAGTAATAATAATGATAAGCTTAAGAAACTATAGAAGTTATGCTTTCACTGCTTTTTAAAATCGAAGATTGAGATTTTATTGACTGCTTTTATCGTTTATTTTCCTAAAGTCAAAATTTTAGACAAAAGTGACATCCATTCACTCGTAAAACCTCTTTGACAGCAGTTTTTTGTTTTCGATCTCATTTGGTCATTTCATACAGTATAAGACATTTATAAAAAGGGTTCATCTTTTCGAACAAAAAAAAAAAAAAAAGGGTTCATCTATTAATAAAATGTATTTTCTCATGTTATTTTGTAAATATATCAATGGTTTATATGCGATTAAAGAAGAAAGATTTCGCCAGAGTTTTGAACCTCTTTTTATTCTGTGAGATTGTGAAAACTCCATATCAAGAAATCCCGCGGAAGCAAACATATTGTCATTACAAAAAATTTTTAATCATTAACTAGTGTTTGGTGTTTCCTACTTATTTTAAAAAACTATTGACAACTTATAATAAATGAAGCAGTTACATAATAATGCAAAATAAATTAAAAAGAGAGGTGGTTAAGGAAAGAGTCGGTGGTTCATGACGACTTCTGGAGCGTATCGGTTGATCGTGAAGCTATTTAGTATTCTACACTTTAAATTAATGTCATTTGCCCGTTGCCGGTAAAATTTAGTGATATCATCAATATTTTTCATTTTATTTTCCAAACATTTAATTTTCTCTATCACGGGTTTGTTTACTAGTCTTTTGTTACCGAACATATTAATAATACCTTTCAGGAGACGTCGATGATTTCTCCGTCAAAGTATGGCTGCTTTGGACGTATGTGAACTCAGAGGATAATTGGCAATGGATAACAAATTATAAAACTATTACACAGTTGGTTATTTGTTAGCCAGAATTCAGAATATATATTAGTATATTATAAGGTTGGTATGGCGTCTAGTCGCTTAGATTTATGTTAATATCTAAGATATTGTTGGTAGTGAATAATTCGTTTTAATCATTTTTAATACATTACTTATCCTTACAAAAACCAAAAACTTAAGAGCTAAAAACCAATAGCACAAATTATAAATTTTCACGGCATGATTCCTGAATTTTGAGTGTCGAGAATCTAGGCACATTCAAAGATTAAATAATTTTTATTGCGAAAGAAACGTAACATTTCGAATCTTTTATTTTTTTTGGTTGAGGAACATTTCAAAGTACTATTTATACTTTGTCTATGTTAGAAGTGTAGTCTATTTTGGAAACAATTCACAAATAAAATTTATCTTTATGTTATAATCCTACGTACTGTTTTTTGAGATAATTAATTTAGAAATCAACATCATATGTGCCGAGAGAGGTTTGGACGGACAAAAATAAGTCCAATGTATATCATATCTGTTGCTAACTGATAATATTATTCCATATCTTTCACTTTAGGTGATGTTAAATGGTTGTGCATACAAGTTAAGAAAACACATAAATATTGGAGTATACTTTTAGAATTAAGTATAATAAATTATTATTTATTATCTAACTAAAATAAAATCAACCAATGACAAACTAGACTGCAGAATACAAATGAAATTGCCATTAGATAATAAAAATAAAGTTACATTGACATTAAAATATAAAATATATATATCATTAAAAATGAAAACAAAAGAAATAGAGTTAAACATCGTTTCTAGTGAAGCAGAAAAAAAATATTAATGATTTGATAAGTGACTTAAAGTGGTAGTAAGGGTTTTTTTAGTGATGGTATAACGATAAGCAATAACAGAATAGTTAGAAGAAGCAAAAGTGAATCATAAACGTCTAAAACACAATGATGCAAAAATAATAGTGTTACTGTTTACTACCACTAATACTTTTTAACTTATAGTATTCTGTGATTGTTAACAAAATAAGTGGTATGCTCTTAATGTTGGTGTAGGAATTACCAATCAAAACCTAAATCTTTGTCGAATACGTAATAGATGGTGATTATGAATGATTCCACGGCATGACTTTAGCAATGAACACTGAAAAACTAAGTCAGCAGAGTTATTATAGAAAACATGCTTAACAGTTAACACTATTTCAAAGCCCAAAACATTTTCGATTTTTGTTTCTTTATATTTGTAATAGTGAAACAAAAGCATGAGTACAACTTATTTGATAACCGACTCCATTAAGGATTTAATGATAAATTCTAAGGACTTGGAGACACCTAACAGCCTAACAAACAGGTTTTATAAATCATTAGAAGCTAAAAGAAGAATGAAACGAATCGCTTTTAGATGTAACAAAGATTATATATGTATAATAAAACTGGTTTTTGGAGCTTTGCAAAAAGGTTTAGTTATTGCCGCAAGGAAGCAACCGTGTCCGTGTGGGGACATTTTTCCACGTTAGTTTACGTTCTCATAGTCCAGCGAGACATTCAAGCCTTGGACTTGGAGCTCGTCGAAACGAGTTGATTTTTGGATAGCCAAATTTAATATTATCTCCCTTTATCGAAACAAATACTGTGAAAAACAAACAAATGCTTATACTTTTTGGGAACCTAAAAATAGTTTAAAATGCTGGTACATTATTTTATAATGAAGAGTGTATGGTAAATAGTTTAAAATGCTGGTACATTTATTTCCAACAAGTTGTGTAGTGAAAAAAGGAAACTAGTGTAATTGAATTTTAACTTGGTATGCAAAGGTGTTACAGTATTTTGTTAAGTTACTCTCGTGGACTATATAATTGTTCAATAAATAAAAGATTTAAGGAATAAATGCTGAAAATAAAGATCAAAGACAAAAAAATTGGTGAAAGCTAAAGGAGTTGGCATTGGAGTTAGCGAACGTAACTACTCATAACGCGTTCGAAAGAGATTGTTGCAAAGACTTGGAAACTTCGTAACGGTTTTCACGATATGTCACCTCACTCATTACGCCGTCGTATTTTCAAATCCACGTCATTAATACTAAAACTGGCTTATCATAATCTTTTTTTAACAAAAAAATTCTTTTTTTCTTCTTCCCTTTTTTTCTTTCTAAGTTTCATTTTTGTTCTCATCTTCCCCGACGTATGATCCACTTCTACTACTTCACTTTATTATTATGTTGAAGTACTACAAAATACCACAACCTTTTCTTCTTTTCTTTGTTGACCGAGTAATATCAGTGACATTTTCATATGTATCTCAAATATTTTTAGCATTTATTTTATGTTGGTGTATCAGTACTAACCTAATACTATTAGGTACTTATGAGATGTCACACCTATAAGAATTCTATCTATAAAAACGTCTAATAAGTGAAAACTATATTAGCACCTTTCTGATTCTACCTACTGAATTTTATAAAACCATTTGTTATATACTTGATCCCAAGTTGATTTAAACAATAGTCTCTATATGACTAGGTTACTTTAATTTTATTTTTTCGATAGTTGAATGTTCATAGGTTTGTGGTATTGTAACTGTTGTTTAATTCGTTTTTAATAGTAAATCACAACGTATATCAATAGGGAAAAAATTACTGAATAAAATTTGCATTCACTTAAAATATAGTATGAGATTTTCTAACTTTTAGAAGAAAATCATTTAAACGAGCATTTTCAAGGATTTACGTGCACTAATCTTTGAAACATGTGTTTACATCCACGCACAAAACAGGTCAATCATCTAGTACTAAATTCTGTTTAGTTAAGCGTAATTAGGAAACTTGTAAACTTTTATTACATGTTAATGAGATTCACACGAAGTTATAGTCCACAGTGTCAACTCAAGTAGCAAATCATTTAAATTACTTTGTCATCCTAAAATCAGGAAACAAACGCAAGTATCAAATCAATTTTATTGGAAAAAGTATCAAATCTACTTTGGTCAATGTGGGAATGACCGAGCTAGTAGAGTCAGGATTTGTATTAACTCTTGTTTCTAATCGACTATTATAATATTTTCTTGGAAGCTTCTCCTATCAATGACTCAACTCTTAATTTGAACAAAATATGTGTTCTATTGCCTATTGGTCACAAAGCTCAAAATGTTGGAATTGCAAATGTTCATTTTTGCTATATATCCAAGGGATTTATATACTACATAATTAAGTTGTACGAGACTAGTGTTAGATATCCGATATGATGCAATAACCGTTGATAGTTTGTAATCTCGTTACGATTATTAATGATACTTATCACTATCATCATCAATTCATCATACCCATTAAGATTATAGGAAGCGTAATTGATGGAATTACGAGAAGGTTACTAATTCCTATTTGGATGCATAATAATTGCAGACCAGCATTGACGCGTGGTCGACATTTTCATTGGCAATAAGCACAATCTTCATTTATTTATATTAAACCACAGAAACAAACTTATAGTACTAAATTAAGAGTTCTGCTGTTCTGGCATTTCTTTATTAGTAGTACTAGTATCCTTTTTTTTTGCTCTCAGATATGTTATTTCATGATTATAATTGTTGTACTAACTGTTATATTAAAGAAATCATTTCTACAAGTTTTCGTTACACCTGCTTACAATAAATTAACAGTACTCTCTCTTTTAGTTTAAAGAACTAAATAAAATCAAATAGTACTCCTGACAGAGGTTTGTACAACTTATCAAACGCCTATACTACTTCATCTGAAATATGTTTGAAGAAATTAAATTCAAACCAATCTGAATTCCGTAGTTTGTTCTACACTGCTCAACTTCAAAAATAGAGATCAATTTTTCTTTTTTGCAAAGAATGGAAAATGTGATACATATTGTATTTTATACAAATACATATTTCCTTAATTAGTGCTCCAAACAATAAATAAATAACTTGACCATTTATTATCAGGATATTAAATGAACATCTTATATTTTGCTTTGAATAAAACATCAGTTACTATAATTAAACAAGACTTCATATAAAAAATGATGATCGTTAAGCTCTTTTTGCTCTTTTAATAATTGTTCGTTTAGTTGATAAACCCTTGGGCTAGCGGTTAAAATACAATATCATGATATAGGCCCATTAGTTTTGTCCAATTCATTTTTAGAACTCGGCCCAATTAGAATCGGAGGATGGCCCCACCAAACGCCGCGACAAAACTCCGTCGCAGGCTGAAGCAATGTTCACCGGTGGTGGTAGCTTCCACTTCCGAACCGGCTAAATATGCAGATCCCTAACCCTAGACGACCATCGATAACCTCAAATTTCTCCTAATTCTTGAACCCCTCGAGGATCTTTCTCTCTGTTGGTCTAAAATCAGGTAATCTTTCTTTCTACTTGAAACCCTAGATCTCTCTTCTCTCGAAGATGGGTGATAGCGAAGACGAAACCGGATACCCGAAGAAGTTTTACCCTCTGAATCGGCAAAACCATCCGATGTACAGCCGGCCGATTCTCAAGCGTCACGCGTATTACAACGAAGAAGACGACGAGCAAGAAGACGAAGACTATCGCCAGGAAGAAGACGACGAAGGAGGATACAGTAATCATCGTGGGAGCGAGAGGTTTCAGAAGAGGCAGAAACCGAACAAACCGGGTTCTGGTTCCGGGTACGAATTCGCCGGTCCAAGCGAACCGAAAGCTGGTTACGATTGGAGAGAGCAGGAAGCTTTCGTGCTGCTCGAAGTCTGGGGAGATAGGTTCTTGCAGTTAGGTCGAAGGAGTTTGAGGAACGAGGATTGGAACGAAGTCGCTGAGAAAGTCAGCGAGGAGCTTAGATCGGAGAAGTCGGAGAGTCAGTGTAGGAGAGTGGTTGATAACTTGAAGAGGAAGTATAGGAAAGAGAAGATCAAGATTGAGAAATCTGGAGTGAGTTCGAGCAAGTGGTGTTTCTTCAACAAACTTGATATGCTTTTGGGAGCTTCTCCTAAATCGGAGTTAGGTTTAGCTTGTGGTGTTGATTCGGGAGAGTTTGTGTTTATGAGCACCAAGGTTTATTTGGATAAGTCTAATGGGTTTGATGAGATGATGGATAGTCCTGGTGACTCGGAAGAAGATGATGGTGATGATGAGGATGATGATCGTGAGGTTGAGAATGAGAGGAGGAAGATGAACGATGCGGCGTCGTATAAGCTGTTGGCGGATTCGGTTGAGAGGTTTGGGAAGGTTTATGAGAAGATGGAGAGGAGTAAGAAGGAGCAGATGAAGGAGTTGGAGAAGATGAGAGCTGATTTTCAGAAAGATTTGGAGTTGCAGAAGAAGCAGATTGTGGAGAGAGCTCAGACTGAGATTGCTAGGTTACGTGAAGAGGAAGAGAATCATGTTGATGGTGATGGTGATGATGATGATGAGAATGAAGATGAGGGGATGGAAAATGATTCTGATGTGAATCTCAGTGATGAATAATAATGATAATGATAATTAGTAGGTCTGTTTGTTTTAGATTCAAGTTGTTTTTCGTTTTGGGGAAAAGACAGAACTGGCGAGTTTTGTAACTCTTGTGTTTGATGGTGACAAGTTAGTTAATGCATTGATATATATTTCCTCGTTAAGAAGACATACCTCTTGAGCTATATCATCTTTGATTCTCTAATCAATCTCTGTGTTAAGACTTCTGCAGGAGAATATACCAAATTATCTTCAATGGATTCATGATCTGAGATTCTGATGAACAAATACTCGAGAATTAGGCCTTGATCAGTTCGGTTAGGATGGGTTCTGTCCGGTTTACTCACAGCCAATCTGTTCAATGAGTAAAATTGACTCGAAACGTGACGAATAATTTGATATATAAAACCATATTCTCGAGACCAAGCATCAGAGAAGCAAAAACACATAACGTCGCCATAGATTAGTTATCTAATTGTGTCTTTATTTGGCAACACAGTAAGAGGCTTTGAGCTCGTGCCATAAGCAGATCAACGTGTCAGAGACATCTTCTTGTTCTTCTCGAGTGGCGTTGTTATCGTCGACTCGAGATATGCTCACCAATGTCTTGAGCCATTCTTCATGCAAACTTGAGAACTCCGATCTCAGCTCACTCGACTTGAAGTTTTCTCCGATCGATCTCTTCATGGCTTGAGCAGCGACAGATGCCGTCTCGACCACTTGGTTTGGTATTCCAGCCATGAGAGCAACTTGAAGTCCGTAGCTCTCAGGACAAGCTCCATCGGTTAAACGGTACAAGAATACCAGGTCTTGCTCACATCCGCGTGGTTCTTGGTCGGATCTTGATCTGAATGCGCAAGCCATGTGTTTCGAGACGACACGTGGGTGAGAAGAGAATTCTTTGGTGAGAGGGTGGTAATGCGTTGCAAAGAGCATCCGGCATTGCACTCCCTCTACCAAGTGACGAAAAACCTGACATCAATTAAGAAGTTTCAGCAAAGTTGAAATGAATTGTTATCTCGTAGAAGATTGAAGGAGAAGAGAAGAGGAGGTGTTACGGAGTATGCAATGGCGTATCCGTCGAAAGTACTTGTTCCTCTGCCAAGTTCGTCAAGGATTACTAGTGAATCTCGAGTTGCGTTCTGAAGAACTGATGCTGTCTCAGTGCATTCTACCAAGAAAGTACCTACAAAGAAAGAACAAAAGCCGCGTTAAATGGTATTTAGTTGAGGAACATGTAAAAATTGTGAAAAGTAGTAAACTTACTCTCTCCTGTCATGATTCTATCGGATGCGCCAAGCCTTGTGAAGATGGTATCTACGAGGGAGAGTTCACATGACTCACTAGGCACATAACAACCAAGCTGCAGATAACAAAAACAAAGAATATTATTTGTTTGTAATATCCACAAGCTTGAAGAGAAAAAAGCAGTGAGATTAATGTACAAACTTGGGCAAAGATAACGGCGAGACATGTTGCGCGAAGAAGAGTTGATTTTCCACCCATGTTTGGTCCAGTCAGCAACAAGGACCGAGGATGAATGCTGCTGCTTTGAGCCTCACCAAGGAGTAAATCATTTGGAACAGGCAATTGACCATCGGCTGCAACTGCAAATGGATGCCATAGTCCTTGGATTTTAAGTATCGGTCCTTTTGTTTCCTGGTTCTGGTCTGTGTTTTTCGACTCGGGGAAAATAAGAGGCCTGGCCATGCTTCCAGCAGAGAGACTAGCAGCGATTGCGAAAGATCTCAGGACGTCGAGGCAGCTTATGGTGTGGATGACCTCAGACCATTGAGTGGCTCTTTCGATAAATAGTTCGATAAGTATTGCGAGAGTTTCTGCATTCTCCTCTGCCACATCTTGGTTCTGGTACAAAGATTAACAAGTTACAGTTAGATTATAACTTCGGGAATAAAAAGCAAATTCTTTGAATATTCCGGGGGTGTGAGGTCAGATCTAAGCCATATGTAACAAGCTATTCGACTTCGTTGCTGATACAAAGCACATGCATTTGCAAATTTAAGAATAGATGAATGTAGATTAAGGCTAGCTATTGAGCATTGATAGAAATTTTGTAGCCAAGTATGAATTTGCAAGATAGATGGGTACCTGATAATTTGGAAAGTCGCTGTCGATGGCTGCTTCGAATTGAGAAAGGAATAACTCTAGCCCGCTGTTTCCAACTAATACAGGAAGTGTACAGAGTTTACAAAGCAATCTCGTCATGTTTACTTCCTTCTGTAGAGCCAACAACATATCAATTCCACTTCTGAACCCTTTCACAATTTGCCCAAACGCTTTAACCTGCAGTGCAATAAGTTTAGAGACTTGTAATGGAAAACCAGACATATTGCAAAAGAAGGAGAGCAATTGTTAGCTAGACTTGTAATGCTTCAGCCCTATACAAATTATGGTAAGGCATTATTGAGAATATTAGTGTTTTTATACTTACTCGTTGTTTCAGCACTTTCTTCCCAAGGAGAGCAGGCAAAACAGAGGCTGATGACTGAACACTAGACTTCAGGCGTCCGAGCAGTCTTTCCAAGTCTGGAAGTATTTGGAGATACTGGCCAGTGATTTGCATAATTTCTGAGTTTGCCATGAGTTCTTCTACTACATCGAGTCTTTTATTAATGCTTCCCACATCTTTGAGTGGATGGCAGATCCAATTCCTCAAGAGACGTTTACCAGTTGGAGTAACACAGTTATCAAGATACTTGTACAAGGTCCCTGCAGAGAAAACAAAAATTAGCTAGTACTTACTATACATGTACTATTAGAATATGACAGTAACATGTACTTACCTGACGGACCACCATCATAGCTATTATTGAATATCTCAAGATTTACCATCGTCTGGCCATCAATTCTGAGACAACCTCTGTAAACTTGGTATGGATAAATATCTCCATTCTTAAGTACATCTTCTAGCTGCAAGAAGAATGAACTTGTAAGTTATGAAGATTTCCTATGCTTAACTTGTGAAAAGCGAAAACACAAAGCTAACTCACCTTTAGCCTAGTCAGATGATTGATAAGTTCTCCAAGGGCACTAAGTGCAATATCACAATCACTTAGACCATCAACAGCAGAGTTCCATGATTCAGAAGAACCTCTAAAGTATCTGTTAGATTCTATCACGTTTCTAACTCCAGAAGCATTCGTATCCTCCATTACTTGTGGTACTGGAGACAGCTGTACCGCTGTGGACCCTATGGAAATGAAACAGCGAAATTTGTTAGTGGATGAGCAGCTAAAAGATAGATTTTTAAGCATGAATCAACACATCTTGTCTATATGATGATCTAGTGAGAGCATATTTTATGTTGCCTACTGAAATGGTACCTGTCAATGTATATTTCCTTAGAGCCTTTTGGGCTTCTCTTGATAGCCCTGCAATGTCAAAAGTTTAGGCACTTAAACATAAGCAGTCTCATCTAGCTTAATCCTGTTGACAAAACAAGTGGGTATACAAGCAGCTTACTTTTACTTTCGTATATCACTTCCTTGGGAGAAACCTAGAAAAAATACCAAAACGTGCTTCAGAAATAACTCCTGCAAACCAAATGACAGAAGATACAGAACACACTTCCATACCTGCATCAATAAAGCTCCAAGAGCAGCACATGAAGCATCATCGCTGATGGACCCGACCCAAAACCTCAAGGCAGCACAGTCAACGAAAGCAAATCCATACACAGTTGAACCCTTTTCTAGGTCCATTTTGACCTAAAGTCAATATTCAGAAGAAAAATTAACATCAATTATTTGGGAAAGTCATAACATCAACGTCATTAAAGCCAATTCCTGAGCTAATCCTAAACAACTACCCAAATAAATGATTTGCAATAACTTTATGAGTAATGTAGGGCTTAGATCAGCTATCATTTTTCCCAGGACAAGAAATATAACAAACCTCTTTTATAGCAAGAAGATGCACGGCATCAGGCCCGATGTTACCCTCACTTGCTGTTGATGGTGTTAATACTTGAACTAGCTTCCTTGGAATTATCTGAAATCAGACCAGAACAGGCATTGAGTTAATTACATTATGAAACTAGTGTAGCAGAAGAAGAAATGATGAAGAACAGTTTGCAACCTCCTTAACCTATTGACCAAGAGAACTTACAGTATTTCCACCTCTGGCTTTTGCTTGGTCAGATGTTTCCAGCTGCTCGATTCGTCCAACTTCGTATCTTCCAAAATAAACAACGAATGTGTCAACACAGAATGCGTGGAGAAGAAAAACATAGAAAGCTGCCTTTTAGTTCACGTTGAAAACATGTGAGCTTGAAACCCTCCATGATAGACAAATGAGTGTACCGCATACAGGTAAATGTAAATTACTATAATTTTTAACTAACAAATGAAGTCCTGTTTTTTTACTCCTTGATGAAAAAGCTTAATATGAAATCAGAACCAAAACCAAGAAGATAACATACTTAAGGTTATCAGAATCCTAGCTAATGATGGCTGAAGTGATCTCCACTTTTTAAAAAAATTCCAAACCAAAGTGGCAGCAAAGGAAATCTACAAGGTACGATAGTTCCCTTACCCACGAGCTAGCAGCTTTTGCACTGCCTCATCTATCCCACTTTCAGAGATACCGACCTGATAACAAAGGACGTCAAAATCTATAGACTTAGTAATCAAGCAGGCCAAATGTTTCAACTAATTTACCTGTCTGCATTTTCCTACACCACTCATGGTCATCTTCCAATCAAGCTCCTTGTGACCAAGTTCTGCATCTAGCTCATACAGCTCATAAAATTTTCCCTGAGAAGAACATCAGATGTAATGTAAGTAAACCAATCGTATTGAGGAAATGAAGTGGACACTAGACTGATTTTCACTAACCACTTTGAAGAAAAGCACAACATCCATATATTCACTCTTGACACTCCAATACTGCTTCTGCGACGCAGACATCTTCCTGAAAACATCAGGTGGTATGTATAGAGTCTTTCTATCATAAAGTGGATCGTCAGGCCTTCTTCTATTGGCGTCTCTGATTCGAGAAGGATCAAGCCACTCAAATTTGGTGCCTTCGTTTACTTCTTTCTTCTCTCCACAAACCGGATCCTGGAGCATTTTCAGCCTTTTGTTAGAATCCAACACAGGGACCTTATTCTCTTTAAAAGCCATTCCATCCTCCAGGACTCGCTTCAAACGAGAAACGCTTGGACGCATCCCTGGTGTTTCTGGGCCAAGAACATCGTCATCTACTCCTACATCTTCTACTGATCTTAAATCAGCTGGCACATTGAAGCTAAAAGCATTATCTCGTTCTTGAGATTGACCATTATTGGACCGACATTCAGGGAATACATTCTCCGCCTTCATAGATACGGACGAATCATGAAGCGGAACAACATGCTCTCGACTCCTGGAAATTTCAATCCATGGCAGTAATGCAGTATTAGTGACTGATTTAATCGTAGTTCTATAAATGAAATGTGAAGCGACTCAATAAATTCGAGCACAGACCTAATCTCTTTTCCAGCTCATGAATTCAGAAATTAAGAGAAACGAAGATAGTACCTCTCTCCAGAACAGTCTCGATTATCATCGACTTTAACAAACTTATGCATGATACTGGAGAACAGAGACGAAGCTCCTCCGGCGGATTCAGCCGTTTTGAAGCCGGAAGGCAATACACGACGCGGAACCTTCTCCGGCGGAGTATCTATTCCTATAACCTCATCCACAGATTTCGATACAGAGCGTACCGAAGCGTCTCCTTTAGCATCCCCTTCCTTCACAGTAAATCGAGATCCTCCTCCGCCGCTGGTAGCATCGCCGCCGGGGACTAAACCCTGCTTCGCCGGCGACGGCTTCTGGAAGAAAGACAAAATCGATCTCTGTCGCTGCATTTTCGGAATTGATAGAGAGAGAGACTGAGAGAAAGGGGATGATTTGTTCTTGTGGAAATCGAGAGGGGGGAAAGATTAGCGCCAAAACTCCTTTTCAGGGATATTTGCTGACTTGTCACTCTTTAAACCTTGAATGACCGTCCGATTCGTTTCTATGACTGTGGACCGTTGGATACCATCGAGACAACGAGTCAATTTTTCTAGCGCCACGTGACTAGACTCCAATCCAATCAAATGAAGACACGTCATTTCAGTGCTAAGGAACTTTCGAGAGACGAAAATGGAGTCCAACGATGATCGAATTCTCCAGAAACCGATCTTCGTCTATAAATTCACAATCCTCTCAACGATCATCTTCATCGTATCATTTCTCTCATCTCTAAAGAACATTTTAGCACTTTCTCTCTAAAATTCAGCGACGATGCCGAGCAGATATCCAGGAGCAGTGACCCAAGACTGGGAGCCAGTGGTTATCCACAAATCGAAGCCAAAGTCTCAAGACCTGCGCGATCCAAAAGCGGTTAACGCAGCGCTTAGAACCGGCGTCGCGGTTCAAACGGTGAAGAAATTCGACGCCGGTTCGAACAAAAAGGGGAAATCGACAGCTGCGCCGGTGATAAACCCGAAGAAGCTTGAGGAAGAAACAGAGCCTTCCGCGTTGGATCACGTGAAGGCAGAGGTAAGGCTAGCGATACAGAAAGCTCGACTGGAGAAGAAGATGTCACAGGCGGATCTAGCGAAACAGATCAACGAGCGCACACAAGTTGTTCAGGAATACGAAAACGGAAAAGCCGTCCCTAACCAGGCCGTGCTCGCGAAGATGGAGAAGGTTCTAGGCGTTAAACTTAGGGGCAAAATTGTAAAATGATTTAAACGACATCGTATAACTTCCCCTATTGTATTCTCATGATACACATAACGGCGTCGTTTATCTTGTAATCTCATCATCATCAACGAATGTAAAAATGGAGTAATAAACTCTTGATTTTATTATATAAATGGACAAAACTTAACAAACTGAAGAAGAAAAAAGAAAGAACAAAGCTTTTATTGTTTAGTTTTATGTAATTTGTTTATACATGGAGAATTTTACTACTGCCAAGGGGAATTGAGAAGAGGCATAGCAATGGCTTTGACTTGTAGGTAGTTGTCGAGAGCGTCCATGCCGCTTTCACGACAGTTGCCACTCGCTTTGTAGCCACCGTAAGGAGAGTCGAGATCAAATGCGAAGTAGCAGTTGACCCAAATGACTCCAGCTTTGATCGACCTCGAAACCGTGTTGATCACGTCTATGTTTTGGCTCACTATTCCTGCCGCAAGACCGTATTTCGTGTTGTTTGCGCATTTGATCCCTTCCTCTATCGTCCTGTGAAAGCAAATTTTCAAGAGATTTTAGTTTCTTGGAATGTGGCAAAGATGGAGAAGAGTCTGAAGAGAAATGTGGTTTTGTGTGTGTGAATTTTACTTGAATTTCATTAAACACATGACTGGTCCAAAGATTTCTTCTTTGTATATCTTCATGTCTTCCTGTAATCATCAATACCAAACTTATTAAGGGAGTGTTTTTCAAGATTAGGAGCCTAATTAACATGTTCCGGTCAGAGAATATTATAAGCCAAAGACCTAGAACATCTTGGTAACCATATAGATAGAGAAAAAAAAACGAATCAATACCGTGACATCTGCAAATATTGTTGGTTCGATGAAGTATCCTTTGTCTCCAATGGCTTTACCTCCGGTTAATAAGGTTGCACCTTCGTTTTTACCGTGCTCAATGTAAGAGAGAATCTTCTCAAATTGTTTTTTATCCACCTGAAAAAAACCCAAATAATCATCAACCTTGTGATCTAACACTAAACTACTCAAATCAAGATCGAAATGGACATATATATCAAATAGCCTCTTTAGTTACCTGAGGTCCGTGTTGACAAGTGGAATCAAAAGGGTCACCAACGTTCCAGTTTTTAGCCTTCTCAACCAATTTGTTCACAACCTTATCGTATATACCTTCTTGGACAAACACACGAGAGCCTGCCACGCAGATTTCACCCTACACACCCACCAAATATGTTTTTACATATCAATATCACCAATATGCTAAACACTGAATTGGAATTGGAATGGTCAATACGATACCTTGTTGTGGAAGCAACCGATAAGTGCAAGATGTGCGGCTTTGTCAGCATCAGCGTCGTCGAATATAAGAAAAGGCGACTTGCCACCTAATTCAAGAGAAATTTTTTTGAGATTGCTTGTAGCCGCGGCTTGCATTATCTTCCTCCCAACATCTGTTGATCCCGTGAAACTAACCTGTTCCCAACACACAAAGAAGCTTCATGATTTCACCATACGTACAACCAACAAAACACATTTATTAACTGATGGGTTTTTACAAAACATAAGTCATAACAGTTATTTACTTTGTCTATGTCCATGTGGGAGGCAATGGCGGCTCCAGCTGTTGATCCAAATCCAGTCACCACGTTGATCACACCATCAGGGAATCCTGCCTGATTGTTTACACAAAGATTGTTAGGTTTTAGTTGTTTTGTGTTTGCGTTTACGTTTTGTATTACATGTTTTTATTCGTGTGTTCAATTACTTGAAAACGAGACACAAAACTTTGGTGTTTTGCGTATGGATTTTTGTTTACTAATTTATATTTTTTAAACAAAACCGCAACCTAATATGTCTTATGCAAAAATGTATAACTAATTGCAAACGTATACGTAAACCCAAACTACAAACAACAGAGAGATATTTTTATGAGTTTTTTTTTTTTTTGTCTATACCATTATAATTTACAAAATTTACTTTATGAAGAACTAAATTTAAGAAAATGTAATATTTACAAAAATTCTCATCTCAAACCAAAAAACTAAATTTCAAACAATTAAAATTGATAACTAAACCAAAGTTGATCTATATGCTTGGAAAATAAATCAAAGTTAGATCAACGGACTTACTTCTTTGGAGAGATGGGCAAAGAACAGGGCAGAGAGTGGAGTCTGCTCAGCTGGCTTGACCACCATGGTGCAGCCAGCAGCCAAAGCCGGAGCCACTTTCATGGCAAACATAATGCTTGGAAAATTCCAAGGAATGATGTGACCAACAACTCCAATAGGTTCTTTAAGCGTGTATCCAAACATAGACGGTTTTGTCATTTTGAGAGTCTCGCCGTGGAATTTATCCGCTGCACCCGCATAGTACCGGAAATGACCGGCTGCAGAAGGAATGTCGGACAATTTTCCGATATGGAACATTTTTCCGCCGTCAACCGCATCAAGTGCAGCTAATTCTTCAATGTTTTGCTCTATTAGGTCGGCAAATTTGTTGATTATCTTTGCCCTCATCTGAATCGGACCAAAATCCACAAAACTTGTTATGTAAGAAGAATGCTTATTATACTATTATAAATAACAAAAAAAAAAAGAACAAGAATAGTCATGTCAAGAAAAACAGAGAGCGTTGAATATAGTATTGAAACATGCAACTTTACAAACATCACTATCAAAGGTTGGTTTATTAACAAGAAAAATAAAGTAAAGTACAATTAAAAACATATTGGAGTGCAGTAATATTGGTGATCTATAGTTCTTAATTACATGAAAACGACACGCTAACCGCAAAAATAAGTCAATTCTCACTCATTCCCATAATCCAATTCATAACAAAAATTGTATAGTTAAATAAATACTACTAAGATAAGACCTTAATAAATACATATTTATTAGTGACCCACTGCGTAAGGGACCACATCAATCAAACAGCAGAATATCAATAATTTTTTTTGTTAAATGAAAAACAAAATTCAATAATTTGTGAAGTAAATCTTTTTTTTTTTTTTTATAACCGTGGGATCCTAAAGGCTTTCTAGGCCCAAAGACTAATCCCACGAGACCCAGTCCGTGTATTCTTACCATTTAAGGCAGCCCGGGTGGCCAAGGAGACTCGAATCCAAGTGGCGCAAATCACAGTTGTGACCCCTTTACCACTGGGCCACGAGGCCTTGGTTGAAGTAAATCTTTTTAAAAACGGGTAGGTACAAATTCAAGGAGGCAAAGAAAGGAACGTACGAAACCACTCATGCGAGGCCAAGGACCATGATCGAAGGCGTGACGTGCAGCGTTTACGGCCAAGTCAACGTCTTCTTTGTCTCCTGCTGCTACTTTCGCGATCACTTCACCGTTCCTTGGGTCTATCGACTCGAACGTTTTCTCTATAACCACATTATAAACCAAAACTTAATTATCAATGATTCAATATACTATATTAATAAAAGTAACCAGTTGGTTCAATCTTCAAAGTTCAAATCACGACTCACGAGTTCTTTTTTTCATTGATAAGGACAAAAAAACATTAGCGATATCAGTGCGACTTCTAGAAAGAAAGGAACAGAGCCAAAAAAAGGAAAAAGAGAAGAAAATTAAAAAATCTTGTGGTTGAGAAGAGAAAATGTCAGGGTGGACCAAAACAGCAGTCGTGTTTAATAGTAGAACATGTTTCCACTCGGGATGATAACTTACCATATATAATGTTGCAAAATAAATAATTCTTGATGTATCATATTAATTATCGATCTTGACACGACTCAATACTCATGTATATTATTATTAGCCCTTACTAACGTTTTAAGTGGTAAGATGATTAGACCAATTTTGGTGTTAATAAGAAGGATTGACCCGGTTACCAGCGAACTAAAAAAAAGAATAATCACCCATCGGAAAATTCACAAATTTTTCGGAGGAAGACTTGTTTTTTCAGTGTATAGAAAATTAAGGATCTGAGGTAATGATTTGGATAATCAAAGCTAAAAACAGAAAATTTGAATGGTTTGGATGATCTGTTCTTCTATTAAGGTCAACGTTTTGAAGTTGTGAAATTAAGTAGTTTAAGCAGTGAAATTAAGAACCTGAAGTAGCATCGACGAACTGGCCGTTGATGAAAAGCTTGGTGAATTTGATTTCCGGTAACTTCATCGTGGCGGCTCCGTTGGACTTTCCGTTCTCCATAACTCCTTTTCACTCTCGTCTCTCTCTCTCTCTCTCTCTCTCCTCAAGGGGACAGTAGAAGGACAGAGAGGTTCTATACGTATTTATATCGAAACCTCTCGATTCACACACGTCAGCAAAGACAGTGCTTGTTTTGTTATGTATCTGGGAGCGTGCATGCACGTGAAGATTATTATAGGTTTTTATCTAGACTCTAATACAATTTTTGGATCAGTTTAGTAGATAATCTTAAACTTAAGCGGGGGTATATTAAGTTTTTACTTCTTTGTTAGATGCAGCTAGATATTTGAAGTTTATCTAGATACTATTTTTTAGTATTTGACTATTTTTTCTTAATAATAAAAGTTATTACTATAAGAATTTATAAGTTTTAGTACTTTTTAGGCTCTTTATAAATAGGCTTTTATGTTTATCTTTTTTATAGCTATGATTTAGTAGATAATCTTTTTTTTTTTTTGAACGAGGATATTATTATTTTTCTTCTATGCTGATACAGCTAAATATTTGAAAGTTATTTAAAACATTTTTAAATATTTCTCTTTTATTTATTAATATAAAATTATTAAAAATATAGGTTTTCTTGTTTTTAAATTTTAACTTCTCTAATAAATAATTTTTTATTAATAACTTCATACTCATTACTTGGAATCATATTTTTATAACTGTAAAAATTTAAAATCGAATTACCAATAACTTATTGGAACAATCAAGGCTTTGTGACCCAGTGGTAAAAGGGTCACAGTTGTGACTTCCGCCACATGGGTTCGAATCCCCTTGACCACCCAGACTGCCTTAAATGGTAAAAATATGCGGTTATCAAAAAAAAATAAAAAAATAACTTATTGGAACTCTTCCCACAGATCTTTGGAACATCAATTTTTATTTGTCTGTTAAAGAAATTGTTTTTATTTTGTTTATTCAAAACCTAATAAGAAAGACATTTTCAATTATTAATAATATAAGAGTAAATAATAAATAAAAGTTCATCCATTGTTCGATTTTCCTAAGTTAAAATCTTCATATGTTAATATCCAAACTCTTGAATACAATAAATTAGACATGGTGTTTGGTTACGCGTCTACATCCCTCATCGATGGCATTATCTTAGGGAATTCAAAATAAATACACATCTACTCAAATGTTTTTGATAAAAGACATAGACTAAATATTTATAATTATTTTGAAAAGTTCTTGAAACGAGTTGTATTGACTAATAGTTGAAAAGTAATAGTTTACAAGACTGAAAGATCTTGTACAGCAGCCACAGCTTTGAGACATGTTCTCGGAACACATGAATACATCTACAGTCAAGATAACTGGAATAAGTTGCAAAGAAAAGGTAATCACTTTTTAATTGTCTTAACTCTTAAGTCGATATTAGTAACTATTGATCACTATAAAGTTCGCATGTAGGAGTAATATATTACAAATGTTTTGTTTTATCAATGTAATAAGACTTCATCAAAAGGAACTAAGGTGCTATAAAGCCTACAATTGTAGTTTAAAGAAACAAATCACCAAAAATAAAAATTAGGAGGAGGTCTGTAATAAAACTTGTATGCTCTCCAATAATACAAGATAGTTGGTTCATATTAGTTTGAGATATACAATTATCACGGAAAGGTTTATAATGTCTTGCTTCCCTAGGCTTTGTAGTAAAACTGCAACTTGAAATATCGCTGCATAATATTATAATATTGTTTATAATTTACGCACACATCACATTATTAACTTTCAATCCAGATCACGACACATTGACATTGTTAATTAATTCAAGTACAGCAAATACTCTAATCTTTTGTAATATTTTAAACAAAACAAAACTATTATTATAAGTTTTCATGTAAATCTTCTATGACAAGTCCAGGTAAACGGCGGTCATCTCATTGCGTTCGATATTGTAAACCAAATGGCAAGCTTACGTATATCGCAACTAAAATTCTCAAATAGTATGCAAATTAGATAAAAAATATTAAGGATTTGAATATCTCGATGATCTTCTACCATTGAATATAATATTAACTTGGAAACATGAAAGATCTGTTAAAACAAAAAAGACAAAACAAATCAGTATAATTAAGAGATGCTAAAACTATGGAGGCAGTGGCGAAGCTTGGTAGACGGACACGGTGTCAAGTGACACCATATAGTTTTCAATTTTCTTAATAGTTTAGTTAGACAAATTAACATTGACACCATCTAAAAATTGCAATTGAACCCATAAACTATTTTTATTTGCAACATTGCTTTATTTATTCTGAATCCATAAGCAAATTTTAGATATTAGCTTACATTGTAGAATAAAATTAACATATTTAGAAAGATCCAACGTTAATTTTTTGTCAAACCTAAAACCAAATGTTATTTTCTATTCATTTTACTATCTAAACTGTGTTTATCTATCTAATTTTTTTTCTAATTTTTGTTTTTATTTATTTATTTGAATCCGGTTAGAAAATTTTCTGGATTCGCCACTATGGAGGTAGAGTGGGTGTAAGGGATGGCGTGCTTCTTTGGTCATTTGGACATCAATCATAAAAAAAGTTATTTTATTTTGGTAACTGAAGAGTAGAGTAGCACTCATTTAAATTTATCAATGGAGTTACTGCGGTACCGAGTATTCTTGTCATTTAAATATTAAGGACTGAAATTGAAATGTAGATAAAACATTGATTAAAGAGCATATAGTTGGGGAAATTTAGGGAGGATGACATGGATAAAAGACGTTGGGCTGGTTGTTCCAAATTAATTCCATTTATGAATATGGCCACTGGAAGTGAGATATTATAAATTTTTAACGAAGAAATCCTATTGTTTCCGACAACTGTGACACCGAGTGCTCGCTTCATTGGCCACAGATATGTCATATCGTTATTTGTTTCCACCGGCAAAATAAACGGACGACAACATGTATATAATTTTCTTTTTTCTTAATAATAAGACGATGGTCCGAATTTTTAACACTGGACTAATCGTTTTATGACGAGTATAACCGTAAAGCATGACACTAATTTGAATGACCAAATGATGGTGGTTAGATAATTCTATGTTCGAAAAGAATTGATTTCTAGTCAACATAGTAACTCTTCATCAGACGAGAATTGCTACAAAACCTATTCGTTAATGTATTCGGAAGAAGATAGTCTATTTTCTTCCACGATGGCGTTCTATCAATTTAATATTTGGTCCCGGTTATATCATAATTGCATTGTTTTTTATGTTATCAACCTATGAATAATTGCACTTTTTATTTGCTGTCAACGAATACTTGTATTTTTGAAAGAAAGTAAACGAGAGTGACGTACAAAAAGGGGAATAATACATATATACGATTTTTTATTCGTGAATAGAGATATGATGTACAACAATTGACCCAAAAATGATATGTATGTCGTTATAAAAAAAAACATCTCTCTATAAATATATGTGTGTGATAAATCATGATTTCAAGCAAAAGGTATTTAGATTTAGACCTTTTAAAACATTTTTGTTTCTAGAGGACCCAAGAAAACAGATGGGAGCATGGAACCCAACTACCAAGTGGACAAACAAACTAATTCAACCAAAAATCACTAAATAGATTTTAATAACATTTTAAAGAAAAAAGTTTTAAAAAAAAAAAAATTAATGGTTAGAAACATGGATCCTATTATATGTACGATGTGGCTCATCTCAGAATCACAAAAATATAAAAATGCCAAAAGAGGAAGCATCATAAGTCAGAGAGCCATATATAAGTAGAGCTTAAATCGAGCAAAACTTCCAGAAGGAGATTTGTATGTGTCTGCTTAGAGAAACAGTGTACAGCTTAAAGGACAACACGTGGCACAACCAGGATCGTAGTATTTGCATACCGTTTAAAACATCAAACCAAACACAAACACCAAAAAAGAGTCTAAATCTGTTGTTAGAAAGCAAATTCTACAATAGGCGACTGATTAATGTAAAGTATTAATATGAACAAATTAATATAACATAATATTAAAATGATACAAATAAACAAGAATTAAGGAAATAAAACCGGATTTGCAGAGTCGATCTCTTTCCTTAATTCTGTAAACGCCCCGTAGTGTGACGGTTGCATGGCGTTCCGAATCCCAGGATAAAACTGCATACTTCTTATGATTGCATCACTCAATACATAAGCTTGCGAACCATGTTTTCTGTGATGTACTCTCATAAGAAAAAAAAACAAAAAGAAGAAAAGTGAAAGAATTGTTTCTTGTATGAATGATAATGATCATGTCCTTAACACAAAAAGGAGGAGATGGCTTTATAAAGCCTATGCCAACGTAGGCATTAGTGGAGATTGAGAATTATTCTCACAATAACTCTTTCAACATGACTTAATATTTATGTTACAAAATCAATAATAATTGATTTGCACTTAATTGTCATTTAAAAATATTAATTAGAGAAGATATTTGTTGACTTAATCAACATCAAAATTCAACAAGAATTTCGGACCAAAAAGAATTAATCTTATGACTTTGGCCCGATTGCCAATCCCGAGGCCCGAGACACAAGTTCGTCCCGATAATCTCTTTCTCTATTAAACACAAGTTTTTAAACTTTGTTTAAATTCTCCACTTTATATACAAGAGGATTTCACCTCAAACTTCCAATGTGGGACATTTCATAAAATGTTACATTTTATGCTATACAAGCAACCCACTTGGACCTCCATTTCTCATTCAAACCAACTTCATTTTTGACATATAAATATTATCAAAAATAAGTTCCAACAATCCCCCACATGAATAGAAATGACTCTAGACACTGGACGACTCAACTCTAGACTTGACTCAAAAGACTCAAAAAACGACTTTTGAGAGTACAAGCGAAAAATCCACTGTATATGAGTTGGTAGCATTTTTCAGCCTTGAACCAAATCACTGTTATAAACTATCGGATTTACTCGACCAAGAGGTGAACATGATGTCTTGAACCTCTCGGGCTTTGATGTAAACCGAGACAATAGCTATAACACAGCTTCATTCTCTCACAGAATCAGGTTCTCTATTGTGTTCATTTTGGCCGTGAACTTGCTGGATAATCATGAGTGAACTTGGAGAATATAGCCTTTCATTTATTCTCCTAGAAACGGCCCCATTTCACACTCACAAGGTGATTCGCCATTAACTTTGTTTAAAGGAGTATCCTGCATTACTCCATGTATATTTCAAAGTTATGGACCCAAATCATTAAAAGCAAAAGCTTATCCTCTACACCATACAGGTAGCACTGTTCATCATCCTAGGAACTGGGTAGAGACATGAGTCTCCCAGTGCTAGTTGATTCAGTTTGACTTAGTTTTCCCCTTGAACCTATTTCATGGGATCTCCAATCAGTTAGGTAGGGTTACCATCAAACATCCTCTTAAGTCATAGGCTTTAAACCCATTCCTCTTGATGATTTTACAATTTGATCTCATGACACACCTTTAATTGGATCCTAGGTTGTCATTCAAGTAGATATAATCTATTAAGATTACTCCATTTGAGATCAATTGTTTAACATTTTAGGCAGTGGCATTGCAACTTTTGCTATGCACCCCCACACTTTTAGGTATTTGTACAAATGTACTTTACCTTTCAAAGTTCATATGACATTTTGTCAATGACTTTATGTGGTAAGCAATGTTTTTCCCCCACATTTCTTGAGATAACTCAAAAATTATGTAACTTTGCATTTTCACAATTTTAAGTTTAAACAATGGCTAGAAAGATCAATATCTTTTATAACCAATTTTAAACTCATTTCCACATAATTTGTTTCATATTAGTCTTGTGTTTACAACACTAAGCATTAATATGACAATATGATAAATATCATAACTTGGTACAATCACAAGTGGAAGACCATTACCAAAATAAATTTGGTATGTCAACTCACTAAACTTGTTACCAATAACCCTTCAACCACTAATGGTATGAGACAAAATCATAAATGGTAGATCACTCCCAACATGGGGTATCAACTCATTTGATTTTCAGTTTAGAAACATTTTTCTAAATATTCTAATTTTTGGTAATACCGTTTGATTCAATTTACTCACATCCAAACCAATTTAATTCAATTTATGCCAGTAAAATAAACTGTATAAACTAATTAAATTCAAATCTCAGTCAAATTCAGAAATTAATGTTTTAATGCAAGAATAAATATATGCAATTAAAACCTCACGATTCAATGCAGTAACAAATATTAAAAATGCATTGACCAAATAATTCTTGATTAAACAAATCAAAAATTCAATAGAGATTAATGCAACCATATAAGCATAATCAAATAATATGCAACATAATAAAAAAATATATGCACATGTGAACACACGATGCATTGCACACATTTTTTTCCCATCTGCAAAAAAATATCCTTTAGATATATTGTAATACATATTAATCTGAAAAAAAAAATAGAAAAAATAAAAAAAATTCTCCAAAATTCCTGCAAAATAATCAGAAAAATAATCCAATTTTCAGAATTTAGTTCTTCAATGAACACCTTTTCATATCAATCTTAACAAATATAAGAATTATTAATACATAACAGAATATATTTTTTCAGATATAAACACTGAAATAATTCTGAAAAATTATGCAAAATAATTAAAATAAATTGCAGAAAATTAGAAGAATTAAGGATACTCTTCCTTTGATAACCTGAAAAATAATCAGAATAATTTCTGAAAATAACAGAAAATCAACTCCACAAAATTCTGATAATCTGCAAAAAGAATTAGCATAAATTTTCAGAAAAATTGGAAAAATAAATCCAATTAATCCATAATTTCCAGTTTCTGTTTCCATAACAAAAACACTTCACAAAAATCAGTTTTCCGTTAGTGCAATACGCAAAAACGAAAGTTTACAGAATTAAGATTGTAAGAACGCAAATTCTACAATGGGCGACTGATTAATGTAAAGTATTAATATAAACAAATTAATAAACATAATATTAAAATGATACAAATAAGCAAGAATTAAGGAAGTAAAACCGGATTTGCAGAGTCAAGATATGATCTCTTTCCTTAATTCTGTAAACACCCCATAGTGTGACGGTTGCATGGCGTTCCGAATCCCAGGATAAAACTGCATACTTCTTATGATTGCATCACTCAATACATAAGTTTTCGAACCATGTTTTCTGTGATGTACTCTCATAAGAAAAATAAAACAAAAAGAAGAGAAGTGAAAGGATTGTTTCTTATATGAATGATAATGATCATGTCCTTAACCACAAAAAGAAGGAAATGGCTTTATAAAGCCAATGACCAACGTAGGCATTAGTGGAGACTTGAGAATTAATTCTCACAATAACTCTTTCAACATGACTTAAATATTTGATGTTACAAAATCAATAATAATTGACTTGCACTTAATTGTCATTTGAAAATATTTAATTAGAGAAGATATTTGTTGACTTAATAATCAACATCAAAATTCAACAAGAATTTCGGACCAAAAAGAATTAACTTATGGATCTTGGCCCGATTGCCAATCCCGAGGCCCGAGACACAAGTCTCGTCCCGATAATCATCTTTCTCTATTAAAATACAAGCTTTTAAACTTTGCTTTAAATTCTCCACTAGGATTTCACCTCAAACTTCTAATGTAGGACATTTCATAAAATGTTACATTTTATGCTATACAAGCAACCCACTTAGACCTCCATTTCTCATTCAAACCAACTTCATTTTTGACATATAAAATATTATTAAAAATAAGTTCCAACATCTGTGAGTTATCAGACGATGACAATAGCGTTTGCGTTTACATAACGAAACTTGTCGTCTTGAAGAAGTACACATCATCGTTCCGTTTCAGTGTAATTAATCTTAATTAGTGAACTCTCAAATACTGTTATGTATACATGTGAAAACCTTGTAGGTGTCGTCACAATCACGTAAGAGTCCGAATTTTTGCGAGTAAAAAGCAACAAAATGAGACAGGAATTGTGGAACACGAGAGTACACTTCTCTTGTCTTGACTCTGGAGTCTGGACCCAACAAATACAATGCACCAATTAATCAAGTTGTCAATGTAAACCTAACTAGACATTATATATTGTGGTGGCTTCTCCAAAAGCGCATGTAATAGTCTTCTTCTCACAACAACCTCGTGCTACTCGCTTTTCTGATCATTCTTTTGTGCAGGACTAACCAAAACCACCAAGAGATATTATTACCAAACCTACCTTTTTAACGTTTTCATCAATTTCATCATTTATATTTTACTATTGATATTAAGTATTGTGTTGATGGATCCCTTCAGTCTTCACTATTAAATAACAACAGAGTTTTCTAATTATATTTTAACAAAACTAAGGAAAAATGCGTCTGCCGGGAGTCGAACCCGGGTCTATTGCTTGGAAGGCAATTATCCTAACCGTTGGACTACAGACGCTTTTGTTTGCATTTCATAGTTTATACATATTGAGATATTCTGAATAATGATTTTTATTACAATCTGTTTCTTACATCACAAGTCATAACTGATCCTCTGTTAAGATAAGGAGTCTCAATCTCTCTTAATGGATTATGATGAAACAAACTACAAAGATAAATTCCGGTTGCTTGAATCAATCTACACTCTCATGGCGAATGCAACTGATACATTGGTCTCATGGCGATCGCATAGACTCATTGCATCTAAGAACATATATCAAAGCATAGCCTAAACTCCTATCAGTTTCAAGTACTTGTACTTCCTTGAGCCTTTACTTTCTCTCGTCACACTTATCCATATCAGCCCAAAGTTAACTTCTTGACTGAGCTTATCAATTATCATCCTCGTCTGATTTACATTTCATTTTCAGAAATACTATTTCTTATGTTACCAATATTAGGCGTCTCGTCTGGGAAGAATGAAGTCGTAGCTGACATTTGATTATTTGGATGATTTTTTTCTAAATGTCGAGTCATTGGTTGAATTTAGCGGACAAAATACCGCTAGAGACCTTTTTCTTCATTATCAAAATTACTATTAACTAAAATAGTTTGAACTATATATTCTTTACAAACTACACATTACAAAAAAAAAAAAAAAAAAAAAAAAAAATCTTTACATACTACAAGAATGAAAATCTACCTATTAGAGGTAAACAATATTAGCGATAGATAGTAGAAATTCACAAATTTATAACTATATTTAGAGTTATAAAATGTGTCTTCTGAAAATGATGCAGTTTTGTTAAGAAATCTTAAAGTTATCTATTTAGCAATATATAAGATATACACAAATATTACCTTTCCTATATATCAAGTCCATCTATCTGACAGCTTGGGAGATTTCCGACGAAATTGTAATATATATATATGAACATTTGGCACACTCCGACGAAACAATATCAACTTTCTTTGACTAAAATTTTATAGTCGAAAACTCCAAACAAAAAATTGAAAATGAAGAACGTTTCTCTCAAGCTTCCACTCTTGATTTTCATCTTGGTCATCACAGCTAGTAAGTATATTTATTAGTTTATAAATTAAACCCAAAATGATGAGAAAGAAAACGTATCATTACATCTACCAATGTCTTCTATTTTTTTTATTTTTATTTTTTGAACAACTTCTACCAATGTCTTCTATATTTTCCATTGGAGAGATAAAACAAATTACTAACTCTTAAAGCCTTCGTGTTTATGTTAATGATGGAGAAGATCTTGGAGCAGAAGCAAGAAAGCTAACTGGACTTGATGAGAAATTCGAAGATATCACCGGAAGTTCAAGTTACGCCGGCACAGGCAGGATTATGACGGAGACACCAGCACCACCTTGTAAGAATGACTTTGATTGTATCTTTAGATGTCCCAAGGATGGAGTCTGCAATCCTGGCCCTGGCCCTGGCCCAGTCGGCAATGTTGGCCCTGGCAGATGTGTTTGCAACTAAATTATTAATTAAATTATGGCCAATTCTTTAATATAACACATTTTAACCTTTGGTTTCAAATGTAGTTTATAATTTTTTCCCCTACAATAGCATAAATTCAACTTCAAAATGATTCAAAACTCTTTCTTAATGGAAGAAATTGAAACCCTACATTGGAAAAAGAGAGCACAAACCATAACATGTTAATTCTATGTGCAATTGATTTAAGATAACCAAACATATTTACAAAACAATTTGTGTTACTTTTGTAGTTTTTAAAATTTAAATATCTTGTGATAGATTTGGAACAAAAACTATTTTTGTGTTATTTTATGATATTTTTCTCTTTTCCCATTTGTAATCCAAGATTAATAACCATATGCTTAATAGAATCTCACTCTGAAAAAATAAAAATAAAAACTTTTAACACAAGAAAACAAAACAGTTTTCAAGGTTTACACTTGAGGCCTCTCCGTGCCAATGACAATCTTGACCTCGAAGACACTGCTTTTTCTTCTTCTCCTCCACTGTCATCACTGTCAAGAACAACAATTGATTCAGACATTGATGATGCTTCTTCCAAACCCGAGTTCTCATACTCACTGTGCCAATTTCTTGGATCTTGATTAACTTGCGCAAGTACCTCGGTTTTGCATACTTCATTGACCTGTTGTGGCTCTCCTAGTGTTCTCAAGGAGAGTTTTCGGCTTAGTCTAGTGTTGTCACTCTTCACAGCAGGATTTCGAAACCTCGAGGAGGCCAAGTTATTGTTATTACTGAGTGATGTTGCATTATCCAATGGCTGCTTCATCCCCAGAGATAGCCTCTTTCGATCTGAATCTGGTTTCTTGTTTTCTTTGCAAGATGCTGAAACTCCATTTGCGAGTTGTTGTTCAACACACGAGTCATTCTTTTGAGATTGAGGAGGCAGAGGCAATGCAAGAGATAGCTTCTTCCTGCTCGTTTTTGTCCCATTGTCACCAGATGTGTTCGCTTCACAGAAACCAGTCAGTGCTTTTCTTTTTCCATTTTGATCTTTAGCCGCAGTGTCTATGTCTTTTGTATGTGTTGTGCCTAAGGAAGATTCCACAGTTAACTTCAGCTTAGCCCCGTCAAGATTTTCTTGATTGCCACCAGCTAAAACTCTGTTTCCGCTTTCAGAAGCCTTCTTCTCATCAACATGACTCTACAGACACACAAAATGGAAATGAGAATTGACTAAGCAAGATCAACATTATACTTCAAGCTCATTAAAGACTCAGATTTCTGGAAAAATATACAAGAATAACAAATTTATGCTCCTTAACCTCGCATGTGAAGCTGGAGCTGCTTCCATCAGCCTTAAACTTTGCATACTTCTCAGTCATCTCACGTGCCTTGTAATCGAAAGTTTGTCTATTGTATTTGTACTCCCTGCTCTGAAAAATAAGGAAAACACTTACAAGAATCATAAGAAAAAACTCAGAGAAAATGATGTGTGTGGTTAAGCATTTCAACAAGTAAAAGACGTACTACTTCACACATCAAGCCATCGTCTGGATTCGGATCACTCAGCAACAGTCCAATGCTCGTCAACACTGTTGAGATATTCAATGATGGTTGCCAAGCGCCCTGTGTTCATATCAGAAAACTAGCCATTATTATATGTTATGCATAAAGAAGACACCTTCACTTGCGCAATTCAGATCAAGAAACAAGAAAAAAAGTGCCAAACTGAATTTGATTCAGGAGCATAATTGTAATGAAGAAAACGTGAAAAAATGCATTTCATCACTACTGTTGAAGAGCTTTCATGTATCCTCTAATAGCCAAGAACCACCATGGACAAAAATGAATTACATGAGCAAAATCGACATGACTAAGTATCTAACACAAATTGGTAGAAACATATCAACAAAAGACTAAAGGAAACTGAATCAAATCACAGCTCTCACCTTGGGAGGGAGATTCAAGATGTCAAGGCAAATCCGGCCACTATTATCAATGTTTGGATGGTAAATCGGAGTCTCAAAAGACACAATCGGCGGCTGAAATGGATATCTGATAAAAGGCCAATTTCTCATCAGACTTCAATAATAATCAAAATCATGACACCTAAATAAGAGTCGAACAGTACCTCTCAGGGATTTGGATCTTCACGTTGAAGATTCCATTAGCATATACAGTATCTTCAGGACCTTCGATCTCTGGGAGAAATCAAAACCAACAAAAGACGCTGAGAAGAGAGAGATATCAATTGCCGAAACTTGGAAAAAAATAAAAGAGGGATGCGAAAAGCGAACGGGCATCGATGGTGGAGAAAGTGGAGAAATCGCCGGAGCCAGCGGCGGCGGAGGAGAGATGTGGAAACGAAGCGCCGTGAGGTGGATCTGAGAGGAGAAGCTTAAGCTCCTTCTGCATTCTCATGCTTAATCTCGCTGCTTGAGCCATTGAGAAAAAAAGTTGAAGATTGTGGAAAACTTGATTCGCTGCTTTTCTTCGTTTCCAGTGAAATCCGATTTCTGAAAAATCTGCAGAAATGTTTTTGAAAATTTTAGGGGCGAAATTGATTTTGGCACTGGCGGGGAAGATTTTTAGATTTGGCGTTTTAATTCGACGAGAAAAATATTTATTTTAGCAAAATTAGGCTTTAAGATATGAACCGTTAGATTGTACGAGATGATACCATTGATTCAACGGTTCAGATCGAGGGCATGAAAAAAATAGGGTGTTGACAGTGGGATTTGAACCCACGCCCTTTCGGACCAGAACCTTAATCTGGCGCCTTAGACCAACTCGGCCATATCAACTTCTGATGTTCAACGTTTTATCACTGATGGAGAAAACTACACTCACACACTTTTTAACTTATAATTGACACTCAGACACACTTATTGACAGAGGTGGACTTTCACCATTTGAGTTTACCCTCTTGCCCTTCTTTCTTTTCTTATTCACATGTCGACCAAGTCTTGCCTTTTTCCATTATTCCCTTCCGACGATAAGAGAACTCCGACGACCTCACAAACCATTTTCCTCCGACGGCCATGATTCCGTTCTACTTGTCTCCACCCAGATCCCTCGTTCCGATTTCCTGGTTTTTCGATTTCGTTTCTCTCAATTTATAATCTCTTCTCTTCTCTGTTAGCTTTGTTCTCTTCTCCAGATTCTGAATCTGGGTTTTTGTTTTGTTTGGTTCAGATTGTATCGATTCGAAAACTTCCAAATTCATTAGATTCCGACGGTTTCCGGTGCTAAGTCGACGGATTGAAGAGAGGCGGAAACTCTATCATCTGCAAATGAAGTTCTTTACATTTCAACAAAATTCGTTGATGTGGTTGTTTTGGATAGTTTTAATGTAGATACGAGTGGATAGTTTGCATTGGATAGTTTGATTTGGATAGTTTGTTAAACAGCTATTTGGATAGGCTGTGAGCATGGAGAAAATCTCACATTTCACAGTTTGTGAGCCGTTTATTCCTCTGTTCTTCTCTTGCGTTTAGACCTCTCAATTCGTTTGATAATATTCTTGATTAAATTGCAGTGATCATGACTTGAATTGGAAGTTTTGTTTTGTTTGTATCTCGATTTGCTCCATTTTAGTTTGCTTGAATATTGAAACTCATAATTATATATTGAGGTTTTTTTATGATGTAGATAGGTGCCGATAAAAACCTTCTTGTCAAACACGGGTGAGAATCTCAAGTCCATTCTTTTTGTTTGGATTGGAAAATGAATTACCATTTGTACAAAATTTCTATCTTCATTACTTAGTACAAATTTCCAAACTTAATTACTTAATGCTAGTATGCTACTGCTTGCTTTCTTTATATTTCTGTGTATCCACTTTGTTTTGCAGGTTCTATTGGCTTACGATCTTACTGTGGAAAGCAAAAAAAGCTAAAATTCATGTGCGAAGAAACTGTGGAGAGGTGAAGCAGTTCATGTCTATGTTGAAAGTTTAACATTTGAGAAATTTGTTCGAATTACTACACTTGTTTTAGTTAATTTTTCTCATTGTTTGTACCTTTGGTCTTATTACCTCAGTTATACAGTTCACTCCATTAATCTCACATATTTTAGGCATAAACTATCCACAGATAACCATCCATGAAAACAATCAGCTTACAAACCGTACAACCGTACAAACAACACAACTGTCCAACACAAAAAGTGTACACGCAGAGCATCTGTCCGATTAAAAAACGTCCATCCAATAAAATCAAAGCTAATAACTCCGCGAAAGACGAGTATACAGTCGGCAATTTCTTTCTGAACTAAGATTTTCCCAACGAACTCTGAACGGCAGCGAATTACTAAACAAAATTGAACAGGTCCAACTACAATTACGTCGCTGGCAATGACGTCGGCGGAACGGTCGCCGGTAATAAATAGACATTGCCGGAAAGGCACACAACGAATGGTAACAAATAAAATCACTTCTTTCATTAAGGGTGAAATGGAAATATCATCTCACAACAGTCCAAAAATAAGTCCACATCTGTCAAAAAGTGCCTATTTGTGATATCAAAGTCATAAAAGTGTGTCTTAGTGTAAATCACTCATCACTGATGTATTTAAAATTGTATCAATCAATTTAATCTGAATGTTTTTTATTATGTGATGAACTTCCAATAGCTTGAAATAGAAGCTACAATATAAAAATTATGTAACAGATAACAGTCGAGCCTTTTTTTTGTACAGCATAAAAAAAGACTCAAAAAAAATATAAGAAAAGATGAACATGCTTCGCATATAGTTTGATTTTGAGAAAATAAGGTAAAATTCAGGATTCACATACGGCATGCCGATGCATAACTTTTTATCCCCTTACATCATACATATCTAAATGGAATCATTAAACAAGGTTTGAAATAAGGTTTAATCAAAGGTATGATTGTTTAGTTGGTTAATGCAAAAAAAATGGTTTCATTGTACTTGAAATTCAACCTTTTTTGGATCTTCATGTCATGATTTAGTCAACCGTTTAGTCTAAATTCACGGAGATGGACGAGTCTCGGGACCGAACTTCGAAATTGTAAGGACAACAAAAACAAGACATAACAATAAATAAATAAAACTACACATGCTCCCCTAAAAGTGGCTTGGTCAGTGAGACAGTGACGAAATGAAAAAATAATATAAAAGATATGTGTGGACTGCAACTTAATTTAGTGAAGTGCTTCCCTCCCATGCCACAAACAATTCAGAAAACAAAAAACTCAAAAATTATAGATTTCACGCAAAATATAACATTAATTAACAGACAAAGATAAACGAAGGAAAAAGAGCAAATTGCTCGTGATTAAAAGAGGAGTTGACACGTAACTCTCGTGCACTTTGCGGATCAAATCCATATATGTTCAATGTTCATGATCATATCTGATCCTTAAGCGACCAAATCTAGATCGCTGTTCCTACGCGCTAATTAAACTGCGACTGCTTTTTCTAATTATAAAATACTTTCTAATCTGATGTATAAGTCCTATTCGTAGTTATCAGTTGATTGGTAATAATTTGTTTTTTCAAATGTTATTTGATTACTTTCTGATGACATCATTCGGTTGAATTGTATAAGTCATAAATTAGTATTCAAGTACCTACAATTCGCAAAAAGTGACTAAAACGCCAGAAAACATTTATAAAAAAACACACACACACTGTTCTCAAGCTTCTTCTTGTTTATTTTTTACTCGCATTTTTTGTTCTAGTAGACAAACCCTCAAATGATATTACCCCAACCTATATACTAGTATCAAATTTTATTGATACTTTTTTTCGCCATTAGACTATAAATTAATGCTAACTATGAGCAAAATAGCTTAGTGTATAACATGCACTACGTGGGTGTCTCTCAACTCTAAACAAAGGAATAAGATTTTATAATCTACCTCTCTTTAGGGCGCGCTTTTCTCCCTATGACGTATAAAATGATGTATAAATCGCTTTAATAAACTAATTAATCCGTACTATATGTCTATATCCATTCTTATAATATTTGTACACGAGTAATAATTTGCTAACCTGAATTGAAACGAATAATTTATCCCAAAAAAAAAAAAACAATCGAGTAGTGGAGTGTGCATCGCTAGCAAGATTCTAACACAACGTGTCAGGTAACTATTCGTTAATCTGTCACTAACCAATCAGTGCGGGACAATGTCAGTAGCCCACGCGCGGGTCCTGTCTCGTTTCTCTGAAAATATCTTCGCACTCATACTATCGATATGGCTGGACCAATAACTTGCCACCTGGACTCGGCCATGATTCTCTAAACTACCCAACAATTCAACTGACGCTGAGATCTGCCAAAGCTTCGACAATGGCTGTGTTCAGGCGGACAGTCACCAACGTGGGTCCACCTTCGTCGGTGTACAAGGCCACGGTGAGGGCACCGGAAGGAGTAGAAATAACGGTGGAGCCAATGAGTTTGTCGTTTGCAAAGGCATCACAGAAGAGGAGCTTCAAAGTGGTGGTCAAGGCAAAGCAAATGAGTCCAGGGAAGATTGTGTCGGGCTTGCTCGTGTGGAGGAGCCCACGTCACTCGGTTCGGAGCCCCATCGTTATCTATAGTCCTTCTTTCTCGGACAATAATCTATAATCTATCTTGAAAATGCATTAACCTCTTATATATGACCATCATTATCCAGATTTTTGGTCAATTTCTTCTACAAGTCTATAAATAAACTTACTTATTCTAGGTTGCAAGACTGATTTAGTTGAAAGTTTTGCAAAAACTACCAAGAGAAAATATATCACATATTAATAAGTTTAAACATAAATTCTGATACTAAATAGCAAGTTTCTGATAACAAAACAAAAAAAAGTTTTGATACTGAACAAGTAGCAGCGACCAATATTAGTTAGGGCCTAGCGAGGAATCTTTTCTGACGGCGCTCAAAGAGATAATCACCACAATCTTGACAACCATCAAAGTTAGGGAAGGAAATGGATTCCTTTTGATATTGAGCCATCATAACAAGAAACATACGTCCTCCCATCCAACCACCACCCAATTGCAAGGCCTTTTCCATGTCATCCACATCAACGAAAGCATACCTGTAATAAAGGACAAAAACACACTCAAGGGTCAATCTTAAAAGTTGGTATTCAGTTTTTTTTATTGGAAGATGAACAAGCAAGTCACAAACCCCAAGGGAACACCGGTCTGACACTCTATGGGAACAAAAACCCGTGAGAACATTTTAAAAATGAAAAAGGCAGCACTGTCCCTCACTGATTCGAGGAGGTCATTGTCTCTTAGGTTATGCCGAATTAAGGACCATGCGTTGATGCAATAGAAATTGTTGTTTTATTCAAACAAAATATAGTATTTGTTTATTAAACACACGTAATATGTGGTTAGCGTTTGACCCACGTCCTCTGAGTTAAGTCTATACTAGTTTATCCAATATTTAACTAGTAAATTTGTTTCAAAGATCGCTATTGGATTTCCTGGTGGTGGCTTAAACAATAACATAGTGAAGCCTTTGATGCCTGTGATTCTGATTGGAATAAGGGTTTTCATTCTTAACCAAGTAATCTTTGTCCATTCAAGTAGTATATCTTATTGCAATCTATATCCCTATGTTCAAATTACCCTTGCAAGTTGCAACACTTCTGGATATATGTGAACACTTCTGGATATATGTGAATAGTGCGATTGCCTGATTAGGAGTTGATGTTTGTGAAAAATAGAAAATGATCTTTTAGTTTTATAATTGTGAAAGAAAAAAAGAGAAAAAAGAACAATGCATTGAGGTGTTAGAGGTGTTTGCCCTTAGAGTTCAATTAACAATGTATCTAATCGGATCTAGTGTAGTCTTCGAAACCAAACAGAAATCATGTTAAATTCGATGTGTGGTCAGAAGTCGACCTAAGTGTATTCACAGCTGTGAGTCTATTACCATCAGACCATAAGTATCTGGTTAAAAACGAAAATTCTTGGTGTCAAGAATTGGAAACTAAAGTTTGGGAGATACAATTTTGTGAATTATGATGTCAGCACAACCTCCTCTGAAATACACTAAAATCACTAACCTATGCTTGATAGTTTCAAAAATTTGCTTAATTTCACACATGGTCGGATCAAATTACTTGTCACCTAAGAAATTTTGTGAAAAGGGCAAAAGGACATGAAGCTTTCGGGCACCTGCAGAGGGTCCCACAGTATGCCCGTGACACCGTGAAAGCAAAACACGAAGTTGCCACGTTATCACAAAAGCAAGCCACGTCCTCAAACCATCTCACTGTCACAGTTTACTACTACTATACTATTATCCCAAAACTTCACTTTTTCCTATTTTTTTTTTTTTTTGTTTATATAAACCCATAAGCTTGCTCCTTAATTTCTTTACCAACAGCAAACATATAAAGCGAAAAGCAAAAGAGAGAAAAGAAAGAAAAAAAGAGAGAGAGATGGAGGACGACAACAATACTAATAACACCACAACAAACAACACAAACGTGATCGCACCTTTCGTTGTGAAGACATATCAGATGGTCAACGATCCTTCTACCGATTGGCTCATCACTTGGGGTCCTGCTCACAACAGCTTCATCGTCGTTGACCCTCTCGACTTCTCTCAACGCATCTTGCCTGCTTATTTCAAACACAACAATTTCAGCAGCTTCGTTCGTCAGCTCAACACTTATGTAAGTCATAATACTATACTCTCTCTCGATTCCAACTTCTTGACAAGATTCCAAGAATCAATGTTGATGTTCTTGTGTTGATTGAATCTTTTTCTTCAGGGGTTTCGCAAAGTGGATCCGGATCGGTGGGAGTTCGCGAACGAGCATTTCTTGAGAGGGCAGAAGCACCTGCTCAAGAACATAGCGCGTAGGAAACACGCGCGTGGGATGATGTACGGTCAGGATTTGGAGGACTGCGAGATCGTGAGGGAGATCGAGCGGTTGAAAGAGGAGCAGAGGGAGCTCGAGCTGGAGATTCAGAGGATGAACCAGAGGATCGAGGCGACGGAGAAGAGACCGGAGCAGATGATGGCGTTTCTCTACAAGGTCGTCGAGGATCCCGATCTCCTCCCGAGGATGATGCTCGAGAAAGAGAGGAAGAAGCAAGTCTCGGACAAGAAGAAGCGTCGCGTCACGGTTTCGACGGCGGTGAAGTCAGAGGAAGGAGAGGAAGATGACGGGAACGGGAAGGTGTTCTGTGTGATATCGCCGTCGCCTTCTCCTCCGGAGAATATGTACCGGACTCAGTCGCCCGAGAATTTGTTGGGATGGGCTGTTCCGATGCAGAGGCCAGGGCATTTTGTGACTTACAACGAGTCCGGTCTTGTGGGGAACTCTATGATCTCTACTTCTTCTTCTTCGACGTCATCGTCGTTGACGTCGTGTTTGTCGTTGCCGGAGAGCGTGAACGGAGGCGGAGGATGCGGGAGTATTCAGGGAGAAACAACAAGGTTCAACGAAACGGCGGCGTTTGGAGGAGTGGTAGAGTCAAATCCAGCAACACCACCTTATCCGTTTTCTTTGTTTCGAGGTGGCTTTTAGACTTTTAGCTTCACATGATATATGATCTTTGGGTTCTTGTTATTATTTAATTATTGTTTTTTATTTATATTTAGTTATTATTATCAAATGTATAACCTAAAAAAGAAAAAAGGACAGATCGATAGTTGTTAGTTACGTGAGTATTAGGACAGAGAGACAGAGTCAGTAGTCATATCGGTTTTAATAGAAAGTTGACAGTATATATTTTTTCCTGATTTGTATTGTTGAAAGCTCATATGTTTGACTTTGTTTTTTTAAGTGTTTCGAGGGGATTTGTAATTTTATTCACGTTTTGTAATGACAACAATTTTGATCTACTTCTACAAAGTAGGCTTCACTTTTGTTTTTCTTTCATAAGACAGCCCTAAGTATACAAAAAAATTGATAAAGCTTAATCCAAATGGCTTTTACTTTTGGGGTTAGATTTTAAAATTGATACATGTACACTCTAAATTTAGATGGTGGTGGCTTCAAATACTTTGATCCGAATATAAAATAACTTTTGAAAAAATTAGAAATCACTGAAGACTAAAACATCATATTATCTCAGTGCTATAATACTTTTTTATTATCCAAAAATCTCCCAAAATCTAAAATATCTCAAATTTCTGATGGTTTCTATAGTTTTGTGTTCCAACTTAAATTTCCGTCTGTGCAGTTTACCAAACCTGCTTTAAATGGATTCGGTTAGTTTTAGTTTACGGATCATTTTTTGAATGATTTCGAATTACATAATTAGTCCAAGCAAGACGCAAAAACTTGTCAATTCCGCTACTGGTTCGTTCAAGATTTAAGTACAATTAAATGCATTTTGATATTTAGTTGAGATCATTACACCCCACATTTTACTAACTAATGGATCTACCACTAGGTGGTCCAGCTTGCTATGAGGGACCTCATGGAATGAGCATTGAGTGGCTTCCCAGAACAAGATGCCAATAGGCAATAGTATTGCTCTACATTATCATAGGGATATTTATAAGAAGACAAATGCTTAGAGCTGATTATAAAATCAGTAGAAACATTGCCTATGTATTTGCCGTAGTTAACGCGACATTAAACATTAACTGAGTGTTTAAGAGGTCAGCGAGACACCCACTAAGAATCAAGCATATCCCCAACACGACGCTGCACTTTTACTGCATCAACGGATTGTTAAAAAATTTCAGACGTGACAGTTTTTTTTTTGGCTCATAGACGCGACAGTTAGGCACGGTACTTTGGTCGGTCGCGGTTCAAACAACGTTTCGAACACTCTTTGGGTTAAAGAAGAGACACTTAAACAACGATTTGATTTCATTGGACCGGCATGGACCACCTGATGTCTCACACACATGGACGCGTGTCGTCACCAGATAGTGGCAATATCTCTTTTAGATGTGCGGATCCCACACTTATATTTGTCGGCTCTAATGATACGCATACATCGTGTAAACTGTAGCGAGTTTTTGTCGTTGTTCATGATCAATTGATCGATTACGATTGTTTCGTCGATATGCTTGAAATTTTGCTACAATTTTATGATCTCTTTCAATCAATTTCGTATAATAGAGAAATTAATAATCAACATACCAATCCTTACCTAATAATTTACTACTTAATTAGAACATATATTAAATGTGAACGGTCTAAAATTCATTTGAAACAAAGTCGTCCCGAATTTTAAAATTCATATTATTAATCAGCTAACAAAATTAAATTATTGGTTATGGTCTTATGGACAGCTAGCCGCCTATCCGTATTTAGTAATCAGAGTAGTATTTCTAGTCCAAATCAAAGGCGTACGATTCGATAAAAATGGAAATATATACTAAAAAAGAAATGTGAGAAGATAGAAACCGTCTCTCGCCGATTAGAGGAGGTCATTGTATTTGTATCTTAGGATCTAGCGAATTCAGGACCATGCTTTGATGCTATAGTTAAATTCTTGTTTTATACAAAGCACAATCATTTTTATAATGCACCTAATATGTGGTTAGCATTTGACCCACGTCCTTTTAAGTTAAATTTACATAGTTTATGCATTACTTAATTGGTATATCTTTTTTATTAGGATATTAAGTTTCTTGGTGATGGCTTAAACAATAAACTAGTGCATTGGGATATTTGTGTGTTCTACTTTGATTGGATTAGAGGGTTCAATTCTTAACCAAGCAATCTTTGTCCCTTAAAAGTGCTTTCTTTTATAAAAAATATTATAGTCTCTCTATAATTAAATACTTATTTTGGCACTCAGTGCCAATTCATTTGTTTATACAAACATCTTATCAAACCAAATATCGAGAGTAAGGGAAAAAGACATCAAAATAGGTTGTTGACTTGTTTCAAAATTGCTAAAGTTATTTCCAAATATATGCACAAAAGAAAAAATCATTCCCATATTATATTGTCTGCAAAGTTACTTAAATTATTCAACCTTTACCGTATTCTAAACCACTTTTTGAAATGGACAAATGGTGTAGTTTTATAAAAATCATTTAACCCAAATATCTTAAACATTAGTGGTGACTGTTGAAGGAATGTTGTTTACAGCTGGTGAGTGGTAACCGAGAGCTCTAGGTTTTGGATTTTGGACTGATCACGTGTAAACTCTTTTTGATAATAGATTGTGGAGACAGTTTCAAATCGAGAGATAGACTTAAATCGCACCTCGTATAAGATTAACTGCTCAATGGTTTCCTTTCTTACTTCTTTTCTCTATTGTTTTGTTGTGTTTCTCTGCTTTTGTCTTTTCCTAAATTCTAACTGTGTATTTCCATTATGTTTTCAAATCCACAAAATAGAGACTGTCAAGCTAATGAAACCATCAAGGTTTGGATAATGAATGTGCAAAAGGTTTGAGAGTGATCCATACTAATACTGATAGGAGTTAATAAACATTATGTTTGAAAATAATATTATCGTCCACCATAATTTTTTTTTTTTCTCACTAGATTAACTAAAATATCAGGTAAAAGATCAGATTCGAATCCAAGTAAATCCTGATAAAATAATATGAATTTTAAGTTTTTAGTTATCCAAACAAATATAATTTAATTTTTTACCCATATCGAAAAAAAGGGCATCTCACAAAATATTATTTAATATATATATAAGAAAAGTGAAATAAAAATGACAAAAATATCAATATTGCAATACACCACAAATAGATCCGATCAAAACCAAAAACCATAGACTTCTCTCCCTTCTACAAGATTTGGAGGAAAGACAAAACATGAAGAATAAGAGCAATCATCGTAATACTAATTATCATCAATCACCCATCAGAAAAAAATTCTGAAACTTTGAATCTTCTTCTTCTTTTCACTGCGAGAAAACTCGAAGTCCAGCCTCTAAATCCTCCAACTTGATAGTACAAATCTCATCAGTATCAACACACTCAAAGCTAAGCCTGAGATCAAGAAACTCCCTAGCGTTAACCAGCAACGTATCAACCATTCCTCCATTCATCTCCTTCCTCTGCTTCTCCGTCGTCTCTCTCTCAATCACAGCCGCTATCTCCTGCACCGTGCAAGACTCATGCAGCTTAAACCCACAGAACAGAGTGTCCTCTCCTTGGCTGTTGTTCATCTTGATTTGTAGTATCTGCGCAAGCTCTTTAGCACTGAAATCGCTGAAAGTGAAAAACTTTGTCACCCTCCTGCAAAACCCTTCGTTCGACGCAATCACACGCTTCATCGGCTCGCTGTATCCAGCAAATATCACCACGATCTTCCCTGCGTCCATGACAGACATGATCTCTTCCAAAGCTTCAAGACCATAATCTTTATCATCCGACTTCTGCATTGGGATCAAACGGTACGCTTCGTCCACAAACAGAATCCCTCCCTCAGCTTCTTGGATCTTGTCAAGAAAACCAAAAAGATTTCAAGATTCTTGAAACCAAACTCACAAGTTAAAACGAGAACAGTCTAAAATGTGTTTGTTACCTTTCTCCTAGTCTTTGGCCCTGTGTGACCAACGAACTCACCAACCAAGTCTGTCCTCTGCACTTCCGTCACCTTATCAGTCGGTAAGATCCCAACCGTGTGAAGCAACTTCCCAAGAACTCGAGCCACCATGGTTTTACCTGTCCCTGGATTCCCAAGAAACGCCATGTGAGGAGGTCTCCGAGTTCCGATGTTGATCCCAAGAGCTCTACGCCTCTCATCCAAAAGCATTCCTTTACACCATTTCCTCAGCTGCGTCTTCAGCTCGCTCAGTCCAACGATGTTCGACAGCTCGTCCTCGAGGAGTTCCATCTTGGCTTTCGTCTTACCGCAAGACTCAAGCGCGCTTCTCTTCCTCTGTTCTTGGAGAAACCATCGCAGCAATTCTCGTAGCTTCTCGCTGCCTTGACCTAGTGGTAGATGGTCCAATGGAGTCATTCCTTCCTGTCAAATGCAACATCACACAGCTATTAACACAAGCACTACTACGAAAACACAGAAGATACAATGGTTTTGAGAGGATCATACATTATCTTTGGCGCTGCAATTAGCGTTATTGTCGAGGAGAGTCTTAACAGTTGAGATGTCTTTGGAGGTGATTGAGTACCATACAGCAAGATGCAATGGCGTCATACCATTCTGCATAAACCAAACCAAACCAAACAAAATCAAATCTTTTGTTTGTTCTCTACATTACAAATGGACTAAAGAGAGAGAAAGAGGATATTTTTACACTGGCTTTGGCTTCGATGACAGCACCACGGTCAAGGAGTAGCTTTGCAGCTTCATTGCATCCGTTCTTTGCTGCCATGTGCAATGGAGTTTCACCATACTGAAAGACATTTTGAAGTAATAAACAGATCAAAGTCTACAAAAATGAAGAATTAAAGAGAGAGAGATGCTATAAAACAAAGATCAGGTTTTTACAGTGTTCATTGCTTCCAACTCAACTTTCTCAGATCCTGAGAAGTCAAGGAGATATTTGACTATATCAACATTGCCGTTACCAGCAGAAACATGAAGTGGTGTGTGATACATCTGCATTCAAATTAAAAAAAGAAAACCCAATTCAATTCAGTCAATAAAAATGATAAAGTTTGAATCTTTTTGCACATAGAGAAATAAAGTTTGGGAATTTAAGAGTGTATAACAAGAAAGATCACGATTTTCTCTAAACTAGATTCGTCATTTTCCAAAATCCAGACTAAAATCTATCCAAAATCGGATTTTTTTATAAGAGAGTGGGAAGAAAATGGAGGAGAAACAGAATCATACGACGGGGTTTCGCTCATTGAGAAGAGAAGGATTGTCTTTGAGAAGCCTCTGGAGAGAAATGAGGTCGCCGGAGTGAGCGCAATCGTGAATTGTGGTGGGTCTAGCGGATCTCAGCCGCTGTCCTCCGCCGTTTTGTCGGTTCATAGTTTCACGATCCTCCACAAACTCTCAGCTTACAAGAAAACTCTTCCCCCAAATTGAAAATTTGGGGAGATTTTTTTTGACAGAGGATTTTCCGGGAGAAAGGCTTTCGGAGATTTAGGGAGTCTCTGGGATAATATAATGAGAGGACATCCGCGTCTTCCTCTTTCGTCATTAAAGTCTTTTTATTTGCCGTCTCTGCTTCTTCTTCTTTCGTCGTCAATCAATCATCATTTGTTTTTCTTGTGGTTTGTATAAAGACGATTTTGCCCTTACCTGATTATCATGTGAACCTCCTCAAAACACAGCTAAGCTTATATAATTAGCTTAATCATATACAGTACTTAACAAAGTACAGTAAGTAATACTATATTTTAGAATTTTTAAAAACAAATTAACATCTGTCTTTGTATTAACATAAGTGCAGCAAATGGAGACCACAATTAGACGCCTCCTTTGAACCTTTCACAAAAACTTTTCAAGATCAAATAGGTTTATTAACACTTTTATAAAATGTATTTTGTAGAGCAAACCCACTTTCTTTTGATAATAATTTATATTTAGCTATATACGTACTCAAAAGATACATAATACATCAATAATATCTGTTTAGCTACTTAGAAGAAACATACATCAAAAACTCACCATTCACCAACTTACGCATCAAATTTAATTCGTTCGAGAAAGTAACTAAAGTAATGCAATGTTTTGTGTCGTTCTCTCATCTGACGATAGCCACTAATCTCAAAAGCCGAAAATATTATCTGATTAATTAACAGTGAAATATAACCATAAAATTATTTTATGCAAACTTTATCAACCAAAAGTCCAAGCACTATACCAGTTTTCCAACAAATCTATGATTGCAAATAGTAGAATCTCTAGCAGCTTGTGGTGACAGTGTATACTTGACACTTGACAGCTTTGATTTAAAGAAAAAAAAACTAAAAAAATGAGATTATTAGAAGGTGAGACCAGCGAATGTCATGCTAGTATGCCAATAATCATGTGCATTATTATTATTATACCAATCCCCCCCATGTGACGCCCTATTTTTTTTTTATTAGCACCACTCAAAGCTTTTGAAAGATTTTCCATTCAGCTCAAATATTTAGTTGTTTTCTGGAAAACAAAAACGTGTTTTTTCTGCATTCCTATGATTAGGTAGCGTCGAATGACTTTCCCTTTCCTATAAGATGACAACTCGTTCCTCCTTGTCCTCTCGTATGGTGGACACAGAAATGATCTCTTCCTCACAAACTCACACCTACCCATATCATAATCCTATTAAAGAAAAAATAAACGTTTCATCCCCCTCTTTGCCTAATCCACGTACTTATGAAACTCCATTCATTTCATTATCTTCTGAAGTTAAAATAAACTTTACATCTTGTTATTAGTCCTTTGTGTTTGTTTACTATCAAGATAATCCATCAGTACGAGATTCAGCCAACATTCCATGATATGTTTAGCAGCATATGTTTTTCACTTACAGTATTTTTTTACTATCTGTTTAGATGATTAATTCTCTTAGAGTACGTGATTAGTTAGGTATTGCTCATATATAGTGATGTATTTGCGCTTAGGATCATTGAGAATTAGGAATACGCAGTTCCCATCTGATTATATGTGGACCTCCTCAAAACACAGCTAAGCTTATAGTATTAGCCTAATCATATTAAAAGTAAGTACTATATTTTAGAATATTTAGAAACAAATAAATCTGGCTAATTATATAAACAATTTTGGTTTGTTCCTTTCATTCGATTCAAGTAAATTGGTTTGTAAACCATAATATCTCAGGTTTTTGTATTCAGAGTCAATAGGGAGTGGAACCACAATTTCACAAAAACAAAAAATTGACCAAACCAAATATGACAAATATAATCATTACTTAGCGTTGAATTCCTTGTTCTCATTTGGGAATCTGACAGAGTCCCATAGATATCATATAACTGGACTGTTATTAATAACCTTGAATAAAATATGACTAAGGCCCAGTTCGGAGAACAATCGCAGCGACTGTCGCTGCGACCAAAAAAATACACGCAGACGGAGACTTAGGATGCTGCTCCTCTTTAAAAATGGTAGTCGTGTGTGTAGTCGCAAGGTCCGTAACAGTCGCTATAGATTTTTAGCGACACTTTCCACTCTCTTGCGACTCCTTTTCTCTCCTGCGACAACTCATCACCATCATTTTAGCTCCATTGTCGTCGTTTTCTTTATTGTTGGCTGCCGGTCACCGTCGTTTTAGTTTGTCGCAGCGGCTATCGCTGCGATTGTTCCCCGAACAGGGCCTATGAAGACATTTCTCTATCGTCCGTTCAGTTTTAGTGGATTATTTTAGTGTAAGTTGATGTTAGATATATAGTAAAAATAAGTTAAGAGAAACGTCAATATAACATAACAGGTGGCCTCGAATTCGTGTTGGTGCACTCCCTTCCTTTCCTTTGGATCAGAAGAGAATCCTAACTATTTACCACACACATTTAAAAAAAAACTGACCTCATCATTAGGCATTTAGGCCAACTGAATCTCTACAAAGAGAACTAATGAAATGACCTCTTTGTATGTTGAATAACTTGAAATGATTTTTTGCGTGTGATTATTTTTTTAAAGATGATTTGCATTTGCATTTAGAGAATTAACATACATGATTCGTTAATCAATATGTAGATTATGTAAAATTAATCATATAGTTGACTTAGGTAGTTAGGTGTAGGCATGCGAATTGATGATGTTACATACGTGAATTGTATGTTATGAATAAAATTAATCAAGTCCACCAAGTCCGATTGTTGTTTTTTTTTTTTTTTTTTTTTTTTTTTTTTTTTTTTTGTAGCACAAAGATTCACATCAAACTGATCAAAGTTACGATAATGTAATTTTAGTATTATATATGAAAATACTTGCATAAACTGAATCACCTTCAAATGATGATTCAGATACCAGCTCATCTAGATTTGTTACTGAAAAATTTGAATAACTAGCTCAAGACTTGGGTTTGATAATCTTTATAAAGCATAGTAAAATTATTCAGTTTTCGAGAAAAAATAGTATGATCTATTGTTTCATAAGTTTTTTCAAACATGCAATTTTAACATTGGATTTAGATAGTTCCCATAACCAATATGAGACTGAAATCTTCCAAGTACTTAACAAATTAAACTTGATTATTCTTAGCCACAAAACATCATAACAATTGACATATTTCTTCAATAGTGGTGTGAAGTACACATTAGATGTTACATACGTGAATTGTATGTTATGAATAAAATCAATCCATGACATGGATGATTCATGCACAAGTAGTATCGTATAACATGTTGATAAGATATGACATGAAATGTATATCAATGGTAGCAAAGTAAGGTAAAAATGTATAAAATGAAAGAATCTGATTATGCAGTGGAGTTGAGTAGTACTTGTGCAACAAGTTAACTAAACTAACAATTTGGCGAATGAGAGAACAATTAAATATGAGAATGTCTAGACATGAAGTTGTAATACTTTGTTACTTGCGTAATAAGTAAGAGTTACGTGTATAGAATCCATTGTCCAAATTCCCATTGAAGTAATCAAAAGTCAAGGTGGCAGCAGATCGCAGCTTTTCTCATAATTTGAAACATCTCCATTTTCTTCTTTCTTCTCTTAATTTTTTAAATGTCTGAGAGAGATTTTACTTTTTAATTATAACGTACAGGATGTCATCGGCTTTTTCTCCTCCGCCGCCATCCAATTCCGTTCCAGCTGATGTTGAACTTTTCCCACCTCCGCGGCCACCTCCGACGCCGCCATCTCCCTCCACACCTATTTCGCCTGGGTCGGGGACTCGGAGCCCTCCATCTACCACCCCATCAAGCTCTTCACCGTCGCCATCTTCTTCCTCTTCCGGCGGATTATCGGCGGGAGTGGTGGTCGGGATCGCCATCGGAGGAGTCGCTGTGGTTGTTGTATTGACTTTGGTTTATCTTTTTTGCAAGAAGAAAGGACGAAGAGACGATGAAGCACCTCCTGCTCCCAAAGGTAAAACAAAAGTCTTAATTAGAATAAATCAAGAAATCAAATCTTGAACTATGTTGTTCGTCATTTCTAAATTTTCGTGTTATCTGTGATCTTACAGTTTTAAATACATGGTGTGCATTTTCTGTAAAACATATTTCTTTTATTAGACATCTTGAAACTTGTATGTGGATCCATAGAGAAACCGTTTTAGATTTCATATTTCCTGTGTTTATCAGCTGGTCGGCAGCAACAACAAAATGCATCGCAACCGTCAGATCAAGTGGAGATGTCACGATCACCACCGAAACCTCCATCTCCCTCTCCACCACCACTTCCGTTGAATGCCATGACCAGCAGCGCCAGTTCCGAATCAAACTACTCGGATCATTCAATTCTTCCTCCATCATCTTCAGGGCTTGTTTTAGGCATCTATCAAGGCACTTTCGGTTATGAGGAGCTAGCTAGAGCCACCAATGGATTCTCTGAGGCCAATTTGTTAGGACAAGGCGGGTTCGGATACGTTTTCAAAGGTACATTGCGTAATGGACAAGAAATAGCTGTTAAACAGTTGAAAGCAGGGAGTGCTCAAGGAGAGAGAGAGTTTCAAGCTGAGGTCGGGATCATTAGCCGAGTTTACCATAGGCATTTGGTTGCTCTTGTCGGTTACTGCGTCGCCCGTGCTCAGAGATTGCTTGTCTATGAGTTTGTTCCTAACAACAATCTTGAGTTTCACCTCCATGGTTAGAACTACTAACTCTTGTATGGTTTATTGGATGTTTCTTGTTATACTAAGTGATCTTGAAATAATTTGTGACACAGGGAAGGGAAGGCCTCCAATGGAATGGAGCTTAAGATTGAAGATTGCTGTTGGTTGTGCCAAAGGATTGTCTTATCTTCATGAAAATTGTTAGTCTAAAATCTTAAAAATATGTATACCTGCTGTTCAATAAATAACGTACCGTGTTTGTTAAGGCACATTTGTGTGTATATTTGTAGGCAATCCTAAAATCATTCATCGTGATATCAAGGCGGCAAACATATTGATTGATTTCAATGGTGAAGCAAAGGTATGATTTATCTCCTTTTATGTTACCATTGAGGCATTATATGTAACTCGGCACGATAAGTTCCTGAAGTGCTTTGTCTTTATCTTTTTAGGTTGCCGATTTTGGTCTTGCCAAAATTGTTCCTGATGCAAACACTCATGTATCTACACGCGTAATGGGAACCTTTGGGTAAAAGATAATCTTGAAGCTAAATGTGTTATGTGTATATATATACCGTTTGTCAATGCTTGTGATCCTTATCACTGAACAAATTCTGAAACTTTTGGTTTTGTGGATTTTAGGTATTTGGCTCCGGAATACGCTGGAAGCGGAAAGCTCACAGAAAAGTCTGATGTTTACTCATTTGGTGTTGTACTTTTGGAGCTAATCACCGGACGTCGCCCTTACGAGGCATCCAATGATGATAACTTGGTTGATTGGGTAGTTAAAAATAGTTTAGCCTTCACATGATTTTTACAATTTGACTATTAAATGAAGCAAATCTATGTGTGAATAATTGGAACAGGCACGACCATTGCTTGACCAAGCATCTGAGAAAGGAGACTTTGAGGTTGTGACCGATACAAAACTGAGTAATGAGTATAACAGAGAAGAGATGGGTCGCATGGTTGCTTGTGCTGCAGCTTGCGTTCGTCATACAGCTCGCCACAGACCTAGCATGGACCAGGTATACTTTACTTAATAATGCTAATCAAGTGAGTGATTGTCTGATTGGTGTAAAAAAACGAGCAGGTTGCGCGTGTACTAGATGGAAACGTACCACCGTCAGATCTGGAGTAAAAGATCAGACCGGTAGCGTTGTTTACGGATTATGACACGAGCCAAGACAATGAAGTCATGACGAAGTTTATGAAAGTAGCAGCGAGTACACCAATCCAACCAGTAAGTATGGAATGTACCCATCCGGTTGGAGCACTTGAGGCTCATACCACACGGGAAGTGGAGATGGGAGACTCTATAAATTAGATAGGGGAGAAAATTTGTAGGGGTTTTTGGATTCTTTTCTAACTGTAAAGATTTGAGGAAATGTCTTTAATTCTATTTGAACTACGATCTAAATATGATACGTGTATATTTATTTTGTATTTTTCTTCAGTGTTTTTCCCTACAAGTTACTCAGTTGTGGTCGAATATCATTCTTTTCCTTTTGTTTTTTTGGGTCTTTCAGTTATGAAGCTGAAATGTTTTATATTAGTTGAAAGGGCTTATCTCTTAAACTTTTTTTAACCGATCACAAGGCCAGTAACAAGTTTCCGGAATGATTATCACGGTATATCTCGTGTGAGACTCGGCTCACAAAATCCATTTTCTCTCAAGGGTTACATAGGTTTATCCACTATTATTATGATATTATTTAAAGAGCAAAGACATCATCTGGAAAGCTGACCGAGTCCCATATGATAACAACGTACTGGCCTGTTATTAAGAACCTTGATTAAACTCGATTAACAAAATATCTATTGTCTGTCTCAGTTTTAGTGTATTATTTTGGTGTAACTTGATGTTAGATAATAACAATCAATTAGGGAAAACGTCAATGTGATAGGCGGCCTTGAGTTTGTGCGGGAGCACTCCCGCGTTTTTTTTGCCTCTATTCAATTTATATTCTAAACACAGTAAATGTTGAGCATTTCGTCTGTTTGTATCTTTACACCAAAGGTTTATTTACCGTTGTATGTTGTATTGACTGTTTGCGTGTGAATTTGTATGACGATTTGCGTTTAGCGAGTAAATATGCATGATTCGTCAATCGACTCACCATCTGACAACACAGAGGTTTTTCTATCGCCGCCGCCGCCTCCCTCTTCCCGCGGAGTATCAACGGGAGCGGTGGTTGGAATCCTCTTCGGTTTAGTAGCTCCGCTTGTGGTATTGACTTTGTTTTATATCCATTGTATAAAGAAACGAAAAAGAGACGATGAAGATGAAGCACCGCCTGCTCCCAAAGGTAAAAACAAATATCTAAATTAGATTTTATAAAGAATCTTGAACTACATTGTTCTTTCTTTATATGATTTATCTACATTTTTTTTTATAGAACAATTTATCTACATTTTCTTGTTTTCTGTATACGTTCCATATAAACCATTCGGAACCTCATTGTGTTAATCTGATTCACTTATGCTCTTTGCATGTTTGTGATTTCCAACGTTTTGTGGAAAATATATTACTTTTCTTTAGACATCTTCAAATTGATAATCCGGTATCTCTCAGCTGGAGGGCCTTACGGTGGACAGCAGGAACAAAATTCATCACGACCGTCAGATCATGTGATGGCGTCTCTTCCACTACCAAAGCCTACTTCTACACCACAACAGCCTCCCCGGACTCCTCCAGCACCGTCTTTCACGAGCAGCAGCAGCAGCAGCGGCGGTGGTTACGACTCAAACTACTCGGATCAATCACCTCTTCCTCCACAATCTCCAGGTCTTTCATTAGGCAGCACTTTCAGTTACGAGGAAATAGAAAGAGCCACCGATGGATTTTCTGAGGCCAACTGGTTAGGGCAAGGCGGATTCGGATATGTGTTCAGAGGTATATTGCGTAACGGACAAGAAATCGCTGTGAAAATGTTGAAACTTGGGAGTGCTCAGGGAGAGAGAGAGTTTCAGGCAGAGGTCGGGATCATTAGCCGAGTTCACCATAGGCATTTGGTTGCTCTTGTCGGTTATTGCGTAGCCGATGCTCAAAGATTGCTTGTCTATGAGTTTGTTCCCAACAACACTCTCGAGTTTCACCTCCATGGTTAGACAAAAACTAAAACTCTTCTAATGTATATGGTTTATTGCACGTGTTGTAACTGATGCAAAAAGAAGTAAACATAATAAGTAACTGACATAGAATTATATGGTTGACAGGGAAGGGACAGCCTCCGATGGCTTGGAGCTCAAGATTGAAGATTGCGGTTGGTTGTGCCAAAGGATTGTCTTATCTTCATGAAAATTGTAAGTCTAAGATCTTAAAAGTTTGTTAAGAATGGCTGTTTAATAAACAACAAGCAGTGTTTGTTTAAAAGGCAAGTTTGTGTATATATTTGTAGGCAACCCTAAAATCATTCATCGTGACATCAAGGCGGCAAACATATTGATTGATTTCAAATTTGAAGCAAAGGTATGATTTTATCCTTTTTTTTTAATGTTAAAGCAAGTAATATATGTAACTTGTGTGACACGATATCTTGATGAAGCATATTTGTATTCTGTGTCACTGTGACACTGTCACGCTGTCTTCTATATATGTTTTAGGTTGCTGATTTTGGTCTTGCCAAGATTGCTTTGGATACAAACACACATGTATCTACACGCGTTATGGGAACCTTTGGGTAAAAGTCGAAATATGTTTCATTTTTATGCAGTTTTTGAACGTGTATGTGATCCTTATCATAAAAATTCTGAAACTTTTGAATTTGAAATATTTTAGGTATTTGGCTCCGGAATACGCTGCAAGCGGAAAGCTCACAGAAAAGTCTGATGTTTACTCATTTGGGGTTATTCTTTTGGAGTTAATAACCGGACGTCGCCCTTTTGATCCAACCAATGTCCATGCAGATGATAACTTGGTTGATTGGGTAATTAATCTAACCAACATTCACTTGATTCTTTTGCAGTTCGACTGTTGAGTGAAGCAAAAGCTATGCGTTAACAATTGCCTAATTGGAACAGGCACGACCCTTGCTTGACCAAGCATCTGAGGAAATTTTTTTTGAAGGTTTGGTTGATACAAAGCTGAATAATGAGTATGATGGAGAAGAGATGGCTCGCATGGTTGCTTGTGCTGCAGCTTCTGTTCACCATTTAGCTCGCCGGAGACCTAGCATGGACCAGGTATATCTTAATCATTCTTTAATGGGCAACATGTTTTCTTAGCTGTATTATCAATCATTTAAAATGTTAACAATGCTAATCAAGTGAGTGATTGGTGGAAAAAAAAACGAGTAGGTTACGCGTGTGCTACAAGGAAACACATCGCCTTCAGAACTGAACGACGAGATCAGACCGGGCCATATGAAGACAAGGCGAAGATTTTGAAAAGTGGCTATGGAATCTGTGTACCGTTCGGGTCGAGCACTGACGGTGACACCACATGGGAAAATGGATACTGGACCCTCTCTCTATACTAGATAAGGGAGAAATTGTAAAGATTTGAGGAGATGTCTCAACTTTTTTTTTTTTTTAATTGTTTGTTGTTGTCTTCTTAACTCTAGGTGAATTACGATCTATAACTGATACATGTATATTGATTTTGTCTTTCTCTAGAAGTTGTGATGTTGACTAATTTTCTTTCATTCCTTTCCTTTATTTTGGCGTGCGTGTCTTTTTGGGTTTGAAGCTAAAATGTTGAATTTTAGTTGAACTCAACATTTTAGCTTCAAAGGGTTTTATTCGCTTGGATGCTTCGATCTCAAACACTTTTGAAACCGATCACAAACCATAAACGATTTTCCGGATTGATTGTTACGTTACATCTCGTGTGAGACTCAGCTCACAAAAGTCCACTATCTCTCAAATGATTTACAAGAATTCGCTAGTGGAGGTTTCTCTATTTTCCGGCACAGGTACAAACGCTCAAGGAAGAACCAAATTACATGACTAATTAACTTTATAGACTTTTAAACAAAATTACAGTTTTGAAAGCCTTAATTTATCCATACAGACTATATTGATCCCAAAAGCTCTACGCCTCTCATCCAAAAGCATTCCTTTTTCCCATTTCCTCAGCTGTGTCTTCAGCTCGCTTAGTCCAACGATGTTCGACACCTCGTCCTCTAGTAGTTCCATCTTGGCTTTCGTCTTACCGCAAGACTCAAGCGCGCTTTTTTTTCCTTTGTTAAAGGTGTTGATATCGTATTTTAATAGTAACCAAATTCGTCATTTTGGATTGGTGATTGAGTGAGAGTTCCAGTTTTTTCATGTCATCTCACTCCGAACCCCAGATTTGTAACATTTTGTAACTAAAATGTGTTAGAAGGAATGCTTGCTAGGATAGATTTCTTTTTAAAAAAGGTTGCCATTTGCTTGAATTTAGTTTTGGTTTCTTCATAAAGAAACAAGAACCATCTAAAGCATATAGAGTACTAAAGACAATGAGGATAGTCAAATCCTAATCAGATTTTAAAATAATTTAAAGCCCATAAATCAATAAAATTTCATAAACCAGTCAATTAAATGGTAGATTTGAAGAAATCCCTTTCAAATTACTATTGACAACCGGCCAGTTTGACATCCAATTTTTTTTTTTTTTTTCATCTAACCATTTGATTGACCTAGTTTTATGAAATTTAAAAGACGATTAAAGGTTTTTTTTTTCCTTAGATTTGGCGAGTCGTGGGCTCCTGGCCTGGGATTAAACTATATAAATAGAATGGTAAAATAATCATTATTTACGTAAACCTATACTATTATAATGAATGTTATTTGAAGAGCGAAGACATCATCTGGAAAGCTGACCGAGTCCCACGATACAATTGGCCTGTTATTAAGAACCTTGATTAAACTCGATTAACAAAGTACTTAACAAATGTCCGTTTCAATTTTAGTGGATTATTTTGGTGTAACTTGATGTTAGATAATAACAATCAATTAGGGCAAACGTCAATTTGATGGGCGGCCTTGAATTCGTGCGGGAGCACTCCCGCCTATTTTCCTATATGCAAATTAATATTCTAAACACAGTAAAGTGAAAATGTAAGTGGGAATTGATACATGAAATGTTTATCAATGGTAGCAGAGTAAAATGAAAATGTGAAAATGAAGGAACCTGATTATGTAGTGGAGATGAATAATACTTGTGCAACAAGGAAGCTAAACTAACCTTACGGATTGAACAAAATGTATGAGAACATATACGAGAAGGTTTAGACAGGACATTGTAATGGCATGCTACTCGCGTAACAAGAGTTATATAATTGATATAACTAGGTTACTTGTATGTCAAGTAACTTGTTTGGGAAATAAAGTCTTTCTTCTTCTGGTAAAGAAGGGGAAAGGTTAAAAACATAGAAAAATATGAAAATGTACCTCTAAAAACAACTCCAATGTCCAATTTCTGATAGAAGTAATAAAAGAACTCAACTCAAGTCTCGTGGCAGCGGATCACAACTATTGTCCCGCTTTAAAATATTCTCCATTTTCTTCTTCCTATCTCCTTATTCTTTAGCTGGGGAGACAGATTCTGATTTTTAATTAGATCGAACAAGATGCCATCGACGCCGTCTCCAGAGCCTCCCATAGCCGTCCCCCCATCTGTCCCCATCTTCGTCTCCTTCCACAATGGGCACAATCACGCTCCGGCCCTTCCCCCCATCTCCGCCTCACCATCAGAGAGTCCTTCCAACGGGGAATTTTCTCCAGTTCTATCTCCAGCTGACAACCCGGATTTTTTTCTATCGCCGCCTCCCTCTTCCGGCGGTGTATCAACGGGAGCGGTGGTTGGAATCGTCATCGGAGGAGGAGCTCTGCTTGTGGTATTGACTTTGATTTATTTCCTTTACAAAAAGAAACGAAAAAGAGACGATGAAGCACCTCCTGCTCCCAAAGGTAAAAACAAAGATAAGAATCTTGAACCATATTGTTCATTTCTATGATTTATCTACATTTTCTTGTTTTCTGTTTACGTTCCATATAACCATTCGGAACCTAATTGTGCTAATCTGACGATTCACTACCCTCTCTTTGGATGTTTGTGAATTTCCAACATTTTGTGGAAAATATATTACATTTTGTAGTCTTCAAATATGGTGTCGATCCACAGAGAAACTATTTTTTAGATTTGATGTTCCGGTGTTTTCAGCTGGAGGGCCTTACGGAGGACAGCAGCAACAAAATGCATCACGGACATCAGATCATGTGATGACGTCACTGCCACTACCAAAGCCTAATTCTCCACCACAACAACTTCCCTGGACTCCTCCAGCACCGCCTTTCATGAGCAGCAGCAGCGGTTACGACTCAAACTACTCGGATCAATCAGCTCTTCCTCCACAATCTCCAGGGCTTGCATTAGGCAACACTTTCATTTACGAGGAGCTAGAAAGAGCCACCGATGGATTTTCTGAGGCCAATTGGTTAGGACAAGGCGGATTCGGATATGTGTACAGAGGTATATTACGTAACGGACAAGAAATTGCTGTGAAAATGTTGAAAGCAGGGAGTTCTCAGGGAGAGAGAGAGTTTCAGGCAGAGGTCGGGATCATTAGCCGGGTACATCATAGGCATTTGGTTGCTCTTGTCGGATATTGCGTCGCCGATGCTCAAAGATTGCTTGTCTATGAGTTTGTTCCCAACAACACTCTCGAGTTTCACCTCCATGGTTAGTCAAAAACTAAAACTTTTCTGTTGTATATGCATATGGTTTATTGCACGATGTTGTAACTGATGCGAGAAGAAGTATAACTGATATAAGTTTATATGGTTTCTCAACGATCTTTTTTTGGGAATTGAATTTTTGACAGGGAAGGGACAGCCTCCGATGGAATGGAGCTCAAGATTGAAGATTGCTGTTGGTTGTGCCAAAGGATTGTCTTATCTTCATGAAAATTGTAAGTCTGAGATCTGAAAAAAAATCTGAAGAATGGCTGTTTAATAAATAACAAGCAGTGTTTGTTTATAAGCCAAGGCACGTTTGTGTATATATTTGTAGGCAACCCTAAAATCATTCATCGTGACATCAAGGCGGCAAACATATTGGTTGATTTCAAATTTGAAGCAAAGGTATGATTTTATCTTCTTTTTTTGTTTTGTTTTAAGGCACTACATGTAACTTGGCATGCACGATATGTTCCTGCATGAAGTGTCTTATATTAATTTTGTGTGTGTGTCACTAAAGTTCTCTTCTATATATGTTTTAGGTTGCTGATTTTGGTCTTGCCAAGATTGCTTTGGATACAAACACTCATGTATCTACACGCGTTATGGGAACCTTTGGGTAAAAGTCGATATATGTTAATTTTTATGCATTTTTTAAATGTGTATGTGATCTTTATAATGATCATCTTAATAAGTCTAGCTTTGAAATTTGAGATTTTAGGTATTTGGCTCCAGAATACGCTGCAAGCGGAAAGCTGACAGAAAAGTCTGATGTTTACTCATTTGGCGTTATCCTTTTGGAGCTTATAACCGGACGTCGGCCTTTTGATCCAACCAATGTCTATGCAGATGATAACTTGGTTGATTGGGTATATAATCTAATCAACAATCACTTGATTTTTTAAATAATTTGACTGTTGAGTGAAGCAAAAGCTAAGTGTTAATAACTGGAACAGGCACGACCTGTGCTTGACCAAGCATCTGACGAAAACAACTTTGAAGTTTTGGTTGATACAAAGCTGAATAATGAGTATGATAGAGAAGAAATGGCTCGCATGGTTGCTTGTGCTGCAGCTTCTGTTCGCCATTTAGCTCGCCGGAGACCTACCATGGACCAGGTATATCTTAATCATTCTTTATTTATTTTTATTTTTTTTTAATCAAAAGTAAAATAAGCAATTGCTTTTAATTAACATAGTTATATTTCGTATAATGGGCAAACAATGGGCAACATGTTTTCTTAGCTGTAATATCAATCATTTAAAATGTTAACAATGCTAATCAAGTGAGAGATTGGTGGGGAAAAAAACGAGCAGGTTACGCGTGTGCTACAAGGAAACACATCGCCATCAGAACTGAAGGAATAAATCAGACCGGGCCATATGAAGACCTAACGAAGATTATGAAAGTGACTATGGAATGTATATGTACCCGTTCGGGTCGAGCTTTGACGGTGACAGCACATGAGAAAATGGATATTGGACCCTCTCTCTAATCTAGAGAAGCGAGAAATTGTAATGATTTGAGGAAATTTCATAACTCTTTTTTTTTTTTTTTAATTGTTTGTTGTTGTTGTCTTAACTCTAGGTGAATTACGATCTATAACTGATACATGTATATTGATTTTGTATTTTACTTTGGTGTCTTTCTCTAGAAGTTGTGATGTTGACTAATTAGCTTCAGCTCAGTCCTTTCCTTTATTTTTGTGTGCGTGTCTTCTGGGTTTGAAGCTGAAATGTTGAATTTCAGTTGAAAGGTTTGTATTCGCTTGAATGCTTCGATCTCAAACACTTTTTGAAACCTATCAGAAACCATAAACGGGTTTCCGGAATGATTGTTACGTTACATCTCGTTTGAGACCCAGCTCACAAAAGTCCACTATCTCTCAAATGATTTACAAGAATTGGCTAGTGGAGGTTTCTCTCTTTTCCGGCACAGGTACAAAAGCTCAAAGAAGAACAAAATTACATGACTAATTAATTTTATAGACTTTTAAACAAAATTACAGTTTTGAAAGCCATATCATAATTTATCCAAACAGACTTTATTGATTTAAAAGTCTAAAATTTTTCATCCATTTTCTCTACATTTTACTAATGGTTTCAACAGTTTTTTAGAAGCCTATAAAATGGGGATTTTATTTGTTTTTAAGTCACAGCCATTTTTTTTAAGTTAAAGTTTTCAAAACAAAATCAAAAATAAAAGTCTCAAGCAAAAGTCCATACTAAGCACCCCTAAGACGTCAAGAAGAATTGAAGAAGACGACTTGAGGAGCTAGTTCACGAATTCTGTCTTTTTCCTTTTATACTCTGTTCTTCTTGTAACCAATTCTTAGCTTGTCTGGAGCCCCCAACTTGTGTGATAACATACTTGTGTTCAGATTAGGCCCAAAAGACCGTGGAGCTACAGTTGACTGAAGTCAACATCCCAAATCAATATTGGGATTCGATCTCGGATTTATGTGATTTGGTTTCTTTAAGAACTCTATTGTCTTGTCCCGTCATGCATATCTTCAGTTCTGGACAAATTCCAACAAGTTGTTTCTTTTTACATTAGTCAGATTTTAGATGGATTGGTGCAATCAAAATTGCATATCCAAAAAAAGCAAAAGCCTATTGAAGATGTAAAAAAAGAAAGAAAAGAAAATGCTTATCAAAGCCATCATCAACGTACTATAAATAAAATCAATTATGTTTTTGATACTCCACAATGTTTTTCTACTCATCTTAAAATATTAGAATGTTTTACACATGAAATTGCAATGACATGTTACTTGCGTAATAAGAGTTACATAATTAATATAAGGGCTAGGTTACTTTTATGTCAAGTAACTTGCGTGGGAAATAAGTGTTTCTTTGGTAGAGCCCCAAAACAAGTGGTCCCTTTTTAATTTGTTCATACCTAACACAAAGACAACAATTTGTCATAAACTGAAGACCTATTGCGTGTGTCGGACGGCAGTCCACATAAGAAAACAATGCTTAGGGATAGCACCTTTGAGCCACACATTTGCAGATTGCAGCCTATTATTGAGGTTTTTGAGCTCGTGATTACATGTATGTTTCGCCGAGAACGTTCGTAGCTCTGTCTCACGCTCCATTTTCTTCTTCTATCGTTTTGTGGTTTTTAACAAGATCGAACAAGATGCCATCGGCACCGTCTCCAGCTGCTCACGTTGCCTCGAGAGGTGATGATCTTGTGGAAACTCTGCCGCCTCCCACCATAGCCGTCCCCCCATCTCTCCCCATCTCCGCCTTGGTCGGGGACTACTCACCATCAGAGAGTCCCTCCAACGGGCGATTTACTCCCTCCGACGGGGAATTTACTCCAATTTCATCTCCATCATCTGACACCCCAGATGATCTTCTATCGCCGGCGCCGTCTCCCTCTCCCGTCGGAGTATCAACGGTAGCGGTGGTTGGAATCGTTATCGGTGGAGTCGCTGTGCTTGTGCTTGTGGTATTGACTTTGGTTTATTTCCTTTATAAAAAGAAACGAAGAAGAGACGATGAAGCACCTCCTGCTCCCAAAGGTAAAAACAAATATATTAATTATATAATAACAATAGTATCAAGAATCTTGAACTATATTGTTCATTGTGAGTTTCTATGATTTTATCTTTTTCTTGTTTTCTTGTGGTTTTCAAGAAAACAAGAACGCAATGTTCGGTGGACAGGAGCAACAAATGGAATCACAAGTGTCAGAACACGAAAAGACGTCACTGCCACTACCACAGCCTCCCACTCCACCTCAACTACCTCACCAGCCTCCTCCACCACGGCCTTTCATGAGCAGCAGTGGTAGCTCTGAGCCAAACTATTCGGATCTTCCAGCTCTCCCTCCACCATCTCCAGGCATCTATCAAGGCACTTTCGGTTACGAGGAGCTGGCAAGAGCCACTAATGGCTTCTCTGAGGCCAATTTGTTAGGACAAGGCGGATTCGGATATGTGTTCAAAGGTGTATTGCCTAATGGACAAGAAATCGCTGTGAAACAGCTGAAAGCAGGGAGTGCTCAGGGAGAGAGGGAGTTTCAGGCAGAGATAGATATCATTAGCCGAGTACATCATAGGCATTTGGTTGCTCTTGTCGGATATTGCGTCGCCGGTGCTCAAAGATTGCTTGTTTATGAGTTTGTTCCCAACAACACTCTCGAATTTCACCTCCATGGTTAGACAAAACTAAACTTCCCTATGGTTTATTGCATGCTTTACTGTTTATCGTTAATGATGAATGGAAATTTGTGACAGGGAAGGGACAGCCTCCGATGGAATGGAGCTCGAGATTGAAGATTGCTGTTGGTTCTGCCAAAGGATTGTCTTTTCTTCATGAAAATTGTGAGTCTAAGATCTTAAAAATAGGTATAGCTGTTTAATAAATAACATGCCGTGTTTGTTAAGGCACGTTGTATATATATTTCTAGGCAATCCTAAAATCATTCACCGTGATATCAAGGCGGCAAACATATTGATTGATTTCAGTTTTGAAGCAAAGGTATATGATTCATCTTTTTGTTTTTTCTGTATGTTACCGTTAAGGCACGATATGTTCGTCAAGTGTCCCTGAAGCTCCCTATGTTTCAGGTTGCTGATTTTGGTCTTGCCAAGATTGTTCCTGATACAGACACTCATGTATCTACACGCGTGATGGGAAGCTTTGGGTAAATAATAATCTTGAAGCTACTAAATATGCACGTACGGTTTTATGTAGTTTTGTAAATGTGTATGTATATTTAATTAGTAGCTTCAAGGTTATTATATACTCAAAGCTTCCCATCTCATACACATTTACAAACAACTTAAAAATGTGATAAAGACATTAGACATATCATGATACTTAAAATTGAAAATAATAAATTTGTTTGAGATTTTGTAGGTATTTGGCTCCAGAATACGCTGCAAGCGGAAAGCTCACAGAAAAGTCTGATGTTTACTCATTTGGCGTTGTACTTTTGATGCTAATCACCGGACGTCGCCCTTTTGGGGCAAACAATGTCCATGCAGCAGATGATAGCTTGGTTGATTGGGTAATTAATATAACTGCAAACATGCACTTGCTTTTTTTTTATTACAGTTTGACTGTTGAGTAAAGCAAAAGCTATGTGTTAATGATTGGAACAGGCACGACCCTTGCTTGACCAAGCATCTGAGGAAGGAGACTTTACGACTGTGGCTGATACAAAGCTGAATAATGAATATGACATAGAAGAGATGGGTCGCATGGTTGCTTGTGCTGCAGCCTCTGTTCGCCATTTAGGTCGTCAGAGACCTAGCATGGACCGGGTATAGCTTCATCATTCTTTTATTTCCTTTAGAGGTGGCCAGTTGGTTTTTCGGTTTTGAACCAAAAGATTTTCATTTCGGTTTGGTTTTGTGAACCAAAAATATATAAATAAGCAATTGATTTTTAATTAATTTAATTTATATTTCGTATAACTAAATTTATTTACAGTATAAAATTTAGCTAAAAACTATTACTGCTTATTGATTGTTGTTGGTTATTTGGGTCGGTTCGGTTGCACTAGCTTTATTTTGGTTCGGTTTGGTGTCTATATTTCGCTGCAATCTAAACAAACAACACTTGAATAAAAACCGACTTGACCAAACAATGGGCAACAACATGTTTTCTTAGCTGTGACATCAAAATCATTTAATTTTTTTTAATAATGCTAATCAAAGTGAGTGGTTGGTGTAAAAAAAACGAGCAGGTTGCGAGTGTGCTAGAAGGAAGCATGTCGCCGTCAGAACTGAAGGAAGAGACTACACCGGCGGGTCGTACGTAGCATTGTTGACGGATTGTGAAACGAGCCAAGACAATGAAGACATGACGAGGATTTTGAAAGTGGCTATGGACTGTAGTCACTGTATATACATGTATATTGAATTTACTGTGGTATCTTTCTCTATAAGTTGTGATTTTGATACTCAGATTGAGCTTGAATTTTGTTCCTTTCCTTCTTGTGCGTCTTTCCTCAGTTTCGTAATGGGCCAAAACTTGCTTAAGCACAACTTATGTAACAACCTGTTTGTATTCAGATAGGCCTAAAAGACCACTCGTAATCTACAGTCAGCCCAAATCAGTATTGGGATTTGATCTCAGATTAAGCTGGTTTTTTTTTTAGAACTTTGTCATGTCTTGTCCTTGTATCTCCTAACTCTTGACAAATTCCAACAAATTGTTTCTTTATCATCAGTCACAATGTTGATGGATTGGGCCAATCAAAATAGCATGTCCAAATTAAGAGAAAGCTTATTGAAGATTAAAGAAGGAAGAGAAGAAAAGCCTATCGAAGCCACAAACAGTGTAGATTTAGAAAGAATTATGAAAATCATTTTTCGATACTCCGCAATGTTTTTTTAGTTTTTCCATGATCTCATCCAGTGACAGTCACTAATCTTAAAAGCCGAAAAGAATATCTGACTGAAGAATATAATATAACCACCACAAAAGGTTTATGCAATACTATATCCTGCAAAACAAACCATAACATGTTCCAACAAATGTACATTTGTGTTTACGATGAAATGGACTGCCCAATTAAAATAAAGAGCACTTTTCTATATAATAAGATCAATTTGGACAAAAAGCCAATATTGACTAGATCGGAGCCAAAGAGAATGGTAGGGCGATGGGACCAATGTAGAGTTAGGATTTATTTAAACTTTTGTGTTGTTTTCTGTTTTTCTTTTTTTTCTGGTTTTGTGTTTTTGACACTTGACATCTTTAATTAAAGGAAAAAACACTTATAAAATAAGAGAATATTAGAAGGTAAGACCAGCGAATGTCATGCCACTAATCATGTGCATAATGTTATACCAAATAATCATAGTGTCCCCATGTGACGGCCACTTCTCTATATTATCCCGCAGCCCCACTAGCACGTTTTGGAAGATTTTTACACAACTCAAATATTAGTTGATTCTTGAAAAACAACAAACTTATCTTGTAATCTTTCAATAAAAAGAAAAAACACATATCTTGTTCTTTTTATAAAATGGATTTTCGTATGACTATGCAAAATACATGCATTATAAGATCACTTATCTTTATCTTTACTGTTTTCTCTCGTCCTCTCGTTACACACACGAAGTATCCCCTCCACACAGAGTCACAACCTAAAACACACCCTAGTCCACAGAGGCTCCATTTCCCTCCTTATAAGACCCGACTAAATAAATATAGTTTCTGGGAATACAAAATTTACATCGTCATTACTATTCTTTTTTACATATGTCTATCTTAAAAAAAAAAAGAGACTCTGCCTCCACTCCATGCAGACATTATTATCACAATCTATGTTTTTGTTTCCAATGTATTACCTATTTTAGACGTGATTGGTTTGTACTGTTTAGGATCATTGATTGGATGGTTCGGTATTGCATGTCATTATTAGAATTTTTTTTAACACATCAAATACTACAAGTTAATAGAATATTTGCATATATATAACCTTCAAAATTCAAATAGTAATAGATGATCGTATTTTAGTATTTTCTATCGGGTTTGATTTAGTTTGAATTGTGATCATTGTCTTCGATCAAAGTTTAGAGGGGTTTTCTTACGAATTCTCTATACGTAATTGGTTTGACTTTTATTATGTTAGACGATATTCAAACCAAAACTCTGGCATTACTGCATCAGTAATCAATTAAACGAGAGTATATAACCAATTTAACAACCATACCAAATTTGACAATTTTATTAAACAATTTCTTATTTCATTTGACAAATACTATCATCGCAATTACGCCGCGTTGAATTTATGTTTCTTAGATTCGGCGCGTGTCGTCGGTTGTTTTTAAACTTGATAAATCAAACGATAGGGCATTGACCGGATACAATAATCATTTTCATAAACTTATGATATAATTTAGGGATTATCTGAAGAGCAAAGACATCATCTGGAAATCTGGAGACCGTGACTAGTCCCATAATATAATAGACGTGTTACTAAGAACCTTAATCGAATTTGATCAACAACTTATTTGTTTATCCTCCGTTTTCACTTTTAATGGACTATTTTGATGTAACTTGTTTTAGATAACAATAATGGTAAATTAGGGGAAACGTCAATGTAATAGGTGGCCTTGAATTTGTGCTTGGTGCACTCCAGCTGTTTCCTTTGCTTTGGAGCAAGTAGGATCCCAACTATTTTCGACACATACAAAAAATTAATATCACGCATTCTCTTCTAATGCAATCTAAAAACAGTGAATGTTGAGCATTTCGTCTACATATATTTTGTTGTATTTGTAAAACTAGACGAATACATCTACATCACATCCTTTATTTAACCTTTTTAGCACATATCTTCCTTTTTCCGAAACAAATTACATTCACATTACTTTTTTTCTAGTTTTTTCTAGTTTTTTTTTTTTTTTTTCTTCGTCCATGTTAAGATAGTAGAGAATCGATGGTCAAAACAAAAAATGGTAACATGATGTAACATTCCTTGTTTCCGATCCAAAACCAAAAACTCGAAATATTCAATGTTCTCATTAAACGCATAATTTTAGTCCACGTTCTATTTGGCAAGTTCGACTGTCACATACTCCATTTGCTTTTTCTTGACAAAAGTGAAAAAGCACATTTATTAGAATTTATTCAGTTCCACAACTAGATCTCGAACTTTAATTATACAAAAGCACAATTCGGTAAAGAAAAGCTTTATAGTGACTGAGTGATTTTCGGAGAGAAAAACAGAAGTACAGTACTACACAACATTTTCTCTTGGCAAGCTAATGTAATTTATGACATCATTCAGTTTACATATCGTCTTCATAAAACTAACAAAAAAAAACCTATGCATACACATGAGTTTCGGTTATATAATTTTGTTTGTTAAATAAGAAAAAAATAATTAGTTATGAATTCACTTACCAAAGGAAAATACTTATTTTTTAGTTTCCAAATTCGAGACTCTAGTCCAAAAATGTGTCCAGAAAATCAGAAAATATACGCAGGCGTTAATAAGAGAAAGAAGAACAACGTAAAAAGAAATGACGCGGAGGACTCGTGTGGGACCCAAAAACAGCTTCCTTTTGTCCAAATCGTCAAATTACTCTACTCTCGGTCACACCAGATCACACCTCTCTCTTCTTCCTCTTCCTGCTTTTTTAACATTCTCCATTCTCTCTTCTTCTTCCTCTTCTCTCTCTCTTTCTGATTAGATCGAACCAAAAATGTCCTCGGCGCCGTCTCCGGGGACTACTCCCTCACCTTCTCCGCCTGCTCCTCCTCCTTCCAACTCAACCACAACTCCTCCTCCCACCACCACTCCTTCTTCTCCTCCGCCGCCATCTACTCTTCCCACATCTCCGCCTCCGTCTTCTCCAACCACTCCTTCACCTCCTTCTCCTTCTCCTCCGTCACCAACCACTCCTTCAACTCCTCCTCCTGACCCGTCTCCCACCACACCAGCCACCCCATCTCCATCTCCGCCGTCTCCAACCACACCTCCTCCTCCTGGATCCACCCCTCGAACCCCTTCATCTCCAAACTCAGGACCACCATCAAACCCCTCTCGAAACCCATCACATTCTTCGCCGTCGCCGCCGTCTTCCTCTTCCGACGGGTTATCAACTGGAGTGGTCGTTGGAATCGCAATCGGAGGAGTCGCTCTGCTTATTGCACTTACACTGATCTGTCTCCTTTGTAAGAAGAAACGACGGAGAAGAGACGATGAAGCTGCTTACTACGTTCCTCCTCCACCTCCTTCCGGTCACAAAGGTAATCAAAATCGAATCTTTAACCAAATTGTTCACTCATTTCTATATTCATCCAAAAAAGTAGAGATTTTTTTCTTTGTTTGCATGCTAATTGTCCAATTTCAGATTCATTTTGTGGAAAAGATATTAAATTTGTTAAGAAAGTTTCAATCTTTGCATAAAAAAAAATCCGATTTTGAGATTTTGAAAATGTTGCTCTGTTTCTTCAGCTGGAGGACCTTACGGTGGACAGCAGCAATACTGGCAGCGACCAAACTCATCACAACCGTCAGATCACGTTGTGATGTCACTCCCACCACCACCAGCACCGCCAAAACCTCCCTCTCAACCGCCTCCGCCGCCTCCACCACCGCATTTCATGAGCAGCAGCGGCGGTTCCGACTACTCAGACCTTCCGATTCTTCCTCCACCGTCTCCAGGGCTTGTGTTAGGCTTCTCCAAAAGCACTTTCACTTACGAGGAGCTAGCGAGAGCCACCAATGGCTTCTCTGAAGCTAATCTGTTGGGGCAAGGAGGGTTTGGTTACGTGCACAAAGGTATATTGCCTAGTGGGAAAGAAGTGGCTGTGAAACAGTTGAAAGTTGGGAGTGGTCAGGGAGAGAGAGAGTTTCAAGCTGAGGTTGAGATCATTAGCAGAGTTCACCACAAGCATTTGGTTTCTCTTGTTGGCTATTGTATGGCCGGTGCTAAAAGACTGCTTGTCTATGAGTTTGTTCCTAACAACAATCTTGAGTTTCATCTCCATGGTTAGTCAAAAAAGCTTTAACTCTTTTCTTGTGACAGAGTCATTGCTTTGTCGTTGTTGTTATCAGTTTAGTGATGGTTTTTGTTTATAGGAAAGGGACGGCCTACGATGGAATGGAGCACAAGATTGAAGATTGCCCTTGGTTCTGCTAAAGGACTTTCATATCTTCATGAAGATTGTAAGTTTTAACCCTGAAAAGTATGTAAAGAACTAAAGATGATGTTTGGTGTGTATAGTCTGTGTTTGTTTATGAGGTGGAAATGTGTTTGCAGGCAATCCTAAAATCATTCACCGTGATATCAAGGCGGCGAATATACTGATGGATTTCAAGTTTGAAGCTAAGGTATGCTTTATCTTTTAGTCATTATGTTTCTGAAGTATCTTACTTTTTGTGTGTCTGTGTTTGTGTGTCACTAAAGCTCATCGCTTATATCTTTTAGGTTGCTGATTTTGGTCTTGCCAAGATTGCTTCTGATACAAACACTCATGTATCTACACGTGTGATGGGAACTTTCGGGTAAAGTTTGTTAATCTTAAAGCTTAACTTCTCATGGTGTATATATGTTCAAAGTCTGAAACTTTTGGTTATTTGGGGGATTTTAGGTATTTGGCTCCGGAATACGCTGCAAGTGGAAAGCTCACAGAGAAGTCTGACGTTTTCTCATTTGGAGTTGTGCTTTTGGAGCTCATAACCGGACGTCGTCCTGTTGATGCAAACAATGTCTATGTAGATGACAGCTTAGTTGACTGGGTACTTACTTGCTCTGACTTCATTTTGTTACAATTTGGACTGTTGAATGAAAGCTAATATCTCTATGTGTGTGAATGTAATGGAAAAACAGGCAAGACCTTTGCTTAACAGAGCATCTGAAGAAGGAGACTTTGAAGGTTTGGCTGATACAAAGATGAACAATGAGTATAACAGAGAAGAGATGGCTCGCATGGTTGCTTGTGCTGCAGCTTGCGTTCGCCATTCAGCTCGCCGTAGACCTCGTATGAGCCAGGTAACTTCATCTAGACACTAATCAATCTTTTCTCTTATAGTGCCTAGCCTTACTTTCTTGCTGCGTTACTATCTTGAGCAGATTGTGCGTGCGTTGGAAGGAAACGTATCGCTGTCAGATTTGAACGAAGGGATGAGACCTGGACACAGCAATGTGTACAGCTCGTATGGAGGAAGCACTGATTATGACTCGAGCCAGTACAATGAGGACATGAAGAAGTTTAGGAAAATGGCACTTGGAACTCAAGAGTACAATGCGACCGGCGAGTTCAGTAATCCGACGAGTGAGTATGGACTGTACCCGTCTGGTTCGAGCAGCGAGGCTGGCCAAACTACACGAGAGATGGAGATGGGGAAGGTTAAAAGAACAGGTCAAGGTTTTGCTGGACCTTCTCTTTAAGAACTATAGAGTGAGCAGGTCTGTTATTTTGGATTCTTATTTTTTTTTTGACTGTAAAGATTTGAGGAAATTGGTTTTAATCTCTAATTGAAACTACTACGGTTATAAGTATGATGCATTTTTAGATTGTTTTTGTTTTGGTTTTCTTCTTTTAGAAGTTGTGTTGTTGATACTGAAGATTGAGTATTATAGTATGAATATTATTCTTTCATTCTTTTTTTTTTGGTTTAAAGCTGAAATGTTGTCTTAATGAAGAACTTGTTAGTTGTGTCTTTGGCCTAGTTTGGTTATGTTCCATGAAATTGTTTGATATTAATCTCTACCAACAATCAAAACCTCTTGATAGATAGATCATTACAAACGCAATTTTGTTTCTGTATATGACTTGTAAATCTAAATAATGTGGAAGATGCAATAATCAAAGACAATGTAAAAGAGTAACGAACACATAGTAGTTTATATAGAGCAAAGTCACTAAGTAATTAAAACCGAAGACTAATCACCTTTGGCTCTAGTTTGCATGCTAAATGTGAACCAAACTTGGAACATAACTGGGGAGAAGTGGCCGATCATACGATAATTCAAAGGAAATAATACTGCTTTCATAAAGGTCTTTATCCATATTCTCTCCAACAATGTAAGTTCTGGTATACTTCTTTTTACCGTATATGTAAGAAGAATCACAACAGACAACCATTTTATTCTCCTCGTCCACCAAGAAACTGACCATACTAAACATATCAACTATCATCTTCACTACTAATAACCCACTCCACGACAAGTCTTTGGCTTCATCAATCTTAGTGTTTGGTCGTCACCCATATCTTCATCTCGAATGAAACTCTACCAAACCTCAACACCGCAAGTTTCTCTTCTCTCACAACTGATAGAGCCACAGTCTCATAATTACCATCCTCATGACTCTTAAAAGGAAGAGAGAGACGTCCAAAGTTCTCTCCTGTGAAATCAAACATGATTATGGAACTAACCGAATGGTCTCTATCAAACCAGTAAGTGTTTCCTTCAAAGACACACCATCATGTTTATTGTGCAAGCGGCACCACTCACGACGGTCGAGGTCCTTAAGAACCTTCCATGAATCAGAGTTAAACTCATAGATTCCAATCACCGTGCTAAGGCTCAAGATTTTGTATCCCTTCTTGTTTTCGTAACCTAGAAAATACTTATACACCGTCTGATTCTGGTTGCTTTTATTGGATTTGATCCATTTGGTTTGACCAGTACAAGGGTTCCAAACCACGAGTCTATCATCCTTGGTGGTGCACAATAATAAGCCATTGCATTGAGATAGTATAGATATTTCGACATCTTTTGAATCTTTTAGACTCTTAAGAGTACCTGTGAACGTAAGGAATGGACCATAGATGCTGTGGGTTCCATGGAGATTGACGTTAACTGAACGAACTCTACGAAGATCGTTTAAGATCACTTGCGTTGCTTCTCTAGCCGAGTTCTTCTTGACGAATGGCGGATCTTTGAACAACGCATTCCATCGTTTGCAAGTAGATCGAAATTGGCTTAAAGATATGGCCGGAACCCTAGAGAGTATTTCCGATTCTAGATCCAGTGGAAGATCGAAAATCATCATTGTTTTCTCTCGTGATTTTTTACCTGATCTCTCAAGGAAGAAAGCAAAGGAAAATTAGGGTTCTTAACTTTTTAACTCTCTCAATTGGTATACAAATAGGGAGGGTGTAGACAAATAAATAAATATTCAGAACATAAGGGTCAAACCGTCAAATGCTACAAGGAGGATTTATTTAGAAATTAGAACAAAGTCGAGAGGTGTTTATACCAATTGCTATTGTTATATTTTGCAGCGCAATTTTATGGTCTCAACAAAAGAAGCGCTTCACCTTCTACATGACTTGGAACACACGCTTCATTTCCACCAAGGTCACTGTACCCGTCTGGTTCGAGCAGCGAGGGCCAAACCAGACGCGAAATGTTGATGAGACAAAACAAAAAGGAAAAACGTTTGTAACAATTAAACAAAAGTTAAAACCCTCCAAAACTGGAGATTACCACATAATGGCTATTGCTAAGTAATTATATCGACTGTGACCTTTTTCTTTTACCTCTAGTTGCTGAATGTTGACCATACTTGTTTGCTGTGTCTTTGGCCTAGTTCGGTTATGTTCCAACAAACTGGTCTTTATTAATCTCTGCCAACAATCATTAATAACTTAAATCTCTCGATAGACGATCATTACAAAAGCAATTTTGTTTCTGTATATGACTTATGAATAAAAAAAATGTGGAAGAAGCAATAATCAAATTAAAGACAATGTAACGAATAACGAAGACATAGATTGTTCAAGGTCCTTCCTCGAAACAATATAAAAAGTGTGGTGGTAGCAATAATCAAAACAATATAAGGAACACGTACTAGGTGGATATACCTTGGATTATTGGAACATGAACCAAACTTGCGTCTAGTTGCTTGCTAAATGTGAGCCAAGCTTGGAACATAGCTGAGGAGAAGTGGCAAATAATCTGGTGTTCTCTTTGTAGTCTCTTTTTCATAAACTAGTTTATGCATATGCTCTCCAACAATATAAATTCTGGTATGCTCTTCACTGAACATGTAAAAATGATCACAACAGACGACCATTTTATTCTCCTCGTCCACCACCAAGAAACTGACCGAACGATTCATACTTTGAACCATAACTTTACCCAAATCCACTACCAAGAACTCGCTCCACGACAAGTCTTTGGCCTCATCGATCTTAGTGTTGGTCGTCAACCATATCTTCATCTCCAATGAACCATTATCATACCTCAACACCGCAAGTTTCTCTTCTCTCACAACTGATAGAACCACGGTCTCATAATTATGTCTCGTAAAAGGAAGAGAGAGACGTCCAAGTTTCTCTGTTGTGAAATCAAACATGACTATGGAACTGTCCCGATGGTACTCATTATATATATCAAACCAGTAAGTGTTTCCCTTTAAAGACACACCACGAGAAGCATTGAACATACCACGAGAAACATTGAGAAACCGGTACGGGTGAATTACGTCATCAAGAACCCTCCATGAACCAGAGTTAGATTCATATATTTCAACCCTAGTAAAACAGTGCTGTCTCCAGATATCGGAATCAAGGATGAAGCACACGATCTTGTAGCTACCGGTAGATGATTTGTTGTTTTCGTATCCTAGAATATACTTCTTTGTGAAATATCCTCTGATGCGATTAATCGGATCGATACGCTTGCTTTGACCAGTACAAGGGTTCCAAACCACGAGTCTATCGTAGTTTGCGGTGCATAGCAACAAGCCGTCGCAGTGAAACATATCAAATATTTCGACATGTTTTGAAGCCTTGAGACTTTGAAGTTCACCTGTAAACTCCAATGATGAATGATCAAAGCTGTTGTGGATTCCGTGGAGATTGATGATACCTGAATAAAACTTTAGATCGATTTTTAAAATCACTTGCGTTCTTGCTTTATCAATGTTCTTGAGGAATTTAGGATCTTTGAATAACGCGTTCCATCGTTTGCAAGTGAATCGAACTTGGCGTTGAGCCTTGGCCGGAACCCTAGAGAGTATTATTGATTCTAAATCTTGTGGAAGATCGGCAATCATCATTGTTTTCTCTCGTGATTTCTTACCTGATCTCTCAAGGAAGTAAATTAAGCAAAGAGAAATTAGGGTTTTTAATGTAACACTCGCAATGAGGGTGTAATAAATAAAATAATAATATAGATGGACTAAAAAATAATTATTGAGGGCATAATGGTCGTTTATTACAAGGATAATTTGGCACAAAACAACAACAAAAGTAATGCTATTGTCTCAACGACAAACCCAACATCACCTTGGACTTCACTTGGGCTACACGCTTCTCCCCTCCAACAGGGTTTCACGTCTCTGGAGAGGAATCTAAACTATTGAAGTTGGACATCAACTACTTGGCAAAAGCTACAGTTTTTTTGCTCGCAAGTTCTTAGAGGTTTGTAGAAATTTGAAGAATTTGGTGGCTTACTCTAATTGAAATTACTACGATTATAAGTAAGATGCATCATGCATTTTAAATTGTCTTTGTTTGGTTTCTTCTTTAGAAGTTGTGATGTTAATTTATACTACTAATTATTTAGGATCATGGGTTGAATGTTATTCTTCCATTTTTTTGTTGGGTTTATGAAATTTTGTTGATTTGATAGTGAGATGTAGCTGGTTCTTAATGAAGAACTAATTGTTGGTTGTGTCTATGGCCTAGTTCGATTCAGTTCCAACACATGGTTCTTTATTAATCTCTACCACCAACAATCATTAATCACCTAACCTCTCAATAGATAGATCATTACAAAGGCAGTTTTGTTTCTGTATATAACTAAAATCCTCAGAATTGGAGATTACCACATAATTAATTACTATTGCTAAGTAAACTAGGTATTGAACCCGCGCGAACTCGCGCGGTAACTCATTTTATAATATTTTTTCTAAAATATGTTTACAGTATATATTACATAATTTAACATAATTAAAACAACAATAGATTCTAGTTATAATAGTAAGTAATAATTGTCAATAGTAGTGTTGCTCTAAAACAATGTCAATAGACATAATCCCATCCAATTATAATTTTAAAACTATCTTACAAGACATCTCTGATTTGGCCAATTGGATAAATGCATAACCAAATGCACACCATTAAATGTAAATCCAAAAAATTTCTTACTGATACCTCTTTTTTAAACATACTTTACAAACAAAGCATATATTACTACTCCCGACCAACCTTTTGCTATTTCATTGCTAAGAGGATCGGAAAATGTCAAATTAGTTAAATGGATGAATTTACATTTTTAGGTCATTTTTACTCTAGTACTTACATCAAAATTACATCATTCAAACATACTCATACAATTAGTACATTACCAATATATAGGAAAAATAATATAATCTTTTGTTTTTTGAGGACATAGGTAAGTGCAAGAGACAATCATCCAAGAAAAAATTTAATCAAAAAGTCGAACTGATCATTTAGGCACCTCTAGGTCCTCCACAGTTTCATCGGTCACTTAGTAATTGATCTACTAAGCAGTACATCCGAAGTCGGAAATATTAAAAATGGATGCTCTTGTTAAAAAAAAAAATTGAAAATAACTCTACTTTAAGATTGCATCATAAGTAAAAATGGAGACACCATTACTGATACATTTTACTTTTGAAACACTTGCAAACAAAAACCCATAGTCATCCCCAATATGGCAATATTGGATTAAAAACAGGCTTGTTATCAATTCTCAAGTCAAGGTAACCCACAAAATCGAACTAATGAAGACTCAATTAAACATACATATGTTAGAAGTCAGACGAAAAAATGAAATGAACAGACATAGCGGAAGTATTCACAACGCATGGATAACTTTGAATTCTGAAGATATATGTTAGCCTAGCCTTCTTAAATTCATTGAATTCGAAGTAAGGATCAAGAACTTTATGCAATTGCACCAGAAAAAATAAGAGTCTTATGCAAAAGCTCTTAAGAGAAATTTATTAAATAAAAACAAAGGTGAAGAATTACAAAAGAGTAGTCAGCTATTTATAAGCTCAGAAACCTGACTTAGTTCTAAAGGAATTAGAAAACTGAAACAAAATGAAACTCATAAATAAGAAAAACCAACAGTCTGTAGCATAAGTTCTAGATGGAGAAGATGTACGCTACATCATAAACAAAGCACAAAAAAAGTTCACATTATATGGAACATAATTTAATAGTTAATTGAGAAAGAGGGGGAACGATCGTCCAAATCAGCAAGGATCGAAGGATAAAATCTGATAATTCAGACAGATTAAATAAAAAATGTTGTAATTGGTTGCATGCACAATTCTGCAAAAGTACATACATAAACAATTTTGTTAGAGTTTTGTCCATCCATATTATGTTGAAAACCGAACGTATGTCGGATCCTTGTTTCTTTTGACCACCAACTAAATTTACCTTTTTTTTTTATAACATTAAATTTTGGGAAATAGCAGTAGATGACAATAAAAAAACACATAATTAAGGGAATGACCATTACTTGGATATGACTAAAATATATCATATATTTTCTATAATAATACCAAAATAACCCTACATGAGATTTTCTTGTATTCTCCAACTCCTTCTCTCACGAAACCTTTACCTTCTCTTTAAACTATTTTTCTGCTTCGATTACATCTAAGTTGTTCTATGATTTTTTGGTGTAAACAGAAAGAATCCTTCTTCCCTAATTCGTCTTTTAGATAGCCTCCGATTATTTCCATAAAGAATTGTATATAGTTGCGGTGGTGGCAGAGACAAGCCCAGCTCGGCTGTCGGCTCGTCACTTGAAGCTTCGAGAAAGATACTCGAGCTGGAGCCTTTGTGTCATCGTCACAAAATCATCCTCAAAACTCTTCATCACCGAGTCAAAATCTTGAATCGTAGGATCATGACCCGAGTCATCAAACAAAATATCAGATTATGTACTATTTTAATAGTTATATAGTATAGTTTAGTGATTATTTTGTTTTGAGTATAATACAATTCATTCGTTACTCAATTGTATATGACATTTTTTCTCTTTCTCTAAATTTTCAAGATTGTGAATTTTATGAAACTCGTATCATTAGAAATTTCATCAAAATCATAATAGTCTGTTTTTATATTTTTACAAACAAATAGAAATTCAATAATATCAATTTCCGTAGAGAAGGACAAAACCGTCCAAAATTAATTCTCATTGCTATTGACTTAATTTCCCATTTATGATGGCTATAAGCTTAATATTGATACTCAATATTGTTATTCACCTAATTCTCCCTTAAATTTTCTTCTTTAAAACTTCATGTTAGTGGCGAAAGTTTCCAAGTAACTTTTATACTTTCTCAAACGCTTTAAATTGGTTACTAAAAACTACGAATGAATGAATTCTGAAAAGTATAACAAAATAATAAATATAGTTAAAAAGACATGAGTGGTAAAAAACGCAACTCTTAATGAAATGCGGTTATGAATAAACGTGTAGAAGTTGCACACAAAAAGTGTATTAAAATTACAATAAAATGAAACACTGCCCAGGTTGAGGAGGATGATAGGAGAATATATATATATATATATATATATATATATAATAAAACCCAGTTTCTAAACTTTAAAAAGAAAAAGCGTCGAAAAATGAGTAAATGTGTTCAAATAAAAAATTAGAAATGAAGAATGAAAAGATGTACTAAAAAATATAATAATTAAAAAGAGAACATTATTAAAAGATACAACTTAGTAAAATTAGGCGGTTATAAACGAAAAAATGCATAACAAAAAGACACAACCGTATAAATAAGCGGTTATAAGCGAAAAGTACAACTGCTAAATTTCGTTATTCAGTTTGCATTGACTTAGAATCAATCGATTATCTAAATCATGAATCATTTACTTTTTCTAGATGTTGTGTTGTACACTGTTTTCATCAAATTGAATTCTTTATTTATCAAGATGAGTTTACATCGTCAGAATACAAGAAATTATACAACCAAAGTGGAAGGTACATCATTGAAGAAAAAAATTTCCATTAGGAGGTCCCTTCTTTGCGATCGAGTGAGCAACCACATTATTTGTATGTTTGGTATGAAGAAAATTACAGAAACTGAATCTATTCTTCCATGCTGATATTTCATGACATAAGTTCTTAACAAAGAGAAGAGATGAAGATGACAAGACCCCTATCAAAAATCTAATCTCACTCCATGTCTCTCTTTCCTCTGTATGCGACAAAACATATTTACTTTTTCTTATCAGAGGAGCGACAAACGCTCCTGCAATGTGATCCTCCAATCTTTTCCTTTAGCTTGAATACGTCATCTTCACGTTTACACCCTAAAACGGAAATTTCACAGCCGTACGTGTGCCCCTATATTTAACAGAAAAAGGATTTTATCCTTCTACATCGACTCAAAGACGTAGTAGAAATAAAATCAGAGGGATGATTTCAGGGGAACAGCAAACTACTGTTAAACAAAATGATGAATGTGATTTAAGATTTTGTAAATCAGGAAAATATATCATGACATAAAGTTGTCAATACATATGTCAACTGATCTTTTTGCTAAAGAATCAAGGAGTATCTTGCAATCTCCTTCAAAAATCACAGAAGTGAATCCTTTACTCCATGTTTGGATTCCGCCTCAAGAAACATGAAACTTTTGTGTAAAACACAATTTCTGAAAAAAATAGTTACCAGATAAGAGAAATGCATATTGGTATCTTCCTAATTAAAGACCAAAATTGATAATGAAATCCTATCATGTCGCTTTAATTTAAATTTTCTTCCCAGAAGTTTAAACCTCCACTAACCAGTGAATGCTTGGTTTTACATACTTATAACCCTAACCAATTCTATCGATTGAAGTAACTAAAAAAGAATATAATGGATTATGTATGCACATGTTTCAACGAAATTCCAAGACCTGAAGCATATTTCAGGCAAATGTATTTACGTAGATTGTATTCGTTACATAAACCAACATCACAATTTCAACCATGAATTACTCGTGTAATTTTTTTTTAATCTAAAATCTTATAACTGTATTCACCAAAACCATCCGTTGTCATCGTACGATACCTTCGCGCTTCATTTTGACTTTTGAGACTACGAAAATGTTCAGAGTCCAAAATAGGAGACATAGTCACTGCCAACAAAAACGAACCAAAAGGTGGCATTTAATCCCATATAAAGAAATTGCGAATGAGTTTTCAATATTCCATGATCAAGATACTGCATATTTATAATCTCGAAAGATTTCTTTTAAACAATCACAACTTTTAAAGTAATATGAGAACACAATAATCTTAGTAAATAGTTTTTTGAGTAGCTATTTAGATTCATGATCAGGATCGACCATAAAGAGGACAAAAAAAAAATCTCTCTGGTTCACGGATCGGTAGAGATTACGGAAATAAGAAAATTCCAAGAGCAGTTTTGGTAATCTTGAAATAGCCTTATTTTGTAATCTCGCAAGAATCATCACCATGACCGATTCTGGAACATCATTTGCAAGTTTCGTTATGCTTCGACCTATTTAGACTCTGACTTTAGAACATCATCTTCAAGTTTCATTATGGATTGTTTAACGAAAATTTTCATAGAATGAAGAAAAGTTGACAGAAATTTAAAATTTAAAATTAATTTTGAGAATCGAATCCCTCAGTCCATATTAAAAGAATTCATGAACTACGGATCAGTTGGATGAAAAGAAAAACTCTCTTTGACAAAACTATAAGTTGATAGGATTTCTAAAATAAAAATTGAATAATGAAAAATGTACTAAATAACATATATATAGAAATGAAAAGGTATCACTAAAAGGTGAAACTTTCAACAATGTAGTGGTTATAAGCGAACATATGCGATTGAAAAAGACACCTCTTTATATGATCGGTTATAGATAAACGGTTAAAAACGAAAAGGTATGACAACAAAAGGCATTTGTTCAGTTTGCTATTATATATAGATAAAACGACTAATCACTTTTTTCTTTTGCCTCCAGTTGGTGAATTTGAACCAAACTTGGAACATAACTGAGGAGAAATGGCCGATCATACTGTGATCTCTTTGTAGTCTCTTTATAAACTTGTTTATGCATATTCTCTCCAACAATGAAAATTCTGGTATGTTCTTCATCATCATCATCATAATCGCCCATCGCAGTATCACAACAGACGACCATTTTCTTCTCCTTGTCCACAACCAAGAAACTGACCTTACCCTTCATACTTTCTATCTCAAGTTTACCGAAATCCACTACTAAGAAATCGCCCCACGACAAGTCTTTGGCTTCATCAATCTTAGTGTTGGTCGTCACCCATATCTTCATCTCTAATGAAACTCTATCAAACCTCAACAACGCAAGTTTCTCTTCTCTGACAGCTGACAGAACCACAGTCTCATCACCATAATTATGAGTGTGAAAAGGAAGAGACAGACGTCCAAGTCTCTCTGTTGTGAAATCAAACATGAGTATGGAACTAACTGCATACTCTTCTTTATAATGATAATAATAATCAAACCAATATGTATTTCCCTTCAAAGACACACACACACCAAGAGAAACATTGAACCACGTGTACCAGTCACTTACGTCATCAACAACCCTCCATGCATCAGAGTTAGATTCATATATTTCAATCCTAGCAACGGCCTCTTTCGCGTTAGCGTAATCAGAGTTAAATCCAACGATTTTGTAGCTACCGGTAGATGATTTGTTCTTCTCGTATCCTAGAAAATACTTATCTGTGTAACGATGACCTCTGTTGCGTTGGATCCACCTGGTTTGACCAGTACTAGGGTTCCATACCACGAGGTCCACGAGTCTACGGTACTTACTGGTGTTGGTGGACCTGGTGGTGCATAACAACAAGCCGTCGCAGTGGAAGATTTCAGATATTTCGACATGTTTTGAATCCTTTAGAGGGTTAAGTTTTGTAAACTTAGTGGATGGATCAAAGCTGTTGTTGATACCTGAATCTTTGTTTAAACCCTAAGATCTTTGTTTAATATAACTTGCGTTTCTGCTTTACCCATGTTCATCTTGACGAATTCAGGATCTTTGAATAACGCGTACCATCGTTTGCAAGTAAATCGAATATGGCTTAGAGTCTTGGCCGTAACCCTAGAGAGAATTTCTGATTCTAAATCCAGTGGAAGATCGGATATCATCATTGTTTCTCTTTGTAAGTTCGGACGAGGAAGAAAGCAAAGAGAAATAAGGGCTTTTATAATGTTGAACCCTCGCCATTGGTATCTTAGTATATATAAAGCTCTGCATCATGGACAATTAAATTTTATGAAAAAATAATAATCAAAATGGAAAACTAACAAATATTGACAAACCCAGATTTTATAATAATAATTTTCTTATACACACTAAATTTTAATAGTTCAATTTTCAAAAAATTTATTAGATAGAAATAGAAATTATAACTAAAAAATATTTTAAATGGAATAATCAAAGTTTAGTGTGTATAATATTTTAAATGGATTAATCAGAGTGTATATTTACATCACAACTAATGCTATTGCACTTGACTTGGGCTACACGCTTCTCCACTTCACCAGGGTTTCAGGTCTCTCTGAAGCAGAGAAGTATCTGATCTATTGAAGTTGGACACCAAATACTTGGCAAGAGCTCACTATTTTTGTTCGCAAGTTCTTAGACGAAGCAAACGAGATGTGTTCATCACAAGTTCACAACGAAGATTATGATCTGAAGTTTTCTTTTATCTTCGTGTAGATGTTGATGCGATCAATTCAATAAAAGTGTGAAAAAAAAAAATCAATAAAAGTGCTTAAAGAAGAAGAAGCCAAGAGATTCTTCAGGGGAAAATAGTTCTTTCAACAGAAGCAAGACCCACTTGCCACTTGCAAGTGTTTTTGTTTTGTAATATAAATTAGTGTACTGGATGAAACCAAACACTCGCATGGCACAAGATATTTAAACAAAACCGTAACCAGGTCTTGTTATAATTCTTTTCTAAGAAAATACAGTGAAAAATGCATAATCTGTAAAATTATGCTATACTCATACAAAACTTCCTTTATCTTTATGTATTTCTTACACTTTTGGGCATAGTTATGGACGCATTTAACTTGTTCTTTAATGTTTCAGAATATGGTTCATTGAGCTAATTGATCTTAGGGGTTGTTTTCTCAATTCAGGATGAATGTCACTTGAAACTGAATCTGTGATTGCAGAAAACAAGTTTTTAGGTGCTAATTTCTCAGTGAAATAATGTGATTTTAGGATAACAGATGCAGGTGATACATCATATATATTCTTTTTGAAATTACAATAGTTAACTCATGAAGCTTCAGATTAATTTTATCAAACATAAAATATGCACATGTTCTGTTTTTTTTTTCTCTGTTAAATACATCAAATCAAGAATCAAGAAGCATAAATTCTTTTCTACGAATCAACTTTACTATGAGGAATGGACTATTGTCTTAATATCTTACTATAAGAAGTTGCAATGGCCATACGCTTGGAGAGTCTCAACAGAAAGTTACATCATCTTCTAATGTAGAACTTAACTTCCATCTAGCTTTGATAAAGATTTTGAAAAAAAAAAGGCTTTAGTTTTAGGTAGAGAATAAAGGTTTTAGTTTTGTCCCATGGAATCCAAGCAATTTATCTCTGCTTGCAGGTTAATTTATTTTTAAATCGACCGTGTTACTTTGGATTACGATTACAAAATCAAAATTTGAAATTGACTAACACTAATTCGAAGCAGCAACACACCTCCGCGAGGTTTCTTTCGTTTTTCGTACATGGCGCGAGGTTTCGCTCTATGTTCCAATGGAAGAAAGTCTTCGAGTTTACTCTCAAACTCCATCGCTAGGGTTTCACATTCCATTTCCCCTAAAACCCACTTCGCTTCGTATCTAATTCAACCCCGCCGCCCCAATTTCTCTCGATTGTTCTGTAACCTTGCCTCTGTTCCCAAAACGGTGGATGAAAGCGAAACCAAGTACAATGAGATTTTCAGTAGAAGAATGGCCATGGCAGGACTCAAACCTCATCACCGAATCGGTAATTCTACTAATCGAATCGAAATTTCGATGCTTTTTTTGTTAACCAATCAACAATTTGATTGCGTTTGTGTCTCTTCCAGCTTTGGGAGTTTCAGGTGGGCCTGATAGTATGGCGCTCTGTGTTCTAACTGCGAAATGGAAAACCGAAGGGTTAATCTCTGTTGAGAAGAGAGATGGTTTCATCGACGGGCTTGTTGCTGTAGTTGTGGATCATGGATTACGTCAAGAGAGTAAAGATGAAGCTGTGCTCGTCCGCTCTAGAGTCTCTGAAATGGGTATGTTTTTTTATTACAAAGTATCAACCTTTTTAGTGAGTCTGCAAAATTAGTAACTTGGGGGAAAAAAAACTTATAGGAATCAGATGTGAGATTGCTCGTTGTGATTGGGTTAATGGTAAACCAAAACAAGGTCACTTGCAAGAAGCAGCTCGTGAAATGAGGTTACTTTTTTTTGGTTATGTTATGTTGCTTCCGTTGGTTTGGATCATCAAATGTGTAAACTTTTGCTCTTTTCTCTCTGTAGGTATCAAATGATTTCGAATGTTTGCTTCCGAGAACAGATTGGAGTCTTGCTTATAGCTCATCATGCAGATGACCAGGTAAAGACGACGGCTCTTGAGAATGTTTGATAAGAGTGATGTTCATGAGTGGTGTCTGAAGTTTGGATGCAGGCTGAGTTATTCATTCTCAGGTTATCTCGCGGTAGCGGCGTTCTTGGACTTGCGGGTACATCGTTCGTTTCGGAGATTTTCTCTAAGGATTTGGAGTTAGATGCAGAACATATGAAGAACAGGTCTGTTCTCTTAGTGCGCCCGCTTCTTGATTTATGGAAAGAAGACATGTACAAGGTTCTTTTCGAAAACTAGAAAAGTCTTTGTTGATGTGTTGTTGTCATCAACTCTTATGATGTTTATTACTAGCAGATATGTCAATGTGGTGGGAAAGATTGGGTTGAAGATCCGACGAATCGTAGTCAGTTGTTTGTTCGGAATAGGATTCGAACATCAATAGGAAATCTACAGTCAGGCAAGTCTTATTAAAACATCAAAATCCGGACTTGTTCTCCAAATCTTGATTGATGATGTGTGACAGATGCAAGTTCTTGTTTTTTCTTTCCAGCTGTATTCAAGTCAGAGCTGCTAGGACTCATCTCTGAATGTCGAAGAACACGTTCGTTTGTTGATAAAGTTTGTGCAGACTTGATAACTCAGAGCGTAACAGTAACAGATGTAAGAGCATTTCTCCACTTTAAGCTTCATCATATGTATAAACTGTTTTTGATGTTTGGAATTTTGGCAGAAAGGTTATGCTGTTCTTGATCTACAGAGACTAAACCCTACAGAAGTTACCGACATTTGCCTCTCAAAGTATCTCGCTTCGGTTTTGCAGGTACTATCTTGAGCTTTGGTAAAAGTTGTCCTCTTTCGAGTTTGTTCTCGACTCTTCTTGATCATCTTGAATCTCTCAGTTTATCTCTCAACGGCAGAGACCGATCAGAGGAAACACTTCGAAGTTGCTTTTGAATTACCTCCGCGCAATTCCCTGCAGGGTAAATCATTTTTCTTCATTTTGTTCTGAAACTTCTTAAGATTTTTGAACTGTACTAAATTTTGGTAACGTTTGCTTCATTGTTTGGATGCTCAAGACTTCTCTTACAGCTGCTGGTTGCTACCTTAGTCCTGCTCCTGGTTCGAAGGGAACCAAAGTTATAGTCTCCTGTTTTCTTCACGGTTCTTTATCATCGAAGACAGAAATCTTGAATATTTGCTTCAATGAAGCTGATCAGAAGAAACCAAGTTTGGATGATGAGCTTCGTCGAATCACATCAGATGCTAAATCTTTCTCAGACAATGCGGCCGTTGATGTCCAGTTTTTGGATGCGGCATCCGAATCCGTATTGAGTAAAGCTAAAGAGCTCAATCTTCTAAGCGAATCGACATACGAAACCATAGCTCTACTGCAGAGAGATGAATCCAATCGGTTCATAACTAAACCAGAAGACAAATCAGTGGATGAATCAGTAGCTCACGAGATCAACAACATTGCATCTTCCTCTGATGAAGTACATCTTGCTCCAGGGAAAGATCTCTACTTCATGAACCGGTTTCTCATCAGATGGAACTTGAGTAAAAATGAATGCGAAGAAGCACGTCACGGAAACTGCCAGGTGAGAAGAGCTACAACGATGGAGGTTCGACACATGGTTGAATCCGACTGGTTGTATCTAGCCGAGCTTTCGAAATCCTCTAACCGAAATCATTCTGCTGCTTCGTCCTCATATAAAGCTCTCAAGTCCTTAAAGCACATTCCGGCCGCCGCGAGAAGAAGCTTCCCAGTCTTGGTCGATCACTCCGGTTTACTCCTCAGCGTTCCGGCTATTGGCTTCAGCTATTGTCCATGCTTGAAGGTGTCAACACTGTTTCTTCCGAGAGTACCACTCGGAGGCGGTTTTAGCTCATTTCTCTAAGCCTTTAGAACAAATTCTTTTGAAAACGAAATAATATTTTTGATTCAAGAATCTGTATCCAGTTACACTCAGTTTTTGTGTTTTTCATTGCAAAGTAAAACGAAGAAACAAATCATACTCCACCTGTGCCGCCTCGTTCTTTCAAGGTTAGAAACGAAGTAGTGAACCATTGCTTCCAAGCTGCATCCTTCTGTTGCTCGACCCACGAGAGGAAAGCGCTGTCTATAAGGCAGAAGATGTTGACGTAGAGGAGCTGGTACTGCACGGGGACGTATCTGAAGTTTGCGATCTGGAGAAGCGGCCATGCTCCGCCTTCGAGAGCTAACGCCGGAAGAAAATCCCTCTTGAGTCCTTCTTTCACTTCGGCTGTGTTCTTGCCCGTGGCGAATCCCATGTACGTGAAGAAGACCAGGAGATCTATGGGGCCGAAGATGAGTCCGTCCATTGCAACTTTGGCTGCCACGAATTTGGTTGACTTTGGTACGTATCGAAGCTTCAGCTTTATGAATTTATCCAGGCCTTCGTACCTGCGAGACCGCATAATAGAACAATGTCAAGGTTTATCAATCTCTATCCATAAACCACTGGTGAAATACAAAAGCTATAACCAAATGATCTGAAAATAAGAAGGAAACAACAAACCAGAAGTGGCCAATAGGTCCGACGAAACCGAGCCCGAACATGCCGGTGATAGCTACTCGCTTCCAGTTGACCTTGAATTCTGCATCTGCGTCTTTATCTTTCTCCTGTCATAGTGAACATAGATTAGTGCTCGGTCCAATGTAGGTCAATATGGCCTCGCTTATATAGCCAAACTAATGTAGGTTAGTGCTCGATCCAATGTAGGTTAATATAGTCAAAACTCAGAACACTATATATCATCAAGAGTTCAATAGATTGATTCCTCTGGCAAACTATATATCTGACATCTATGTCAACATCTTTGTTTGTGTCCTGTTATATTGAACATAGTTTAGTGCTTGACCCAACACAGGCTCAATATTTAGCCAAAACTCCGTAAATTATAATTGTCTTCCTCTAGCAACATAAAAACCATATACCCTAAAGGGAAATGAAAACACATAGAAAAGTACCAAATAACAATTGGTGGTTTCTTGATTCTTAAGGGTGGGTAGCAAAAGACGTCATAAGATGAAAAAAGCAGAATGTGTTACCAATGGAACCAAAAAAGTAAGATTTGATGCAATGTTAACATGGAAAGAGTGACATAAACAAACTAGCTCCATGCTTATGGAAAGTACTATCACCATAGAAGACCTCTTCTCAACTAATACAATCTTGCAAAAAGAAAACTGAAAAGCTGTAATGCACAAACTTTGATTCTTGTTAAAAAAACCATTTGGTAAGAAATAGTGTTGATAGTAAACCACAAGAAGTTTGAGAAATGTTTCTAACCATCACCAAAGAAACGAATCATTTGGTGCTATTACTCAATACATTATGAATGACCTAATTTCCTCGGAGCTGCTACTCTAAGGCTAACGGAGAAGTGTTAATGGAAAACACAAACAAACTCAAAATCCTTGAAAGCTGGAGCATCAAGAAGCTGGGAAAATTTTGCCTAAGTAGCATTTCCTTGGATATCGAAGAAGAAAACTCGAGGAAACAGCATCAATGTCTAAGGACGAGCTGCATAAATCAATACGCATTACTCATTTCATTGACATCACGAAATCCAGAAATATCTTAGATGTAAAATTAAAGCGGAGATTTCCAGAAAACCTAAACTAATTTCATCAAATCCGTCACGAAATGAACAACAAGAATCCCAATTTAAAAAGTTCAATCGAGAGAGAGAGAGGGAGATCGAAAATGACTAACGGAGAGACGAAGGAGACGAGGTTTCGCAGTGGAGTGAGTGATGTATTGAGCGGTGACATCGCCAAATCCCCAAAGAAAGCCGGAGCTGATGACCTGAGTTTTCAGTGGGTGAACCGTCAGGCATCGCTGGTACCATCTCCAAAGCTTTATCATAATGGACCAGTCGTGTTAGTCGTCGCTGCCGCCGCGAGAGAGAGAGATATCGAGACCGGAGAACCGCCGCGGGAGAAGGCGATATTGGTTTCTGTTGACACAGCTTTAAGCTCTCTCCCTAAACGTCTTCTTCTCTTTCATCATCATTCTTTCTTTCATTTTTGTTTTGTTTTCGAGTCAACACTGAAAAGCTCTTTGCGATGAAAGAATCTCATATAGGCTTGTGAAATGGGCTTCGGCCCATGAAACATTATTGTAAAACAATTTAAAATCAAAGTATATATACATGCATGCTTATATGGAAATTTTACATTTAAAACTATGTTCTATGTTTGTTGACAACAAGTATCAGAGATTTGTGTGAACACAAATTCTGCATGGGCAAACTGAATAAACTGTGAAAAAATTGCATCAAATGAATCGAGAAACACATAACAAGAAAAGAACAAACTCTTCTTCCCTCAAAGAAAAATATAAGCAAATTAAAACCACAGAGCAGAATAAAAAGGTTTTTGTGTTGGGGAAAAGAGGCTCTACTTCCACGAGAACTCCTAAAGAAAACAATTTTAACAACTGACATGTACAATTGAAAAGAGGCTAAATCATGCAAAAACTGACTTTTTTTTTTTCTTTGTCAACAAATGGTTCTTCTATTGCTCAAGCTTGAGTTGGAGTGGTTACCCACCCCGGAATAGAACAACCAATAAACGATAAGGGCATTGCCCGGAATGCAAAAACTGACTTCTTCAATATAATTGACTATAAAGTAATCTTGTTCAAAAGGAGATGATACAAGAAACAGAAATAAACTAGTGAAAATGCAACTAGCTAGTTTGCTAATCTCGTTTTCTTCTTAGTTGCACTAAACTTGGAACATAAGAAGAGAACACAACCGGGCTATGCCATGTCTCTTCTGATTCTGATGTAAACGGAGTTTCTGCGACAACCACAGATTTAGAGTATCCATCTTCTCCAATGATGTAAGCTGTTTCGTGCCAACAGGTCTTGGTCGGTATATATTCTAAGGAACAGTAAAGAACAGCGACTTTCTTCTCATGGTCAATAAAGAAAGTCCCATCATTATAAGAATCCCGAAAACGAGGGATGGATCTCGTATCCACATCCAAGAACTTGCTCCACGATACTGAGTTGGGATCAATCTCAGTCGTAATCCAAATCTCCATATTCGTCCAATAATTGCGTCGATATAGCAAAGCTAGCTTCTCATCTCTAACACAAGATAAAGCCACAGATTCTGAACTATGAGAGTGCGATTGAAAAGGAAGAGGACGAAGCGGTCCAAATCTCTCTGCTGTGAAATCAAAACAAAGTAAAGACCACACATCGTTCTTTGTTGCATTCTCTAGAGCAAGAAAGTAAGTATTTTCATTCACAGACATGCTGCTATCATGATAAGTAATAAACCACTCGGGATGGACACCAAGAACCTTCCATGATGTAGAGTTACAATCATAGATTTCTGACTGGAGAGAGCCGTCTTCTCTTTCATAAACCCTCAAGATTTTGTGGTAGCCGTTTATGTTGTCGTATCCAAGACCAAAATTGTCATATCTGCTAAGATATTTCATGGTCTTGGACCTCCTTGTCAACCTGGTTTGCCCCAAATAGGGATTCCACAACAAGAGTTTTTTATCTTCGGTAACGCATAACACTAAACCGTTGCAATGAAAGAGTTTTGTTATTTCAGCTTGGCCAAGTATACTTACTTGCTTTACAGATGGAGCACCAATCTCGTGATCGTTGTGAATTCCTTGGAGATCAAGTTTCATTGAATAAACTCTAGAATCCATCAACATAAACCCTAGAAACTGTTTCCTTGTTGTTGATCCTTTACCAAAAACCTGATTATTGGATAAAGCATACCAATTTTTGCAAGTAGACCGTACAGCTATCAGAGATGTTAATGGAAGTTTAGAGAGTATCTCCCCAACCAAATCTTCAGGAAGATCGGACATTGTCGGCATTCTTCAAAGTTTGTAATTGTAACTTTTTTTCGACGCTTCGTTTTCTCTTTTCGAATATATATACATAGTTAGGGTACGATTGTTTAAAAACCTTTTCCTTTTTCAACACTACTTTCTATTTTTTCTTCCAAAAAAATCATCTATTAACAAAGAGCTTTTACAATTCGAGTTGTATTATATAGGGATATTATAAATATATATCTCTAATATATTAAAAGAGAAAACACTATAAAATAAACCTTTGTGTCATGTGGTATTAACAAAAATGCCATGCTGAGGTGTCATCATTAGGTTCATTCTCAAGGTAAGTTTTAATTAACCCAAAGATTACTAGACTAATTACATGTAGTGCCATTCATATTATTTTGGTTAGAGACATTATAAATTTAATTTGACTAACCATTTAATGAAATATTAATAAAATAAAATATTATTCTCTTTCCTTAATTGGTACATACAGAAAATTAATAAATAAGGAAGATATGATATGATATTCAATTTAATTGTATCATAATAATAATTTCTTTAAAAATCATTACATATCTCCTATCATCTTTGTTTAACTGTATTTATAAAACAATTTGAATCACAATATTAAAAATATAACAAAGAAAATCGAATTTTTTTTATGTATATGCTATGATTTAAATTTTTAAAAACACCATAATCACTTAAACTGGTAGAAATTTCCATATTGGATATGTTGTTGTATAAATGTGTAGATATATATTATTAAAAAAAATGATGTGCAGTGTTATGAGTAGGAAACCTCATTTAGTAGGTATTTAAATGTAATTTTTATTTAATTTAATATAGTTTTTAGTTAAATCGTATAATTAAATCGAATAAAATAATTATTTTTATATATTTTTTATTTGATCAAAAATTTGAATATTACTCCATTTATTTTAACTTTCAATATAAAATTAATTATATTTTTGTTGATTTGATAATTTGGATTATGCATATTGTTTTCTTATTGGTTGGATTGTTTTGGAATTATAATAAAATATGTTTTAATTTTAAAAGAAGAAAAACATTAGTTATAATCTGTGCACATATCTAAACTTCTTATCATATAAAATACATGAGGTATAATTTTTTTTAAACAATAACATTTTATTTTCAGATTTTTTTTGGTTTTTAAATTTTATTATATTGTAAATTGAGTTTTATGTATCTCACTTAAATATATTAATTTAATATATGGCAATACGGTCAAAGCTTTAATTTGTTTACCTTTTTCAAAAAAATGGTTTAAAATGTTTAATTTTCACATTATAAACAAATACAATAACTAAACCATAAATTTCGCATAAAATTTTAAGATAGTTAAATAGACATTTTTAATAAAAATACAACTTTAGAAATCATCACCCCGTGCAGGGCGCGGGTCAAACCCTAGTAAAAAAAAAAAGGAAAGTTGTTGGAGATTTTTAAAAACTAGCATAGGACTTTGAAGAAATACTTTAGATGATTTGATCCGTTAACATTAACCTTTGAACGAAACAGATGATGGTTGCATTTAATTAGGTCCATCGTAGGCTCGTAGCCCTTGCCATTTCTGGTTTGGTTTTCTTTTGGAATTTTGGACAATCATTCTCTTGCACTATGCTGTCTGAAAATTGCTTAGTGCTTGACCCAACAGAGTCTCAATATTTAGCCAAAACTCCAGAAATAATAATTGTCTTCCTCTAGCAACATATACACCATAGACCCTAGAGGGAAATGGAAATGAGAGGTAATGAAATCACATAAGAAAAGTACCAAAAACTATTGAGCATTGTTGGTGGTTTCTTGATTTCTAAGGGGTAGCAAAAGACGTCATAAGATGAAAAAAAGGCAGGATGTGTTACCAATGGAACCAACAAAGTAAGTTAGGATGCAATGTTAACATGGAAAGAGTGACATAACAAAAAAAAGCTTTGTAAATGTCCAACTATAAATTTAATATGGAATCAAATACCAATTCATTGCGAGATTGGTGCATTAGACTATGATTATCGGTGTTTCTTAACACCATCTCTTACCAAAAATGCTGATTTAATTAAATTAAAAAATGAGCAATTAGATTGTTGTTGGGGAGATGTTGAAGCATATGGATCTTGAAGCTGCTTCGATCGCAGCTAGAAACGGGTTTGATCCGTTCCATGTCGCAAATAAACAAGGCCATCTCGGTATAAAGATCTATACTTTCTTTCAGTTTTCTTGAATTTCAGTGAGATTATAGAACCATACATTGACTATTATCTTGCATGGTTATGATCCATGATTATGGAAAGTGTTTTGCTAAGATGGAAAATTTGATGTAGTAAAATCTGCAGGTTTTGTTTATTTTTTACTATGTCATTCTTTAAAACTCTCACGTAACATTGATGAGAAACAAAACTAATGTGAGTGTGTGACAGAAACGATTACGTCTTCTTTACTCACTACTTAATCGATAAACACAAAACAAACAAGAATGGTTCCCCAACACACTCTTCCCTCGAAGAAAAATATAAACAACTTAAATCCACAAAGCAGAATAAAAATGTTTTTTTTTGTGTGTATGTCTTTAGACTTTAGCATACACGATTTAACGAACACATGGATGGGAAAGAAAGACTATACACAAATCTAAGTTGAGAAAACCATTATCGTTAAGCTAATTCTTCTGTAAAAGAATCACATATATGTACTTCCACATGAATTACTCCTTAAGTGATCATATTTAACAACTGACATGAACATTTGAAAAGAGGCTAAAACTTGCATTTGCAGTCGACTTATTTAGGCTTATTTAATATAGTTGACCATAAGTAATGTTGTTCAAAAAGAGATGATACAAGAAACGAAAAAAATAAAGTAGTGCAAATGCAACTAGTTGCTAATCTCTTTTATTTTATTTTAGTTGCACTAAACTTGGAACATAGGAAGAGAACACAACCGGGTCATGGTATGTAAATTGTTTTGTAATCGGAGAGTCTCCGATATCCACAGATTTGAAGTTTCCATCTTCTCCAATGATGTGAGCTATTTGGTAGCACTAGCTCTTTGTCAGTCTATATTCGCGGAAACTGGAAACAACGACCTTCTTATGGGCCTCGTCAATAAAGAAAGTCCCATCCATAATGAGACCCGGAAAAGGAGGGAGGGGTTTAGTATCCACTTTCAAGAACATGCTCCAAGATACTGAATTGGGATCAATCTTAGTCGTAGTCCAAATCTCCATAATCATCCCATTTTTGCGTAGATATAACAAAGCGAGCTGCTCATCTCTAACACAAGATAAAGCCACAGATTCTGAACTAGGAAAGTAGGATTGAAAAGGAAGAGGAAGAAGCGGTCCAAATCTCTCTGCTGTAAAATCAAAACTCAGTAAAGACCACACATGGTTCGTTTTTATCTCCGAATCCTTTCTTCTGTACTCGTGAGCAAGAAAGTAAGTGTTTCCATTTAGGGACATGCTGCTTTGATGATGCTTTATATGCCACTCGGGAGTGACACCAAGAACCCTCCATGATTTAGAGTTACAATCATAGATTTCCGACCAGTAAAAGCCGTCTTTTCTGACATAAATCCTCAAGATTTTGGGGTAGCCGTTTATGTTGCTGTATCCGAAAGCATACTTGCCATATATGCTTAAACCGTTCAAAGGTCGGATCCACCTGGTTTTCCCCAAGTAGGGATTCCATACCAAGAGCCCCGGGTGGTCTTTGGTAACGCATAACACTAAACCGTTGCAGTGAAAGAGTTTATATATTTCAACTTGGCCAAGTACACTTACTTGCTTTATAGATGGACCACCAATCTCGTGATCGTTGAGAATTCCTTGGAGATCAAATTTCATTGAATAAACTCTATAATCAATCAACGTAAACCCTAGAAATTGTTTCCTTGTTGTTGATCCTTTACCAAAAACCTGGTTTCCGTATAAAGCATTCCAATTTTTGCAAGTAGATACTGCCTTGAGCGATGTAAAAGGAACAGTAGCAAATATCTCCCCTACCAAATCCTCAGAAAGATCCGACACTGTCGGCATTCTTCAAAGTTCGTAACCTTTTTTTTCTACGCTTTGTTTTTCATATTAGATATATATATATATATATATATATATATATATAGTTAGGGTTAGGGTACGATTATATATAGATATAGTTAGGGTTAGGGTACGATCGTTTGAAAACCTTTTCCTTTTTCTACATTACTTTCTATTTAAAAGAAACAAAAATCATCTATTAATAAAGAGCTTCTACAATTCGAGTTGTATTTTAGATATTTTATTTTTTAAGAATGTTATTGCAAATTTTGAAAAACTAGCATAGGACTTTTAAAGACCTATCCGTGAGTAATAATTGTGAAAGAATATTGGTTGTACTTGGATGAAACGAAACAGATGACGGTTGCATGCATTTGATTAGGTCAATCATAACCCTAGCCATTTCTGGTTTGGTTTTCTTTTGGTAGCTTTTGAAAATTTGGACAAATCATTCTCTTGCATTATGTTTGTCTGATACAATGTGCACATTGACTTTGATACAAAACGGATATTGTATGGGTTGAACAATCTTCACGGCAAGAACGTGACAGCTGCTTGATAGAACTCAACCAGGTTCAGCTTGGATTTGTGGCTTAATTAATGGTAAAATTTAATCTTTATTTTCTGGTTATGTTTTTGTTTTTTATTTCTAGTTTCAAGTCCAAAGACAAGAAGATTTTGTTAACTAGTATTATTTTTCACAGTTGAGTTTTATTAAAAATTAAATTTAGCAGGAGCAGCAAATGTAACTTTTAAGATGATGCCTTTTTTTCCATTAAAAGAAACTAAAGAAAGTTTCAAACTGCATGAGTATTCAATAAACAGATGTTCTATGTTTGTTGACAACAAGTATCATAGATTTATAATTCACAGTGGTGTTCGATTAATATGTTTGCAAGTAAAATGTAGCAGCAGCTGATGTGAGTTTTAAGGTTTCCTTTTTTAACCATAAGAAAGCTTCAATCTTCTTCAAAAGGATATGATTCAAGAAAGAAAAACAAAACTACTCTGCAAATGAATTTATTTCAGTTGCACTAAACTTGGAACATAAGAAGTGAACACAAACGGGAAACAATATCCACATTTTTTGCTAAGCCTAGCTCCAATGATAACCTCAGATTTGAAGTATCCATCTTCTCCAATGATGTAAGCTGTCTGGTAGCAACAGGTCTTGGTCGGTGATCTATATTTGCGGAAACTGGAAACAAGAACGGCTTTCTTCTCGGCCTCGTCAAGAAAGAAAGCCCCAGCCATGACGACAGACGGAAACCAAGGGAAAGATCTCGTATCCACTTCCAAGAACTTGCTCCATGATACTGAGCTGGGATCAATCTTAGTCGTAATCCAAAACTCCATCACCTCAGGGTTGCGTAGAAACAACAAAGCGAGCTGCTCATCTCTAACACAAGATAAAGCCACAGATTCTGAACTATACTCGTGCGATTGAAAAGGAAGAGGAAGAAGCGGTCCAAATCTCTCTGCTGTGAAATCAAAACAATGTAAAGACCACAACACATCGTCCTCTTCAATCTTTGAATCCTTTGTTGCATTCTCTAGAGCAAGAAAGTAAGTATTTCCATTCACAGACATGCTGATGTCATGATAAGTTATATCCCACTCGGGAACGACACCAAGAACCCTCCACGATGTAGAGTTACAATCATAGATTTCCGACCGGAGAGAGCCGTTTTTTCTTTCATAAACCCTCAAGATTTTGTGGTAGCCGTTTATGCTGTCGTATCCAAGACCAAACTTTTCATATCTGCTAAGAGATTTGAAAGTCTTGGACCTCTTGGTCGACATGGTTTGCCCCAAATAGGGATTCCACAACACGAGCTTTTGATCTTTGGTAACGAATAACAATAAACCGTGGCAGTGAAAGACTTGAGATGTTTCAACTTGGCCAAGTACACTTACTTGCTTTATAGATGGATCAACAATGTCGTAATCGTTGTCGATTCGTTGGAGATCGAATTTCAGTGAATAAACTCTAGAATCACTCAGCATAAACCCTAGAAATTGCTTCCTTGTTGTTGGTCCTTTACAGAAAATGTGATTGATAGATAAAACGTTCCATCTTTTGCAAGTAAATCGTACTTCTTTCAGCGATATTAATGTAACCCTAGAGAGTATCTCCCCTACCAAATCATCAATAAGATCGGACATTGTCGACATTCTTCAAAGTTTGTAACTTTTTCTACGTGTGCCTTCTCTCTCTTTCTAATAAAGAGCTCTCTAATTAAAACTCGAGTTATATATTTCAGAGATATTATGAGAAAATAAAAAGGAAAGTTGTTGCAGATTTTAGAAAAATTAGCATAAAAAGTTAAAGACATTATTTTTCTTGAGAATTACAATTTCATAGTTAAAAGGAAAAAAAAAACTGACTTCAAAAAACTCAAGAAGAAAAAATACAGTGCACGTCTTATCTCAGAAACACTCATGGAAGTTTATAATCCAAGACTGAAGATAAATTGCATGTTTTTCACATCGTAAAGACAGAACTACTGTGAAACTCTGTTTGTCGACCACAAGTATGGGAGATTTGTAGGAACACAAATTCTACATGGGGAAGATGAATAATTGTGAAGAAATTGCATAAATCAATCCATAAAACACAAAACCAAGAATGAATTGAAAAGAGGCTTAAAACATGCAAAAGCCGACTTCTTTAATATAATTGACTATAAAGTAATCTTGTTCAAAAGGAGATGATGATACAAGAAACAAAAATAAAGTAGTGCAAATGCAACTAGTCGCTAATCTCTTTTTCTTTTTTCATTTTAGTTGCACTAAACTTGGAACATAAGAAGAGAACATAACCGGGTTACAGTAGAAAAAATTTGCTGAAAGAGTTTCTCCAATATCCACAGATTTGAAGTATCCATCTTCTCCAATGATGTAAGCTGTATGGTACCAACATTTCTTGGTCGGTCTATGTTCGCCGAAACCGCAAACAACAGCGACTTTCTTCTCATCGTCAATAAAGAAAGTGCCATCCTTAAAGAGAGTCGGACGACGAGGGAAGGATCTCGTATCCACTTCCAAGAACATGCTCCACGATACTGAGTTGGGATCAATCTTAGTCGTAATCCAAATCTTCATTATCCCATCATTGCGTATATATAGCAATGCGAGCTGCTCATCTCTAACACAAGATAAAGCCACAGATTCTGAACTATGATGAGAGTAGGATTGAAAAGGAAGAGGAAGAAGCGGTCCAAATCTCTCTGCTGTATAATCAAAACAAAGTAAACACCACACATAGTTCGTTTTTAGCCACCAATACTTTGTGCTGTACTCGTGAGCAAGAAAGTAATTATTTCCATTTAGGGACATGCTGCTGACATGATCCCTTATATCCCACTCGGGAGTGACACGAATAAGCCTCCATAAATTAGAGTTACAATCATAGATTCCCGACCGGAGAGAGCCGTCTTCTCTTTCATAAACCCTCAAGATTTTGTGGTAGCCTTTTATGTTGTCGTATCCAAGACCAAACTTGTCATGTCTGCTAAAATATTTCAAGGGCTTGGACCTCTTGGTCAAGCTGGTTTGCCCCAAATAGGGATTCCACAACAAGAGCTTTAGATCTTCGGTAACGCATAACACTAAACCGTTGCAGTGAGAGAGTAGTTTCGATATTTCAAGGTGGCCAAGGACACTTACTATCTTTATACATGGATCAACAATGTCGTAATCGTTGTGGACTCCCTGGAGATTGAATTTCATTGAATAAACTCTAGAATCCCTCAGCCTAAACCCTAGAAACTGCTTACTAGTTGCTTTTTTACCCATAATATGAATATTAGACAAAGCATTCCAATCTCTGCAAGTAGATCGTACTGCCATCAGCGAAGTCAATGGAACCCTATAAAATATCTCCCCCACCAAATCCTCAGAAAGATCGGACACTGTCGACATTCTTCAAAGTTTGTAACTTTTTTCTACCTTGCCTTCTTTCTAGATACTTTATATAGTTAGGGTAAGGGTAAGGATCTTTTGAATAAAAAAGTAAAACTTGTTGCAGGTTTTGAAAAAGTAGCATACTTGAGGGATGTTTCTTGAGAATTATTTAATAACTAAAAAAAAAATTAAATAAGCTCATAAAATTGACTCAAGAAGGCAAAAAAAAAAAATTGAAGCTTTAGCTCGTTGATGATGATGATGATGATATCTCTTCATTTCTCCACTCCATCACTATCCTTTCTCACATATGATTCCAATTCCAGATTTTTTAAGAACCCAATTAATCCAATTCGTGTTACTCTCCCCCAAAACTCCCAATTTGTTTCTTGCCGTCGTTTCAATTTCAACACCAGAGGAACGAATTCAAACCGTAAAACCTACCGGCGAAATCCGAGTTGCTATGGAATCAAAGACTCAGGCGAGACAACGAAGCCTGCGCCGCCGTTAGATTCCGGTGGCGGTAACGGCGGAGGAGGCGACGGCGGAGATAACGGTGGTGACGATGGCGGTGAGGTGGAGGGTAAAAACAGGCTGTTGCCGGAATGGCTTGATTTCACGTCGGACGATGCCAAGACTGTGTTCTTGGCCATAACTGTATCGCTTGCGTTTCGGTATTTTATTGCGGAACCAAGATACATTCCTTCTCTGTCTATGTATCCTACTTTTGACGTCGGAGACAGATTGGTTGCAGAGAAGGTACTGTTTCCGAACTCCAATTTTCACCTAATTTCGTATAATCAAGACCAAAGTTTGGAACTTTTAGAGGATTTGGAATCTATACAATGTTAGTTTTGTGTTTTGATTAGAAATGTTCAAACTTTTACATCTTAAGAGAGTTAGGATGAGGTAAAGAGATGGGTTTTGGTGACTTTTTACTAAGATTTGGGGATGTTTGTGTGTTCAGGTGAGTTATTACTTCAGGAAGCCTTGTGCAAACGATATTGTGATCTTCAAAAGTCCACCGGTTCTTCAAGAAGTTGGGTACACTGATGCAGATGTGTTCATTAAACGGATTGTTGCAAAAGAAGGTGACC